AAACCGAGCTCTGTGTGTGACTCTGCCTGCATTTTAATGCAGTTGCCATTAGACAGCTGTCTGCGATCTGGCTTTCCGTAGCCATATCCGTCCTGGGAGCATTTGACAAGCGTTTCGTGTTAGCAGCGGAGCCTTACGGCTGTCTGTATGCTGCATTAGCTCCGGGGCTTTAGTCGAGCCACTCACACATGGTACCACATGGCATTGCTCTACATGGAAATGTGTCTGCTGCTGTGGCCGTAGATGCCGATGACGATGACGATGAGAATGAGGTGGTGGACTCAGTCCTGCCTGACTGACTCCCTGCCTGCCTGCCTGCCTGCCTGCCTGCCTGCCTGCCTGCCTGCCTGTCTGCCTGCCTGCCTGCCTGCCTGCCTGCCTGTCACTTATGCAAAGTCCCCTAATGGAAGAATGGCGAGGTGTAACAAAAAATAACAACAGCAAAAAAGTATAGCCACGCAGTGCAGCAGCAGAGCAGTCGATTCAGAGGAGTCGGTGGAGCCTTAACAAGAGCAGCTGCCAGCATTGCTTAGTCAGTTTTTGGTTTTGTTCCTCTTACATACAAATGCTCTTTAAGCGGATTTGGCAGCGATTTACTTGTTTGCCATTGTTAAACTGAGTGCTCAGCATGGGGGTGCTCACAGAGACCAAACATACCTGATTCCCTTACAGACAGATGGATTCCCCGGGCAGCTGGCTTAGGGGTAAATGGCTTGCAAAGTCGAGGTTTCATTGAAATTTTGTATGCCCTTTAAAAAAAAACAAATCCCATAAGCAATAACATGAGCTCAATAGAAATGCCGCCAAGTCAGTAGATTATTTTCCTAACAGAAGTGTAAGACATAAACCAAGAATCTTGGAGCGATAAATAAATAGTTGTAATTGAAGGCCTGAAGAGCTTTTATAAATACAATTAAAATTCACAAAATATTTTCTTATTGGATAACTTTCGGCCTTACTGAATTCTAATACCCAATTCACGAAAAAAAGCAGAGATTGAACTTTCCTTTTTTATTTTTGTTCTCTTCGTACGAAAGTGTGCAAAAACCCCGTTTTAATTATGCCGAAACATGCGCAAATATTTCCTTATGCTTCGTAGCGGCGCATTAATTAATTTAAGGCTCCAACTCGGCTCAAGTGGCTTAAATGTGTGGCCTGCTGTGACTTTGGCCGAAAAAGTCAACGCTCCAAAAAGTTTTTAATTAAATTATACAAAGCGTGTTTGCCTAATTTCATAACAGTCAGAGCCAAAAATGATCAATGCAAATGTGTGCATAATGCAAAAAACAAAAGACAGCAAAAACGCAAACTTCTGACTGGCTGTCACAGAATTTCCTGCCGACAGATGTGCCCAAGAAATATATACAACATTTGTACAATTTTGAATTAAAAATTAAATTTTTGCCTAAAACATTAGTCATTTTAAATATGTTTTGTGCTGGGTCCATCTCAAGTACTTGACCTTGAGACGGCAAAAAACATATTTACATTATAAAATGAGTTTACTAAAAAATAAACAATCATTAATTATATGATAATATCTATTATGAATTCACCATCATAAAAAAATAAATTGAATAACGATTACATGGACGTTTTTACATAGCGATTACTTACTAAATATCATTGACACCAACTGATTAATTAAATAAACGAATAAGAGATTCAAATCGTAATCCACATCCCACTTAAGTAAATCATTCATTTAGTCCTTTATTTTATATGCATACTCAAATTAATGTAACAAATATATAACTTCTCATAGAATGCCTTCATTTTTGGGAGTTTAAAAAGAACTAAACATAATAAAAATAGTAAACATAATCAATACTGCTGGTACAATGAAATGGCCAAATTCAGAGATCTTAAATAGATTTAAAGTTTTAAAAAAAAATTACAATTTAAGTTGCGTATCTTGCTGAGATTTCACAGCTCACAATTGACTAACAGCACAAACAACAAAAATAAGCCGCATAGCAAAGATTCTGGCGCGTCAGTTGGGTCGGCAGGAAGTCGAAGAAAAAAACCATGGAATATCGAGCCAAATTTGGTCATGAAATCAATCAAGCACATGACACAGACGATGGCAATTTTACGAGGCGGGCAGCAAACAGCACGAGCGAAGAAAGTCATAAAACTTATTTACTTAGCACCAGCGAAATGACCGAGCAGCTGCTGAATGCGAAGAAAGGAAAGGTGTCGGGGAATGTCTTAAACAAAAGGCTGGCATAAATACTGAAAATTCCGACATAAACGACAATAACCAGAATAAAGAAAACGAAAACGAAAATGGAGATGAAAATACTAAAAGCCGAGAACACATAAAAAACGCAAGTCAAGTCAATAATCATAAAATGCCTGATGAAGTTGCGTATCATCTTGGAATCTGTTAAATTGTCTGTGAATGACAAATATTGTGTTATAATATCTATTAGTAGAATTAAACAGCCGCGAACATCACGGCGTATGCGCATTATTTAATTTCTGTAAGTGTTTTCGAGCGCAAATAGCCATGAAATTTATCCACTCATAAGTCATGACCACGCATACGCCCAGGCCTATTGGCCTATGGCGATTCGATGAATATTCCAGTATTCTAGCATTAATGGAGCCGGCGCAAGTAATTCATTGGACAGCTTTAAGCCCCGGCCCCCAATGGCGTCTAATGGACAGTGACATAAGACACTGTCTGACAGCTCCTCCATTTGTTTGCTGTTGCTGTTGTTGCTGTTTGTCTGCTGTTGTGTCAGTTGATGGCCTAACGTGTTTGGACATGGCTAAGAAGCGTAGACAATAGACAAAAGTAGATCTAGAAGCAGACATTCCCCCATCGCCGTCAAGTGGGCGTCAACATTTTTATAACATTTTGTTGTGCAAGCATTTTGAAAAAGTTTCGTACCATTTTTACAACGCACAAGAGTATGCTATCATATATATTATTAATGCTAGTAAAACGCAAAAAAATTGCGGACTCTTTAAGCCAACAATATCGGCCATTAATCGAACGAATATTGCAGTAAACAAAATCTACAAATTCCTAGTTTTATTTATATATCGAGCAAATAAATAGAGCAATGAAATCAAAATATTTTCATTTGTAAACGGACTCTGTCCAAAAAAAAATAAATAATAATAATAATAATACAAGTAAGCCGTACTTATATAAATAAATATACAAACGATATTTGCACCGTCCGCTTGTCCAGTCTCTCCAGAAGATTTCACAACCCTTGCCGTCGGGCAAATACTTTTGTTATTATTCTGAAACAGTCCACTTTTGCTCTAGACAAATAAAAATGCTATCAATTTGGCCTGGAAAAACAAAGTGAAATGCCTTCAGTCGATAGCTTCAATTACAACACGGTTAGTATTTTTAATTAAATTTTTCACATATATATATATATATATGTGTGTGTGTGTGTACGAGTGGCATAGTCGCACATATCCGTTGCAAAAATCCAATTTGAAATCAGAAAGCCGCACAGGGTTACAGCCTCGACGCCGCTTCCTCCTAATCTGGATACAGGCCGTATACTCGTCAGCAACGTCCTCGACATCGTCTTCTTCGTTGGCACTCGCAACTCATCAAAATGAGCAGCGGGTACTTAATCTGATTTACTTGCCTTGCCACGCCAGCCCGACTAGTCAACCACCCAGCCAGCCAGCCATTGAAGCTGGCAGCTCGACGGCTCCTTGGCAGAAGGCAAGTAAACAAGCGTCTTCATAAAAAGCGACAGCCCAAGACCTAGCGAAGAGGTGGCCAGACAGGCAGGCTGACAGGGCATAGATGAGGGGTTAGAGGGTCGGCGGAACCTGGGGCTGGGCTGTAAGGACAGACGCTTACTTCTCATAGCGCAGAGCTCTGCGGCGTTATGTACATCATAAAAGAACGATAAGATAACAGCGACCGACCACGGCACTTGACTGTTGTGGCCCTATATTCCTGGCCCCAGAACGAGGGCCTCGATGTAAATCCCATTTGCAGGGCATTCAGGTTTGCGCAAGTTGTTTGCAGCGCATAAGAATCATTTTGACTATATGTGGAAAAAAGACTAGAAAGCAGTTTGGATTTTGCACATTTTATAGCTTGCATACTTTTGGGCATTAACTAAATATATCTACATCATTTATTTGAACAAAATATCGTTTTATACATTTTTTTAAAGCCGAACCAGTTTTGCTCTAATAAATAAATGAAAAGCAAACACAAACATAATTAAAAGACACACATTTCATGTTTATTCTAATAATTTTTAAAGGATACCAGAGCTGCTCAGCTGGCCGAATCTTTGTTGCACTGTTTCAAAATATTTATTTGATTTTGCTTGGCTGACGTTCTTTGTCCTCTTCTCGCTGTGCCCTTCCAGCGCCTTGAGTGTGATTTATTTTGGCATCGTACAATGTACTTTCTTTTCAAATAAATCATAAATTTCAACGCACTGCTGCTATTGCTTCTGCTACTACTGCTGCTGTTGTTTCTCGACTGGTGTCTCGGCTCTTGCTTGTTGGCTGGCAATTGAGTTATCCCAAAAAGGCTATCTAGCCGGAAAAAGACGAATTTATTGTATTTTTATGGCGCCTAAGCATACTCCGCCTAAGCCGCATACAATTTTGTTGAAAAATGTAAAGCGGACCCTCTCCCTCGGGGACATTAAGAATTATGAGCTAAACGCGACACGCGTGTCCAGGGAACCAGGCCTAAGGCCTCAACTGGACCAACCCCAGAACCAAGACAGAGGCAGGACAACGCATGATTTGTGGTTGGCTATTTGGTCAACAAGGCAACTGAGATTCGAACCGTTTTGTGTCAGTGACAGCACTAGGAAAGTGTGTGACAATAGGATAGGTTAGTACTGATAGTAAACTCTATCAGCCTGCTTGATGTTTGTTCTCAATAGATTGGCAACTAAAACGTTTTGAAAAATATATACTCAAACCATTCCTCGAGACACACTGTAAAAACAATACTAATAAAATATCCATATATAAATCAACTTGCCTTTACTATGTTTATTATTTTTAAGCTAATTTGTCTTTATTAAATTATCACAATCATTTGCTATAACTCTAGCCACTACTGAAGTGCACAATTTCAGTTACGATTCGACTCATCCACCTGGACCTGAACTGGTATGCGATAGGCGCTCTGCGCCATCATGGAAACCAGAACCATTTCGACCAGTATCAGAATATTGATGATGGCTGTGAATCGAAAGAACCAACTATAATTTATTGCTTAGAGAATCAAGAACAATAATACACTTACTCTGTTTGTAGACGGTGTGATTGATGGGATATTCACCGCCCAGATTGAACGAGTTGAGCTGCTCATAGAGAAACAGATATTGCAGTTTGCACAGCATCACAACCAATTGCAGGCAGAACATCTTCTTCCTCAGTTGATAGTCGCCACGGAGTTTGGTAATCATGCGCACGGTGATTTGCAGTGACCAAATGCCCATTACAATGGATGTAATAAGAAATGGTACGAAGAAGAGCATCACTTCATGGTAGAGGTTTATATCACGATAGTAGAGTACGTTCATGACCAACATAATGCTGCCCTGCCAGAAGGGCATCTGCCACACCATATAACGTGAGATGCACAGTTTCGTCTGCGTCGGCACCACCAACGGCAGGCACGAGCAGCAGCAACAACAGGGTGGTGTCGTCAGCTCCACCGCCTGCCCAGATGTCTCTTTTATATAGTTCTGCTCCGAGTCCACGTAGCGGAAGAGTAGAGTGCGAAACACGGGGCCACCCATCATGAACATGACGTGCATCGCTGTGTGGCACATGAACCAGGAATAGGGCACCAGTATGGTAACTAAAGCAGCCACCGATATAACTGGATACATGCTGACCATTAATATAGAGGGTATCATCAGCGGTTTGTTTAGATGACGGCGCAGTCGCGACACAGTTGTCAAATATATGCATATGTTGAGTATGGTCAGCAGTGCGGCTATAAAGATGGCCAGCGAGACAAATGCTGTCATGTCTACAAAAAAAATAAAACCAGTCTATCTTTATTAGGCTGAAAACAATGTTACGTCACAATCTGCAAACTGATAAGCTACTGTCGAGTGACTCTAAAACATAATTTGTAGCTAATAACCCAAGAGCGCATACTTTTACCCTACATCACTTATCTTCAACACTAAATTGGTAATATAAGGTACATTTTTTAAGCATTCCAATAACAATTTACGCTCTTTCGTAAACAGATAATAAATATCTCAGATAACATAGTAATTAATGATGCGATTTGTTGACTCATTAAAAACATGTATTTATACCCTAAGTACGAGTAATAAGTACATTTTAATTAAATTCCATAGAACAGTCTAGCAGTGTAATTGGTAAAGTATAAGAATTGAATGGATTCTTGGTTAATGGTTTCTATAAGAGTAATTTTACGACGGGTCTATGAATTTCTATTACACATATAAAATTTATATTTTTTGAAAATTTAGTTTAACCTTTTACTTTTAATAAGCAAAGACTTCATAATGGAAATAATACTATCAGAAAAATGCTGGATATATGAGTTATTAGAAGCTTGGGTTCTATATCTATAGTTAGATTGTTCAAGAATTATTATTTACTTCACCAGCTAGCAACCCATTTTGAATTTAACGCGAGACTACTGAGAACTTTATCAATAATGTGCGGAAAATCTAAATCAGCCCAATAGTTGGACCATGACGAACTGTGTCTTTGAAAAATATATACATAAGGAAATTAGATAAGATAGCTAGTGAAATTAAAAGTACTGAGTCATTTATATATAATATGAGACAAAACCAAAACAGTTGAATCTACGTTGTATATAGCACCTGACTCTTGAGGCCTTTGTCAATAATGTCGTTCTCGTTGATTCTTTCTTCTATCAGCTAAGCAGCTAATCTAGCAGGTATTAAATGTGCTATGGAAATCATTTAATGCTCAGCTGGTTGCGTTCACTTACGTGTGTAGTACTCGGAGAGTGTTGGATGTGCGTGCTTGCTCATCGTGCGATTGCGTTGCAGTTGCAACTCCAGTTCGAATTGCTGCTCCTGCTCCTGCTGCCGGATACGCTCAAACTCCTCTATAGAGTTCATTTTTCTTGTTTTTATCACTACGGGTGTGTGTGTGTGCGTATGTACTTATGATAAATTCGAACTGGGGCAAGCTTTTAGTGGAGGACTTCGTCGTTGTTGACTTTTGAGTGTTTTACTTTATACGTGTTTTATGTTATGTGTGCTCGCCTTTGTTTTACTTCAGTTCACCGCACTTCACATTTTTATCACTACACAAACTATGCGAGCTCACAGATGCGTCTGCTCATTTCTTTTTTTTTAATGTTTGCACTCATAAATGTATCTGAAAGTTTGCATATTCTGCTCAGGGCAGTGTAAGTGTGTAAGATAAAACTACACTTTATAGTACCACTTGGCTGAAGAGTAACACAAATTAAGTAAAGAATTGATTAGTTAGTTAATCGTGATACCGTGTAGAATATGAGCTGGCAATTTCAAATTAATTTCCATTCGTTAAATGATGCTAACTAGAAGTCTAGACACAAGCGGTAATCGATAAGGCGAGGCAATGAACCAAAAAGAAGAATCCTTCACTTTGAATGTCACGTATCATATGTAATTTTTTCTGCGAAAACAACTGTATATTTTTACTCAGCAAATTTATATATTCCACACATAGACGGATTGTCGTGTGAACCCTGAGAGTTGTTAAAGCCGACTGAGAACTTGGCACTCGTTTCATATTGTTTTCGATCGTAGAGTGGAGAGAGCGGGGATCATACATAATTAATGACAACAAATTTCTGGCTTTTTATCTGTGGCTGGTTGGTGGCACAAAGAAATACCTCAGAAAATTGTAAGACAATCTATGGAAAAATCCCCCCTTTTAAATGAAACCTGTTAGGCAGACAAATGCTCTATGTATTTAGTATTTTTCTGATGCAACGACACTTAAGCCGAAATTAAGAAAATTAATAATTGACACAAAGTTGAGAATCAAATCAAGTCTTTTGATATAAAACAAAATGTGTTATATAACAATTTCATTAGAGAATGAGAGAGTGGCTTCACTTAAATGGCGTTTTGCTATTGAGATATGTTAGAGGTCTCCAATTTATAATCTTTACCAGTGACCAATTTATAATGCGCCTGCAAAATATAATCCTTGACCCAGTGGACTCTTTATGATCAATTCAACTAGTTAAAACATTTATTAATTTATTTTTTAAGCTTATAACAGTAAGTGCTTCACGTAACAAGTTTTTTTTAAAAGTCAGTGCACTATATTACTCAATAGATTACTCACTACAAAATGCCATATTTTAAAATACTCTGAATTCAACAGTTTAAGTCCAAGCATGCGTTACGAAGCTTTCAACAATATGCACATTTCATATTTATTATACTTTATTGTGAAAGAAATGCAAATCATTTGCGAACCTGAAATTGGTAAAACGCTTTCATGAGAAGGCAACTGACCTGTCCTAGGGCGACCCACTAAAGAGTGAACACAATAGAGAGAGAGAAAGAGAGAAAAAAGAGCTGAGAGTCTCCCAATTTGACTGTCTCTCTCCCCCTGACTCCGTCTGCTTGTCTACCAATTTGGTGGCACCCCAAAAACCGGTTTCCCGACATAATCAGTAAGCGACCGGGCATACTAAATTACGTTTTCTGGTGTGTGTGTATATATTTTTACGTCTTCCCCATGCCGATGGTTATGTAAGCAATTGTTTTTTGTTATTGTGCTTTTGTCGTCCGTTTACAAACCGGCTATCAAGTCAGTCTGTGTAATTAAACGAGCCAACTGTTGAGGCAACCCCATACCATTCCATAAAAAAATCAGTTATTTTCACCCAGTTGGCGACCTTCACAGCTGTTGGCACAAAACGTGCCAAAACCGCTTAAACTTATTTTTGTCACAGTGCAAAAGTAATTTTGCTCATGTCATGCTTATCTATATGCATAAAAGTCTATATGAAGAGTATTTATTTAACGAGTTGTTGAAATTGCTAATTAATTTTCTTTAATTAATTTACAAATGTTCCATAAAATTTCACCATATTCTTTTGTTGCACAATTAGCATATAACTCGATCTTGGCACTTAGCACATTTTTTAGTGCGTAAGCAAAGCGCCTCAAATACATGTCATAAATTCATTTATTGATTCACATTTTTGAACAACTTGCAAATGACCAACGCACGCCACAATCAACACCAATACAACATACAGATTGCGATTGTTAAAGTAAACACATTATGGTAGTATTTTAAAAGCGGATTTCAAATATGAAAATCTGAATAGATGAGATTTACATTTGCAAGAATATGTTAATTCTATTTCTTTTGTTACAAAAGAAGCTTTCTCTACATTAGTTTTCTAGATCACATTTAACCTTAAGTCTCACCTTACACACTCGCTACAAATCAGCTTGAGATTGATGATCTCCCTTCAGCTAAGCACATCGGTTCAAAAAGAGTCAAAAATACTACAAATTAAGTCCAAACTGTGTTACCAGTTTGGTTTCCAATGGGATTTTCCCTCTTCACCAGTGTGAAATTTTTGTTAAGCCATTATATATCTCTTCACGTTTCCTTAGACCACTTTTCAAAAGCAATAATAAAACTTGCTAAAACTTGTTAAGGCAACAAAAATAACAATAAGATTGCTAACAAATTAAATGTAATTATTAACACACACGGCAAAAGTTTTGCAATGCGCTTTTGACCCATTTAACAGGTAAACGAAATAAGCAAACAACTTATTACAACTGTTAAGTATCCATTTGTAAAGTATTTTGCAAGTATATTAGTTGAATACACTCATATTTCTCGGAATACGACATAGACAATCATAAACAAAAACACACCTGTTTCGACGAGATAGTTGACAGAGAAAAACCCACATTTCAGAAATCTTTGTCATTGTCGTCTTCAACAGTGGCAACATTGTCCCTGGCTACGGTTGATACTCTCGACATGTACCAACTTTTTGCACTTACAAATTTTTTTAGATATCATATAAGAGAAACGAGATACAAAACCAAAAAGATACAAAACCATAAGAGCGAATGAAAAGCAGGGCAAAAAAGCGAAACGAGACGACAGACGACAGACGACCTCACTCATTGCCAAACACTCAATGAAATTGTGTAAATACGAAATACAATGAAATTATAAATACAAGCAATCGAACTCAACCAGAATGTTTAGCAATTCGAACTTGGGGGAAAATAATCCGCTGCGGTAATCGAAATTACAAGCGACCCCACAAAATTGATTTTCGATTATAGTGGCCAAGGCACAACGACCCACTCACTACAATATGCCAGCAAATTTGGGAATTTCAATAAAAATAAGGCGATTGTTGTCTTAAATACAAAAGAGAGAATATTGAGCTCAGAAATGCTAAATGCAACAGCATTAAATTGATTTTCTTTTGTTTTTTAACACACAGAGAGAGTTATTTTCACTAGAGATAATTCCAAAAATAAATAGCATTACATTTTGAAAAGAATGCTTACATGTATATGTGTATAAATACATGTAAATGCTTGTATTTGAATATTTTAAGAAAACGAATATTTATTTCACAAGCAATTGAAATTAATCAATTTCCCAAAAAGCTATTTTTAACTATTTCTGAGGTAGCAACATTTCTAAATTTACAATATATCCCATAAAATCCATGCGCTGAGCTGTAATAGTGCTAATAATACAAATTGTAAATATATCGCCACTGATAAGTACATAGCTTATACAAAGTTTAAACGGTACAATTAAGTTTCGCGACATTTTCTATAGAACTCGTTTTGTGTTGTAACTCACAACTCTCCATAGACTGAACACTTGTTGCACAATTTTGATTAAATTTTCATTTGCTGATGCGACCTTGACCGTCAAAAAAGCAGCAAACTCAGCGGATCGCAAAACATGGCCGTCTATACATATATTAATAGTCGATGTGTGAAAAGAGTGTGCAGAATATGTAATAGGCAATTAATTAAACACAAATGCATGGCCAATTCTAAATTAAGTTTGATTATTAATTATGTGAGCAATTGCTGAAAACTTGGGTTGTGAATGTTTGCTCAACGTTTCTGATTAATTTAATTTTATTGAATAGTGCGAAAATACAAATGGTTTGTTGTTGTTATTAAACAAACTGTGTACCCAATCACACCGTGAAACATTGCCGGCATGCTATACCATACTCGGAATGGAATTGAAATTTGAATTAAGTTTTTTCGAAATGCGGCAATCTTTGCTCTCACTCTCACTAGTTGTCACTGTTTCACTCTAAGTCAAATCAGCTGATCGCTGATCCGCGCCGTGTGTTGTTAATCGCTCGCGCTCTGGCCACAAACTGAACACAAGCATTTCTCAGCCCAATGACGATCACGAACAAAATACTATACTATGCGCTCGGCCAAAACAGCAGCAACAGCAACAGCAGACAAAAGACAACAACAACAACAATAATAATAATAATAATAGCACTCGCCGCTGACGTTGTGACAGCACCAAAATGGTAAACCGTCAAATTGACTTACAGTCAAACTTACAAATTGACGAAATGTTGCAGAAATCGAGAAAGATGTGCTAATGAACATTCATCGAATTCGTTTCGAGTCTCTGGGAAAAGTTGTTGGCATTGAACATTGAGCGAAAAGGCGGAAGCCAAAAAGTGGGAGTGAACTTGTCTTCGCCGAACAAGTTTTATTTACAGCTTTGTGGCAAGTGGAAAGCGGAAGGTGGCAAGCATTGGCTGCTCAACTCTCAATTATATTTTATTGTAAAATCCCACAGATGCATTCATGCATAGCTTGTTGTTTACTTAATGGATTCAAAAACATGCAGTTTCGATAATCATACTTGAGAGCGCTTTTTCGCATTAACAAATGTTTTGAGTATTCTCCAACGTAATCTATACGCTCTGTTTAATAAGTTTGATTATTAAAAAATATATTAACAAAGAATAACCCACAAATTGGCTGGCTTCAAGTTCAATCCGGCGATAAGGCTGAGAATTTCTAGTTATGTTTGTTCAGTAACAGAACATGTGCTTAAATCTTTGCAAAACTCATAAGGCTTTTAATGACTTCTAATATGTTGAAGCATAAATTCGAACTGTCTTTATTTCTTAAAATTCCACCCTTATATAGCCACAAATGTTAATATATTTTCTACCTGCTGGTAGACCATTCCAGTCCATGAAAAGGTTGTTTTACAATTTGTCTCGTTTTGTACTCATCTATATGCCTATCCTGTCTTCAAGCGGTCGCGGCTACCTGCTAGGCAAGGACCCTTTTCTTAAATATATAACATGCGTTATTTTTCTTAAAATAGTGTTCATTCTTGAAAATATATTATATATTCTTGATGGGCATCAGTAGCCGAGTCGATTTACCCATGCCAGTCTCATTTTATGCGAACAGATGTTAGGTATATCTTGATAAAACTAGCTTTTTACTGCAGTCAGAAACGGCTAACTCTACCCGCTATATCACATATATTTATAAAATATGTTTTGGTAAAAATTAAAACTCGTGTAGGAACAAATTTTTTGTTTGCTTGGGTATTTAATCTTTAGATTTTCTCTTTTATTGCCATAAAACACATATCAAACTAAAGTGAAAAAAGTTAAGCGATAAATCACAGAGAAAGGGCTTCAAAAACATACACATTTCGAAGCCAAAAATTACTCAAGCATTACCTCTTAGTAGCCGCAAACTGTGCACACAGATTGCAAAATAATTTAATTATATTAGTTTCGCAAATTTAACCGTTCTGTGAATGCACAAGTTTATCGAAACTAAAATCAATTACAGTATGTCAAAGTATTATGGTGTATGTTAATAAATTAGAACAGAATTGCATTTTTATGAGAAGCTCTATATAACAAGAACTTACATTAATTGAAATTGATGCCTGCAATGCAATCTTTATTACTCAATCAATAACAATGTTAATTCATGCTGAGCATCTTTGAGCGATGGACTCTCGATTAGTTGCAAAACTTGAGCAATAATGCTTCCGGCTTTTGAAATTTCAAATTCGATCCAACTCAGCTGCTAACATGTCTAATGGCCTCTGATCCACGACAAACTAATTAACATGTCTATCCCTATTTGGCTATTTGACACGCGTAAGTTAGAACTGAGTGATCCAAATGAGTCACCTGACAACGGATATATTCCGAATTATAAGTATAATTAACATATGACATTTAAAACTCAAGAGAGTAATTTGTAATTGTACATCAATCAAGTTGCATGTGAACCCAAGCAGATACAGAAGTTAATAATATTGGGATAACGGATAAGTTCACATGTTATATTCATTCACATTCATTATGTAATTTATTTTTATAATGATCAGTGATTATAGCAGAACCCAAAAGCACTGACCCTAAACTGCTCAAAAAAAAAAATGAAATTAAAACCAAATCATATAATTATAATCGGCCGCACATCCGTTAACTAATTTAATGGGTCTGTAAATTAACCTTTTCTTTCTTGATTAACAACAAAATGAAGGCAGATGAAATTAAATGCTAATTATACAGTGTTTTTTAAAGCATCACCCAAAAGCACGCTATGAATTATGGTTAAATGGCAACTGCCAACTTTAAACGGTTTTATGGCATAAATTGCGGCGCCACCGACTCACATCTAGAGAGGCGGCAATAAAAAAAATCTGTTTGGCTGCGACGGCCATGTGGCAATTTAAGTTATAATTTGCAAATAAATCTAATTGTGTGTGGAAGAGGGTCAACGGCAAAGGAACTGCAGATAAAAAAGGGACGATCTGAAAAAAATGTAAAATGACAGAGGGAGTAGGTAACTGTCTTTAAAGAATGCAAAGAGGAATAAAATAATATTTGACAAACAAGAAGGGGAAGTGAAAATAATACTGATTTAAATTAAATTATACTAAATTGGGCATGAGTCGTGTTGAGCCGAACTTGAGTGGCCGAATATTTAAACAGCTGAACAATAAGGCTTATTAGCCAAATCCAAGGCATTGAATTTATCTTAAAATATATATTAAAATATAACTCTACTCACAAGTACGTATTTATATATATATATATATGACTTAGTTTAGCTTCATATATGAGCACACAAACTAACTATATTAATTATCTCAGTTTACATGCCGAAATAATTTACTGGATGCAATCTAAAGTTATCTACCAGTTTTACTCATATTTCCAAAAGCAGTTTTGAAAATTCGCATATTCAAAATATGCTATTAATTGTAACCAAAATCTTAAAAATTGCATACCCTTATAAACTAAGACAGTATTCTTACTGCTACATCTCAACTTCCACTTCATCTGCAGCTGATACTTACATATCTCTCCCTCTTTTTGTCTGGCAGAAATGATTGCCGACAATCTGCTGCTGCTGCTGCTGCTGCTTCTTACTGAACACAAGCACATATATAGATATGTATATCGCCAGAGGCTACATCAACGCTCATCGTTTTGTGGCGCTTCGCGGATTTCAATACGCTTGCGGGGCTGCCTTTGAAGATGCCGTCGTCGGTGTCTTTGACATCAACGCCTTGCCAGCATCGCTACATCCATGTCACGATAATTTGCTCTTTATTCGCCTTTTGCTCACTTTTTGCGACTTTGACGTTTGGCGAATAAGAGGCAATGCAGTGCTTTTTAAATGTGAAAATAAAAAATAAACAAACGAAACGGCCTGACGACAGACTCTGAGAGAGAGAGAGAGAGAGAGAGAGAGAGAGAGCAATAACTACAAAGAGAAGTGGCTGGCCGTAGCCGGCATTTGCCGACGGCTGCTGTTCCTTTTCTTATCGCCCTTCTTTCATTTGTGCTTCTTCTGCCAAGTCGTCAACGCTGCTGTCCTCGTCTTCACTTCAACTTTATCCTTTCGCGTGCTTTTTTTTCTTTATTATTTTTTTTTTGTGGCCTGCTGCGTCTGTTGTTTGCTGTTTAACGAAGCAAATCAACAAATTGTAATGATGCCGAGCAGCGCAAGTCGGTTCTGCGACGCTTGCACTTTTCGCTCCCACAAAATGACACTCCCCACACATCCCAATTTTGAATCTGAATCTGAAGCTGAAGCCGAATGTGAACCCAAGCCCGCAGTCCTTTTTGCATGGCTCGCTCCACTTGGGACGCAGTGTAGCGTAAAATGAATTGAGACATTCGTTTCGAACCCAAAAAAAAAAATATATAAAATATAAGTAAAACAAAAAGAACCGCAAGCTGAGAACCCTTACAAACTTTTACAACAACTAATCCAAAAAATGCGGTCTTTGCCAAACACACCAACACACACACACACACACAGTCACACGCATAGCCGTGGATACTTGTACACAGATACTGGGAAAACTGTGAATGCAAAAAGTGGCAAAAGTTTCACAGCACTCAGCAAGTGCTTGAGGCTGTTGTGCATTCAGGTGTGAAGTTTTGGTCGGCACACAAAAGTATGCTACAAATAATTAAATCAAGCAAATGTTAGAGCAACTTTTTGGACACGACATGCAACTTGTCGGTTAGCAATGGGGAGGGAGAGGCAGAGGAGGCGGGTGGCAGACAAGTTCAATGCCGTCGCATTTAAGTCCTTGTCAAACCTGTCAGATAGTTTGATACTGTCTAATCGATATTTACTCTTTGTGAAAGGTTTCAAATTTACATACAGCAAACACACCGGGTCCAAAAACAAGGGTATAGAAAAGTCAAACACTAAAAAACATGGGCCCTGCTTGAGCCAATTTTCGAGAGCCTCCAACAAGTGCCCAGCAGCTATGTCGACCTTCCTACTTTTCTTTTATTTGCTGGTGCTACTGCTGGCATTTCCGTTTCCGCTTCTCAACGCACAAAGGAAAAAAAAATTCTTAAAGTCAAATGTAGACTTTTGCGTTAACATTAAAATTCACTGGCTGAACAATCTCTGTGATTGGATGAAGGTTATGATAACAGTCCGTAAATTTTAATTAAAAAATATACTACACTATCACATAGATCTCAATATTTTGGTATGCTCAAAAAAGAAAAGAATAATATTTATGAGCCAACACTCTTGAGACTACGCCAAACTGAGCAATAAACTACCATACCTCAAAATCAAAAAAATAAATCAGCCAATCCAAACTGGTACCGTATAGCCAAGGGCCTGTACACTGCCACATGGAGAGCCTCGAAGATAAATTGCAGTTTATTTTCTTGGCTGGCGGTGGCCAATAATTTATGAGGATCGAATGATTTGCATGCAGTACTCCTCTTTTCCTGTACCTTCCTTTTGCTATTTGCATCTCGGTACACCGATGCGAATAAAAAGTGTATGGCCATGCCGGCCAGCACTGAGAAGCATAAGGCTTGGCTCTGGCAGCGATATGTTGCTTTCAAAACAATTGGCGGCTAACAACAATCAAGTGGCCAAACGGCCAATAGCAAATTGGTCGAAACGGATACCAGAATTGGTCGAAAACAGACGAGTGCTCTCTCGTAAAAGCTCCACGCCAAAAGCTTTCGCCATCTGCCTTAAATACGGCCGTGCTGATAAAACACAAAACAGTTGCCGTTTCGTACGCGTTGCCAACGCAGCAGCAGCAGCAGCAGCAGCAACAGCAGCAACAGCAGTAACAGCAGTAACAGCAGTAACAGGATAAGCAGCAATAGCTAATCGTGTGTGTGCGACTGTATAAGTGACACAAATTGAACGAAAAGGCATAGGAAAAGCGTTGCCTGCTTTTGAGCGCCAAGTAAAAAGAGTCGTTCTAAAGGCACGGCCATAAATCTGCCGGCAAAGTGCATGCGAATCGTGTCGAAAAACTAATTTTAAGGCATTTTTTCAAAAGCGTGAAGAAAGTTTATACTTTCAGAACAAAAAAAAAGTTTACCACAAGCAAAAGGTGCAAAAGAAAAGTGAAAGAAGCAAGAGAAAAATCAAATTTTAAGCGCAGCTACTGAACACTTGGGTAAGTTGCTCAAGCTTAAGCGTTAATTAGAGCTTATGTTTCACAAGGGCTTCAGGTATTTAAAGAGAACGGTGAAATTCAAAGCATTAGCAATAGGATAATACGATTTAATTTGTACATTAAAGCTGGAAAAAATTAATTAGTGCGCCTCAAATAACGTCTGCTTGTGCTGAATGTGCAGACTGCTTTTTTTAAATCTATATTAATGCGACACGTAAATGTTGTAAGCACACATACGTACATGTTTTGTCTGGCAGGATTGTATCTGGCTTATACTAATTAGTCGACTGCATAAAATTGTAAGCCAATCTCCGGTGCAAGGCACAACTTTCAATTAATTAAAGTTGGTAAATGATTTGTTATGAATAATTAACAAAAATTAATTATATTTCTGGACTACTACGGAAAATTCAACACTTGAGTATGATTGGTTTACAACACTCATACCTAAAAGTGTTCGAATCTTTATCACCTTTATTCACTCTGCATAAGCGAGGAATATACTTGAGTGGAGTCACATGCTCATTCAAAATAAACATGTCTTGAAGCGTGTAAGACTCACTGCTTATGCGCCCCGCTGCACCTTAAGAAGTCAACGGAAAATTGAACACGAAAACACTCACACACACACTCACACACGCTGAAATCACTCACAAAAATGTTGACAACAAATTCCCAAAGGAGTATCGCGTAGATGGCAATTTTACGGCAGTTTGCCTTTGGCAACGACAGTCGCATCCTTTAAAGCCTACACGTGGAAACGTGAAACGCCTGGGCTTTGCTTAGGCTTAGGACGAGTCCCAGACGCGCACAGGACGAGCATAGGACAGCAAAAACAACAAAAAAAGGCAATGCTCAAGTGGCGCGGCGCTTAACACAAATTAGACGCACTTAATTACAGCGCAAACAGTCGCTGGGAGTGGCCGTAAAATGTGCGATGCAAACGCCAAAACCGCAAAAAAAAAATAAAAATCTTAAAAAAAAGTAAATGAATTGGTACCAAGTAAAATTGTGTGAGAGAGAGAGCGAGAGAAAGAGAGAGGGACTGTCTGTTACGGAAATAGACAAAGATTGAGATGGAGACGATAGGAGGGCAACAAAGGCGTTGGCAACTTTCAATTTGGGGCACAAGTTGCGGCTTAAAACTCAATTAAACGAATTGCCAAAAATTTAATTACTTTCCATGATATTGCACTTTAAAGCAAAGTCCAAAAAGATTTAATTAATTGTCTGGTAAAAGTTTCTGTTCAACCAATTTCTCAATTCAAGTGAAAACAATCAAGTGCATTTGTGAATATTTGTCTCAAGAGACTTCAAAATACACAAAAATATTTGTTAAGCTCAAAGAATATTTAATAAAGTAAAATCAATTGTGTATAATAGATTTGAATATTGTGTGTGTGTGCATCCATGTGATTCGTAGTTTATATAAACAAATAGGGAAAGCAGTTTCTCAAAATCCCAATACAAGTGCCAAGAAGATCTCAAACAAAAAATGGCCAAAAGCAACATGCGCTAGCCAAAGTTTTCAAGGCAATTCAACCCTTTGCGATTCCCCGAACTGCCCTGCCCTTTTTCGTTTGCTCCGCATTTATCTGACAAACAATACGCTCATTAGTTGTTGGAAGCCTCCTCATTTTCGGAGTTGTTTTTGTTGCCATTGAGTCTAAGCTTACAATTAAGTTGTAAGTGCCAGAAACTGGCCTTAGGCTCCACTCTAAATAAAGACATTCATTTTAATTATTTACAGTGAGCATTAGCCGCGCTGGCATATTTCGGTGGCAGCTATTTCAAGTTCAAGTTCAATTTTGGGCAAAAATCATAAAACTGAAAAGCAATATCTGCTGCACTTTGGGCTTAAGTTTTCCACTCGAATTGTCGCAACTGGCAACTTGAACGGGCGACGGTCCAAGTTGAAGTAATCCACTCGAAAGTTGGGACAAAGTATTGCAAAATGAATATGCAAATGGCTTAAGGATTGACTGCCCCGACTAAGTGCGATCTACACCAAACGAGAGCCGGAACTCACAATTCGCAGCACTCAACAAGCAATGGCACTTTGTTTAAGTTTTTTCTTGTGGCATAAACTACTTTTGGCATTGGCCTCCAATAGTTGTCAATGCGTTCAACTTTTGAATGAAAATCGTTGCTCTTTGCACGCAGCTCTTTTCGGCCATAACAATTTCACTCAACAAAAAGTTTTGCTCTACTCAGGGAGACATCTTTAATTGACAATAACCATAAAATATCGGCAATGAATAAGAAAAGACTTTTAAATCTTAATTAAGAACTCACTTAGAGTTTCTGACTCAGCCATACTTTATTTATATAAATATTTATTTTAAATTTTACTCTACTTTAGGCCATAAAAGCCTAATTCTTTTCATTCGAAAATATTTCAAATGCATCAAATAATGTAAAAATGTGTCTTCTTTTATTCGATTAAAAATTGCTTTCAATTGTTATTTAAAATATTTATATTTATTATATATTACTGTGTCACTATAAATATTTGTGAACAATTGGAATGTAAATCAAGTACGAAATATGAAAAGACTTTTACAATCTGGCATGACAAAGGACATTAAGCGAAGAAGCTTGCTAATTTACATAAAATAGTTTGGCGAGTGTTATACTTATCGAGCACGCAACCATATACCATCAATTGCAAAAGTCTATCGCCTGCTTCACAGCATTGGCAGCATTTTATAACCAGCTGCACTCAACTCAAGTCATAAGTCAGACAATAAATAATAATAGTAAATGGGAGCAATAACAATGTCATATGCGAAAAGGGAAGCAAGACCAACAGCAACAAGAGGGATAAAGACTAGAGTTATATACAAAACGAAATTAAATATTCACGTATGAATGGCGAGGAGGGGAAATTACGCATACTAAATTGTAAAAGCCAAATAAATGTGGCAACGGAATGTGGCGATTGGTAAGCGGGGCTGCGACTAATTAAAACCCGCACGGAACATTGGGTCTATTAGGCGTCGCTTTGTCCTTGCACAGCTCACGCATAGCCATTAATTTCCTTTTATGCATACCATAATTTCTTTCATACTACTTTTTGTTTCTTTGTATGGGACTGGGTTATTTATTTTCAGTTTCTTTGGCATAATGCCGAGAAATTCGAACTGCGGCAACGGAAAACCAAAACAAAAACAAAATGAGAGCAGCCAGACGCACTCAGCAATAAGGAAAGATTCTTTGGAGCTTTAATGATGTGCCTGAACCAATATAAAGCGGTCGGGGTGCTGGTCTGGAAAAACCAAAAATCTCTCTCCTGGGCATACATTCCAAATCCCCAATATTTACTGTATATGTATGTGTGTGTATGTGTATGCATGTATGTGTGTGTGTGTACATATTTGTGCAGCCAGCTTTGCCTTTGGATTTGCCTGTTTCTCTTCCTGTGCCTCGCTTGAGCCATTTGAATACGTATGCATACTTAATTTGGCACGGCTCAGCTTGAGCCGTCTGCCTGTTCCGGTGTTGGTTGGTGCACTACATTATTGATTGGATATTTGTGCGGGAATTTAATAAAATATGCTAATTTTTTATATTCGACAGTCGGCATTCAATTGAAAACGCCGACAATACTTAAATGGCGCTAACTAGCGTTAACAACGGCGATGTCCTTAAATCAAATAAGCAATTGAGATTCCCCTTACTTCAATATGTATTTATGTTAATAAATTAATATCAGTTTGGCATTCGATCATTCATTCCAATTCAATGTTTAAACATAGCTAAAATCGAATTCCTTGGCTTATAAGAAAACTATTGGCCTTATTTGTCTTTTTCTAATTTAAAAGTCTGCTTTATTTGAAATTTTTCATTATTCATTGGTGAATAACCAAGTAAAATGTAATTTTTGCGTTATTATAATTCAAGAGAGAAAATACAATTTTTGAGAGAATTTTTATTGGGTCTTTTAATATGGATCTCTTTGAATATATATGCATATATATGTAAACATTTCATGTGATGTGTTAGATGTGATTGGTATATGCAGTAAAATCTGGAAAATCTATCAAAAATGTAGTCGAACATTCTTAAAGAATGTCTTTTATTACTGAGCCAAGAGCATTGACATTTCTTTGCGGACTTAAAGAAAAATATATGTTAACTTTGCATTGACTTGATTTCATTATCATCCAGTACGCATCTTAGCCCTTAGCTCCATCCCTGCATAGTCGTAAAAGAAGCTCGATTTGGACAAGGTCATCAAATTACGGTAGCAAACACATTGAACCCGCAATTGTTGGCGGTAACATCAAAAGGCGTCGTCAAATGACTTCAACAGCTGCCCGAAGGATGCTCACAAAGGCATCAACAATAAAATGAGATGAGGCTAAAACAAACCCAAATATAATGTGGCTTACATTAAACCAAGCAAACCACACAAAAACTACAATGCCTTTAACTGATTGACTATGAGTTACTCATAGATCACGAAAAATAGTATAGTAGATGATAACATGATAAAGTTACAGACATTCCTTTTAATCATCATGCTTTCAAACTATAATGCTCGTGGATGGAACTTGTAATTTGCCATCAGATACTCAGATACACACATTTGCACAATTTCCATGAATATACCCTATAACAATGATCCACAGGGTAAGAAAACAGCAGATGCCAAAGTAAACTTTTACTGCTAGACGACGATTGCCTGCAGCTGCAGTTAGAATCACTTCCATCAGTTGGTCGTTGATGTCCCATTCCATGCCCCAGTCCAAGTCCAAGTGCACGCAAACCCACTTAACTTCCTCCCTGATACTTAATCAGTCAAATTTTATGCATCGCGCAAATGGAGCAGCAAAAACCAAGCCAGTCAGTAGCCCAGAAAAGAACTAGAGAACAGAACAAGGGATAAAAACACGCTCGAAGCAGCTGTTGACAAGTGGCTTTAATTGCTTTTAGTTTTCAGACGACGACCACATAATAATGTGTTATTATATTCGCGTTGCATGGCTTAAAGCTGACAGTTAAAAGTTGTAGCTTTGCGACTGCAATTAGACTAAGTGGTCTTTAATGTGGCAAATACTTAGTGTTGTTACATATAAAAACATCACCCAGCAAACCAAACCATCCACCAAAAAAGACGATGCAAGCCAGCGTTTACCAAAAAGTTGCCTACAACTAAACTTTGCATTTGCCCATTTACAGAGGAGACAGAGACAGAGACAGAGACTGAGACTGAGACTGATGGCGAAAATGATAGAGACAGCTGGAAATACAGACGTCAGTTGACAGTTTCAGTCAGTTAGGGCCTGACATGCCCTATTGTCCTTGAGCTGCTTCTCTATCTCAGCCTTACGACAATTTAGTTTGTGGCAAATTATTTTGTGACTCAAGCTTAGACTTCGCACTGACTGACAAAGTTTTTTGTTTCCCAAAGTTGTTTCTATTTGTATAAAATATATACATATATGTGCAAATGTATATTCTTAATCACAACAATATGCTGAGCTGAGAAAAAAAAGAAAACAATCAGTCAAAAATATAGTAGTCAAATTGATTTGATTAGCCGACTTTGGAATACTCTTAGACTGCCGTACGAATAGTCATTTAAATAGTCAGAGTATCGACCACTGAAAAAGGTCAGTAAATTACAATTTCAATTTTGTGATTCTAGCTCTAAAGTTGTGTGTAATATAGACTTTTGTTCAGTTAGTGGGGCGTGGCTTGGCTCACTTGCATTTTAAAGATAGATCGTGCCATCGATGTGGTGCAATCTGGTGCAACCAATGATATACATATAAGTTATCTTCACTAAAGCTCTCTTATATAATTTCACAAAATGCTAAAATCAGGCACAAAGTTCTAAAAAAATATATATTTATCGTTATCTCTTCAGCTCTCCGTATTATTCGTCGCTTAATACGCAAAATGCCGACACATTCTTTTGCAAATAACATTTGTTGATTATTTTTGTGATATACATACAAACATAGTACTTTATAAACATATATTCAAGCTACATTCATTTTGCACCATCGGATATGTGGAATTTTTTTATAATTAGTCGACAGTATTTCATAATTAGTCACAAATGTTTGGGAAATATGAAGAACTAGTATTCCATGCCAATGAAATACGTAGCACTGCTACTCCCGATGCTCGTGTAATAAATCGGATTTTTATTCACAACGCACTTGCTCTTGGTGGGTGTGGCAATGCCCGCCACACATATGCTGCCATCATACCGCTCCAAATGAAGCACACTGGTGCTGGCCATCAAGCATTTGGTGCAGCTACCGTTCTGGCTGGGTTGCGAGTCAGCCGGAATGGGTGCCAAGCACAGATGCGTCCTGGGTATATAAAGGCCTTCCACTTCAGGCTTGACCGGCACATTCGCGCACTCCATAGATTTGACAAGGCGCGAACTGAACATATTGCAGTTGGTATCTGTGAGCATCGAAAACGTAGAATGGGTGATCTTAGAGCTTGTACAACAATATAATAATAATATTCATGACTGACCATCATCGTTCTGAGCAAAGCCTACAGCATTAAACTTTGGATCTGCCACCATTTCATATTCAGTGCAAAGCGAAGCCACACTCACATTTGACAATGCCGGTTTATCAAAATCAATGGGTTTGGCCAGCTCAAGCAGGGCAAGATCGTTATTAAGGAATTTAATGTTATTTTGCTGTAAAAAAAAAATATTGAAACCATCAGATATTCCAAGCAACACCTTATCTAATTCAACGGAAATGCCAAAAATATTCCAAATTCTTCAAACAAAGATACCAAATCAACATAAAGTACAATTTATAATGAACATGTTATTCCAAATTTGAATATCTTTAGCACCATGTCTTTGTCGACTATTTAACAGTACCATTATTTCAATCGTCATCTCAGGATGCTCTAAAATATTAAAGTTTCTCAAATCGCTGTACCCGAACAAAGCTCTATTGGGCTTTCGATTTACACCGTTGCCCACGCAATGGGTCGTGGTCAGAAGTTTTGTCGACGACAGGACAATTGCAGTGCAGCGGTACAAAAAGGCGTCGAGATCGGAGTTTAGGTATACGAGGGAGGCCAGATGCTTGTACATTATGTTATCTCTGAGAAAACAATATATTTTTCGAAATGCGGACACAATAGTCACTCTGCACGGTTACTCACGGAGCTGGTGATGGTGTTGCTGAAATTCGAATTTCTTTCTCCTGCTGGCATCGGTTATACTCTGTTCATTAAAACACAAAAATAATTCGAAAACCGATTCACTTGAGACACACGACCCACCTGAAAATTGATGCTGACTGTTATAGTAAACCGTTGAAACAGCCACAACAAGAGCTATTGACAATACCGTGACCAGAACAATCCAACCGCAGTCCGGAATTGCCATTGTAGTATGCGATAAATTTATTCACTTCTGTTCTTGTAGCCTACTAAAACGATACTGCGGTACGCCAAGTAATATCACCATATATATATATATATATATACATACACAATATATAGAATATAAAACATTTCGATAAGGCTAACCAAAAACTTCGCATAAGGCATAAGATTGCACAAAAGAACTACATTTTACAACCGACGCTGTGACTTTAATAAATATATATTCAAAGTATTAGTATCAAGTCTCTGTCGAAAAAATAACTGTGCTTATGACGGACTTATTAGAATACCAATATACTCTTATGCCCTCAATAACAGAGTATTTCATATTCCTCCTTTTCGTTCTAAATTTCTTGAGTTAAGATGAACTCGATTTGCTAGTGTCTTCCTTCAGTAGACATTAAATTTAAATGTACAATTGCTGTTAGAATTGGCCAGAATGTGTCCAAGTACTTTAATATGACTTGGCACATTTGAAGCCATTAAATTTTTGCAATCAACGCCGTTGCAATCATTTCCGTTACTACTTGGCAAAGCGTAATTTCCGGCGTATTCCAATTAGCATGACTCAGCAATGTTTTTAATGCTCATTCTCACAAATTATAATTTATAAAGAAATTAAACCAATTTTGATGAGCCATGAAGATTTTAAATTCAAATTTATTAAGGCTGGTTTTTTTCGGCGCGCAAAAAAGTCCCTTTCATCAGCTTGAGCCTATGCTAATGTTGATTTATGTCAACCGCAGGATAAAGTTTACTTAACCATGGCTGATGTGCCACGCTCACGTTTCACACACAAACAGACATACATTTAACCTAGAGCTGTGCCCTATAAAAGTCTTTGATTAAATGAAACCATTTATTATGTAGGTAAAGACAATGTCATGACACCTCTTTACCGGTTAAGTGAATGCGCCAAGTGATGGGGCGGTGTATAAAACAATTTCTTTAAAAGTCACGAGCACAACACGCAGAGTTATGACAATTCACGTTAAATGCCACACGACCGCCTCGCAGCCAGCCGCACCCAACAACCATTTCGCCCGACCAGGGAAAGCAAACACAAACAAATTTTTAAATTTGTAAACACGCGGCAAACGAGCGTCGCAGCAACAGCCAAGATCCCAAAAACAACCAACTGAGAGCGCAGCCACTTGACTAGTCGACAGCCGACGCACCGTTGTACGCTTACACACACACACACACATAGTGGCAGCTTGTGTGTTATGTGTTCGTAACAGGAAATCCGACAATTTTTGAATTTCTTACATGAGCCAAATAAAATAAACAACATGACAAAATACTCATATGCGCCACTCTGCACACTTCAATTTTGGTTAGTTTCCAACGAACGTTCCTGGGAACAATTTCAGCTCAATTTCGTCGAATTTTCTACACATATTATCTCCCCTTTAAGTGTTGATCTAATTTTTTATATATGGAATAATTTTTCTTACAGCTGTTTTTAGTTGTTGTTAAAGTTGTTAGAATTAAAGAATTGTATCAAATACCTAATTAGTGTTTTCAATTATAAGTCCAACTTGTTAGTTTTCCGCTTAATATCAATCATAGGTCAAATATAAATCATATACAAATTAATTTTTACACAGAAAAATACTTTAAAACTTTCATATAAAAAGATTTTCTAATTTTGAGACTGTCGCGGCAACCACTTTGGGTTCATGCCTCCGAGAAGTGTTGCGATTTCTTCTATATACATATATATAAAATAGCAGCAGTAACGACTTATAATCAAAGTGTGTGCGATTTTCTTAGAGCACTTTTGATTAGGCACAACAAACACTACCCATGACGCCTACTTGGGCGGCTAATGGCACACTCGTCGTATGTGTAATATTCCCTGCTCATATGCAACGCATATTTGCATAATTTGTCTGCCAGCCAGCCCAATCACGCAAACACTAAGGCACACACACACACACACACGTACACACTCACATACCGGTTGTGAAGGACACAATGCCATTATTTAGCCAACCCAGCTGTCTGAGTTACTAAATTGCGCATACGCCTCGTACGCCGCAGTCACATTTAGGGTTTAAGTGTAAGCTAAAGGTAGCAAGAAATCTAAAGCCAAGCGTAGTTAACTTGAAAAATACCCTGTAGCCAGATCTAAAGAGTCTTAGGATTAAACATTAAATTCTTGCATAAATATAATAAAATAAAATCATAAAATAAATCATTAACTGCAGATAGATAAACTGGACGTTGTAATATAGATTGATTTACCTTGAGAGACAATTGGCTGTAGATTTGGTCATGTTTACTATGCCCAACGTTAGCCGGATATAGTGAGTACTGGGTATACAAGCATTGTTAGGGCCTGACTGAGCTTATTTGACTGGGGCGTTGTTAAGTGTCTGTTGCAGTGTCAGACGCGCATTTGCTGACAAATTGAGCTTGAATTGCGCAAACAAGCAAGGGGTCTAGGAAATGAATAGAGCTGCTTGATTAGGATAACACGATTGTTCGCAATGTACAGCCTATTATAGCAACAGGTACTTAGTAACTGAATATAGTGCTTATTGCTTAGTTTTATAAAAGTATAAGTTAATAAAACGCAGTTGAAAACTATTCGAAGCTGACTCTTATCAGTTCATTGAAATTGATTACAAGTCATTTAATTCTCAAAACTCTTAAATTTAATCAAGCTTTCATAAAACAATAAATTAATTGCGACATTTATTTGTTTTTAGCATTCGTGTTTCTCTATGATTCCTTCCCCCGTCGATAATTAATAATATTATTTATTTGCTGTTTTCTGGTTGGTTTGTTGGTGATGTATTTATTCTTGTCTGTTCATAATGCCAAGTTACCCCATTCCAGCCTGAATTCATTAATAAATGCTGACAACAGCAGCAGCAGCTGCTGCCTTCGCTTGTTTAACTGCAGAACCATTAACTTGACTAAAGAACTTCATTATGTGAGGCTAATAAATCTTTTGAATTGGCTACCTTTTGACTGTAGTCCAAAGCCGACAATGAATCATAATGTGCACAGCATGGCAAACACCTTTGAGTCAAAGACAAAAGAGGAGCACATACCGAAACACTCATACGCCCTGTGGCACATGCAACCTGAAGGCAAGTTGGAAGCCAAGTCGAAGCCATGTTGTGGCCAAATCTTAATGTTATGGCGTGTCGACAAAGCAAGCAATAAAGCGTAGCATAAATTAGCCAAATAAGCAGGCAGCCAACAAACAAAACGCAACAAAGCAAAACAGAAAACTTTAATGTTTGCTAGGCAAATACAAAAGTCAGCCCTGCGGTCAGGACGAACCGGAATTTTTGGGGCTCAGTTTGTTAGCACAACTTGCGTAACACGCTTCTTATTGTTATTATTATTGTTTTTGTTTCTTTTGGTGTTGCTGTTACTGTTACTGTTGGTGTTTGTGTTCTGGTTGTTATTGTTACATTATTATAAAAATGATACACACGCGTACAAACACAACATGAGCATAAACCATAACCAAAACAAAGGGCCATAATGAAATGTCTTTATGTGGCGATTATCTGAACATAACAGGGCCCAATGTGTAATTAACTGGCTTGCGGTTTTGCGCTTGTCAACCCGTGCCCATAACACGCGTATATGAACTCTGAATTATGCTGTAAATATGTGCGAGAGATTTGAGAGAAGCAGAAAACATGACAAAAATTGTTGCCAATGGCAATTTTTGAATACAGGTTTTGCGCTTAAGTCAGATATAGCTTTTAGTTGCAGCTTATACGCATTTACTGATAATCTCATAAAGCTTGACTTATGATGCGGATTCTCGCACTTCTTATTAAACTTAAATTTCTCCCCAGCTGTCAATATTTCTTAAGCCTCTGCCACAATATGGCTTTATTTATTTATAGTCAGTAGCCAACAAAGTTACATAGCATGAGTTTATTTCCTTATCATATCTATCTTTAATTCAATTTGTCTACGGACTTAAGACCCACACGAACACGCACATTCCAAGAATTTTATTTTTTTTCTTACCATCTTGGGGCTTTTCCATTTTAATTTTGAAAATCATTTCATACATCCATATCAAAGCTTATCAAATTGTACGCTTGATGAGGAAGAAAAAAAGCAGAAAAGTTAATAACATCAAGTCAAGCTCTCACAAGCCGGAAATGGTCGACACATGGAGCCCAACACAAAAAAGCGAAGCAATCGACATCGGTGAATGTAGATGATGTGTCCTGGCAGCTGGCCAATGTTTATACAACTATCTGCGGCTGTTCGGGCTTTGCCTTTGGGTTTGTTTGCCATTTTTAAGCTCAACTGTAAATGAGATTTTGCACATTCGTTTTGTGCTCATTTTTCTTATTCACATTTTGGCCTTTGGCTTGCAAAGAGTAATTTGCCCCACAGATTCAACTATTCCAACTCCCCGCTCAAACGAACTATCTAATAATCAACTAGCTACCATTCACTACACAAGAAAAATTGAATTTAAATTAAAGAAAAATTTGTTCCATGAAAATAACAAATTGAAATGTGCACCAGAAAAAGAGAATTGATTAAAATTATGATCTTACATACATATATTTAAGTTAAAGAACAAAAGAAAAACAAAAGCATTACTCAAGTCGGGATGCTTTAGCCGTGAGTGCTCGGTCTGAATGAGGATAACGTTCAGTAAACAAACATTTACTTACAAACATCCTCATAAATTAAAAGCTTTAGCTTTAAAAATTCATTGTGTTGTTGTTTTTGTGAAGTCTTTTTGAGAAAAGCGTTAATACCGTTACTCAGATATGGCCTAGAAATGAGACATATATCGATTTTCACAGCATTATTATACACATTTGTTTAGCATTGCCCTAATGCAAAGTTACTAATGACATGGCTCGGTTAGTTAATTTGAAACAGGAGTCTGATAAATGAAATCATTTGCTGTTAGGAAAATCTCTAGAGATTGGAGTGGCAGCATTAATCGAGGTAGTTGTCTATAATTTAAATTAATGATGAACTAATTTAATTTTAAGTAGTTTGTTAATACCTCAAAAAATGCAGTTAAATGAGTGACTAGAAACATCAGTTTTGACGATTACCGAAATCGATATATTAAAAGCAACAATAATTTAAAAAATGAGTGATTCCTTAATAAAGTAAACCAGTACATAGATTGGGAAAATATTAAAACATCTCAAATTAGGAAATCTCATTAGATTTACCAAAGACACCAAGTTCTCACTGAACTCAAACTTAAAACATCTGATTACTTTTCTATGAAGAATTTGTTCGCTTCGTTTTAAACTGTTGGGAAGTTATTTCCCATACAATTCCATCGCTTCGCCTTAAAGTGTTTAAATTCAAAGTTATATGCTATACAACAGTCTGCCAACGAATTTTGATGATATTTTTCATGTTGCCCCACAATGGCACTTAGGTTGCTGATTCTAAGAAATTGCAATCGACGAACAAACACTTTTCATGTAACTCGTAGAACGTTGGCCAAGCAACAAATGCGTGATTGCCACTTGGGCGTATACGTAATTAATGATGCTCACGATTTTGTGATGCTCACGAAATTGTCAGTTTTTGACAAATATCGCCTGATGGGCTGTCTAAGTCTGTAGCACTTAATCAGCGCCAGACAAATCTCTAAGATGCTTTCAATTAGTTGGCGCTTAAGTAATTATTTCTAATGCAAAAACTTGTGACGTATGATTGATAGCTAAGGCGTGTTAAGAACCTATAGTGCGGCTGGTGGAAAACAGGGAGGGGGTTATATACACAAACCCCATTTCAACAGAATGAGTCGACCCGCATTTGCGTTTAATTCGCACATCAGACACACAAAACATGCAAACACACAATGGAATACTGACACAATCATGAGCATTGCAAGGATTCGTTCCTATACCTCGCACGCTCCGTTGGTCATAATGAATGAACTTCTGTGGCCAACAAGCCAACAGTGGACAAAGTCCGGCCACTTTCAAACCCATTCACAATATAAAATATTGACAGTGTCATAAAATATCAAACGCAATACATGTGTAACCAAAACAAACTAAAACTCAAAGCACTGACTGTAAAACAAATAAGATAACCATGAAAGATGCTTTGACTTGCCACTGTAAAATAATGGAATGCCAGCAAGAATATTGCGTGTAGTTGACATAAATATTGCCCTTAAACTGCTGAACTGCTGAATTGGCTTTGAAATCGAAACATATATGCTACAAATAACCACATTTTAAGTCGACAACTCAAGTATAACCATTATTGCTAATCTACTCGAACTCACTTCAGTACATGATGTTTTGTGTACTTACAATTATTAGCCTATTATTCACAGAATTCTGTTTAGCAGAAGAATTATAGCAGACCACATTTGAAGCAAAGCAGTTTAACAAGTTTCAACAATGCCTTTGAATGGGTTGCGTCAGAGTCAAGTGTCATATGCATATTGCATACATCAAGCCCTTTCATATCAGCCAACTCATCTGGCTAGAACACAATGTGCTATTCAATACCAACACACATCACACTCTACTCAGCACACTCACACACAAGCTCTCAGGAAAAAACATGAAAATCAATAAAAAAAAAATATAATAAAAAAAGACGAAATATCGCATTACACACGCGCTTTGTTCTCGGTTTCATATTATTATTATTAATATTCTGTTTTTGCTTTCATTTTTGTGTCAATTTTGATTTTGGCGGCCACGCTGGCGTATGATTGATTTTACGGCACACGCAAGTTGTTCTAACTGAATATGCACAAAAACGTTGCATAACTAAAGGCGCTGCCAGCCTACACAAAAATATACAAATTGCAATCGCAGCGTTGACATATAGCAACGACAGACAGTTGCCATCAAAGCGCTTCACGAATTGCTAGTCACAAATGGGATTCAATTCGATTCAATAAGCGCCTCCCATGTCCTCGTCCTTTCCCACCAGTTAGTCACATTTCCCAACTGTGCTTCCCATGCAAAAGTGTGGGTGCCACATAAGCTGATCAGATTGCGAGCCTATTTGTTCACGGAAATTCTCAACGTGATGACTTTTTCAGTTGTGTTGGCTTGTTTCTAATCGTATTACATTTGCAAAAGATTGGGTTGAATGGATGTTTTTTTTTGGTAGAAAGAAATTGTTAGCAAATTGAATGATGCATTTTTTATGAAAAAGTTGGGCAAAAGTTATTATTATTTTAAAAGTCTAATATCAATCGCTTATCAGAGTAATACTATTGTCAGGACACAGATACATATTAATACACATTTTAACGACTGCAAATCTCAGCAAACAAAATGAAAATGTAAACTATTGTTGAAAGTTCTTTTAGCTCTTTTGCTAACTGATACAATGTTAAAATATATTTTTCTGATTTTATCTCTGTGCAATTCTCTGTGCAATTCTCTGTGCAAGTGCAAAATGCTTTGCTGTCAAGAAATTCTAGCTACATTTTAGCTCTGAGCAGTTTCTGTGTTGCTGAAGTTCTTTAAATCGAGTAAATAAAGTAAAATAAAATTATAAAATAAACTAAGTGAGGCCTTAAGCTATTTGATAACTTATGCGGAATTCACCCAATTATTTACTTATATGTTAGACATTTCAATGAAATGCAATAACCAGCCAATTTGCAAATGCGAAACATTTTATTTGAGGTGTTCGTTAGGCTAGCCAATAAAAACAAATATGAAAAGAATGTATTGCATATACAAATAACAAATTTATTGCCAATCAGGCAAATCCCAAAATGCCGAAGCTATTTGAAATGCAAATAAAATCTAGTTGAAAGCATAAGTTTAAATCAATATAAATAAAAATGCAATTTTTTCCCGAATTTTTGCAGGGCATACATCAACTGTTGGAATATCGGCGCCAAACAGTAGCAGCAGCCACAGCAACGAAATAACTACGCAGTGAGAGGCAATGTACTCGACATGATGTCAACGATATGAAAACAAAGCACAAAAATTGCATTTCCGTTGCCTCTGCAAGTAGTGAAAAAATGAAGTCCGTCATCCTTTATCCATATGGACCGCTAACTGGTGGCGCTCGCTGTTGTCGCATGTTGCACGCCAAAAATTTGGCCATAACAAGTGCAATTTACACAATTGTAAGTTGCAGCAAGGACTGCCCCTGTTATTATGTCGCACGCTGTTTACAACGTCTCCACGGGGCGTATGCGCAATGTCATTGTAAACTGTTTGCACTGTCACAGTGAGAAAATTCTACTTTTATACCTGTAATTAATTCGCTTGTATTCTCATGGACAGCAATTTTCATAGAATTTCCTTTCAATTTTAATGAGTGAACGGATAAACCTCGTTATTTTAACACATTATAATAAGGCTACCATTAATAATGAGAAATTGACACAATAGAAAACTTAAAGTTGCTCAAGTTGCTTACTTGATGTAACTTCTGCTTTAAGCGATTCATCATCTAAAATATCATCAAAATGTATTTTGAAGCGCACTTTGAAGATTTTTAAAGCCTCTAATTAGCTAATGGCATGAAAACAAATTTGAAATAATTGTTCAGACATAGAAGTGTAGTTAAGATATATACTTAGCACTCCTATTAGGAGCGTCATACCAAAAAGGGCAGCAACAATTACTTTATCGTCGTACAGTCGCTTCTTCATCTTCTGCCATATAAATTGCAATTACACGACGCTCACGATGGCTTTTAATTTATGTTAATGGACGAATCGTGCATGGGATTTTAATATGTACTCCGCCTAACAATGAATAGTATATGCAGCAAGAGTACAAAAACAAGAACAACCAGTGCAATTTGTGAATTGCTGTGCAGCGTGAATATATCAAAAATGATGTGCATGAAACGGTCGCGTAAAATTTTTATTTAGCTTTTGAATTTCCATGTTCTTGGGTGTCTGTAGTCTGCAATTAGTGCCACATTTTATTCTTGAATTGAGGCACTTCACTGAGATGACAAAGTGTACTGCATGTACTCGATGGCGAAAAATGAAAGGTTAGTCACGCAGCATAATGAATGTGCCCGCAGAGTACGAAATTATTCACTTTGTCATTTAATGCGCAATATTTTGTTAGCATAAATTACGCAAATTTTTAATTGCATATTCGGCTGTATATCAGGACTCCATACAGAGGCAGTCCATGAACTAATTAGCACTTTGAACAGCATCTAGTTAAAAAGCAAACGCGTGTTTTATTAAGATATACAAAAGGGGCACACAGTTTAAACGAATGGGGGTACCCACTGCGTATGCGTGATATGTTTGCTAATGCTTTTTCCTTTCACTTCTCTGTCATTTAAGAATATATCACTCTTAATTGTCCTGATCTACTCCTGGCGCATCAGTGTCAACATGCACAAGTCTGCCGACTTACAGGATGTCTACTACGGTAAGAACAAGCTACATAAATATTTAAGCAAAATACGCTGACGACTTTAAATAAAGTGTACGCATATTTAATATTTAATGAGAAGCTCTAGGGCATAATTAACCAGTCCAACAACTCTGAAGGCATATGACTCTCTTTTTATTAATTTATTGGTGTTTTCTTTTCCTAGTGCAATCAGATTAGGCTTAGACACTATTTAATGGCTCTAAAAAGTTGGTAAAATATAATTTTAGAATGAATTTCGAACTAAAACCGCGTTTTGTAACTTTGAATGGAAGTTCGCTCTTAGAGGTCAAACCATGGTCAAAATGACCAGATTTTTTAAATATTGTCACTTTTGACATAGCTATTGCCCTGGAAAGTTTTCACCCGACGCTAGAATAATTTTTTTAAAATATAATTTTATTTTGAAATTTATGACATTGACGGTAATTTGATTCTCTTGAATATTTAATTTTCAGCTTCAAAGTTTGTGTGGAAAAATGCGTTAAAATCTTTTTATCTGTGTAGGGATTTAATATATTCCCCAATGTATGCTTGTTAACTGTCGAATTTTATTTGCTTAGTCAATTTTCCCTTTTCTTATTTTGCAGGTGTACAAATTGCATATTTTGCCATAATTGGCACACAAATGGCGATGATATTGCTGAGCATTGTTTTGATATGTGGCATCTGTCGGGTAAGTTTCGTATGTTTGATCAAGGGCTTTTCAGCATTTTGCACAATTCAACAAAGGGTTGCCACACAAGTAAACATCCCCCCACACAACACAATCAGATGAAAAAAAAACAGTAACTGGTATTTGAAATATCTTAACGCCGCATATGTGCAAATTATGCGCATTTTGTGACTGTGACTGTGACTGAACTGTTTGCAGGGCCATGCAAACAAAGCGCATTCAAATGAAAATTATTCGCCAGTTAGACCGTAAGCACAGCCCCCACTTCAAATGCCCTTATTACAGATGTTAGTGGGGTGCTTTCACAAAGTGTACATCAAATATTTTTATGCAGCCAAAATGTATAGATCCGACAAACAAAATATAATTTTCATTTTACTTGTATACGAATTTGAATTGTTGCCCGAAAACACATTAAATTTTACAAAAGAGTAATAAACACGGTTAGTTTAAAGATCTACTTTATGATAGCGTCATCATACCCTTGGCCAAAAACTTGTAAATAAGACCAAATGAACCGTTTGGCATATGTAAAAGGGTTGCCAAAAAAAAAAAAAAAAAGTAAACAATTTGTCACACAATTGGGTCTACAGATCCATCTGTCGGATGGCGAACGAGTGACGGCGACACATGACAAAGATTACAGGCAGTTGTTGGAGCGAATATTGTGTGGCGTATTGTGTGGAATTTTTTAATTTCGACCTCACAACAAAAACAAGAATACACAACAAGGAAACACAACGAAAACGACAACGAGGGCCCTAAAATGTATGCTACATTTATTTGTACTGTGCCATGCGTATGGATGTGTGCATATATGTGTGTGTGTGTGTGTGTGTGTGTGTCTGTGTGTGTGTGTGTCTGTGTGTGTGTGTGTGCGTGTGTGTGTCTGTGTGTGTCAGTGTTTGCGTACATTTGTGTGAGAATAGAAAAGCTTGCTTTATATGCTCTTGAATGTTGGAGGAAATTAATTGCAGCTTGCCCTTAGGCGTCTGTGACCTGCGTGAGAGCCAGCAGCTGATGCGCTTGAATAATGCATACAACATTGGTATTAATTAGAGCTGCCTGCCTATTTTGACAACAAAGTGTATAGACAACAATTTAACAAAAGTGCCTGGTTTTTTAAATTGGGGAGCACAGAATATATCGCATATGTTTTGACAAAAACGCGACACAAACTCAATTAAAAACATGCAAACGCGTGAAAACGTTAAATATTAAATTTCTGAAATGATTTAACTGGCTTAAAATTTAGTCTAAAATTCGTCTCTAACAATATGAATATTTTTTGAAACATCCATCAGAATTTCTCTGCTTCACTGTGCGGGAAAAACTGTCACCAACAGCAATGCACGCTGCTAGGCAACATTTTTCATAAATAAAGCAAAATGCGACACGCGAAAAAGTGCCAAAAATGCAATCAGAGTTTTTACTCCCAAACGATATAAATTACACAATGCGCGCACACACATACACACACACACATACAAATACACATGGGACACAAAATGTTTGATATAGTGAAGGTAGGCAGGAAATCAATGCCTTCAATTTGATAGCAGGCTAAAGGAGTGTAAATAGCTCACCGAATCGACAATCGCCCACAATATATTCGAAAAGGGCAATAAAATATTTATGCCTCCGTTATGCTCTACTCTGTTCTGTTGCCCACAGGAAAACCCCGGTCTAATTGTACCCTGGATAATTGGGTATATTACGTTTATGGCCTTGGAAGCTGTCGCCATGGTTTATTCGAATGTGCTGCGTGATCATGTGAATAAGGTAAGTTAAATCCTTTGGGACAAACCTACCACATACCAACAAGTAGGGAAAGTTATCGCGCCAACCAAACGCTTTTAATGCATATTTAAAATGCTTTGACTGGCTGGCTGGTGAACCATTTGCTTAATGAAAATCCCCACTATCCAACCCATAAACCTCCAGCTAACCTAAGCCCCCCAGCTTTGAGGATAACCCATCAAAAGCTTCGACGCTGCGGGAGCTGCCTGTGAATTATATGAATGAGAGTTCTTGAATGCCGCTTTGGCATAAATCAATTCGAGCCAAAGCACAAAGGCCTAGCAAAACAAACAAATAAATTGCAAACGCTCAATGATAGAAAACCAAAAAAAAAAAAAACAAAACAATATCGAGGGAACAACAACAAAAGAAACAATAAGAGGAGAATCCGTAACATATGTAAAAGCTGCTGTTTTATGCTAGAATCGAACAAAGGATTTAGGTTATGGTCGAGTGCCGACGACAGTTGAATGCACTACAATGGAAATAATCTCATCATTCAGATGTCAGAACCAATTCAAATTTTTTCCACGTCAAATCTGACAGGATTGGGAAACTTTATTCAACATTATTAAATTGTTACGAATAAATAAGGAGCATCTCATACTTATTAATTTTCCAAGATCTGCGTTATTATTAGCAGAGAAATACAAACAAATTTCAAAAAGAGTTGCAACCCGAAATTAAAAGGACCTCATACATACTTTACGAATCTTTCACGCCAGATTTAAGTAATTAGATCATCTTAGTTATTTAATTTACAAAAGTTTTCATGACAGAGTAACAGAGTGAAGCGCATGGTCAACTTAAAAAAAAAATAACAAAAAAAAGAGTCCTCAAAAGTTCGTCCACTTGAAACTAGTAGCAACGCGACGCGGCAAAGCACAAAGCTGACAACCGGGTTCATTCAGTTACTTCGTCACCAGCACTTCCTCACTTTTTACCCTTCTCCTGAACTTAGCCAGACCTAACGCAGGCTTATTACACACACACACACACACACACACACACACACACACTCAAATAGACACTTAGCCACTGAGACTTTGACATTTTTCCATGCCATTTAGTCTCTTCTCACTTTACCCCGTCCGCTATTTTTATCTGCCTCCAGCATTTGTTTTGCGGCGTTTTCCATTCCGACCGAAACCTGTTTCGTTGTTCGCGTTTCTGCTGCAATTGTTGTTCTTGCTTTCTTGTTGTCTTCTATTTTTTTTTTCTGCGAAAACGTTACAAAAATTTCTACCTCATGCATAATTTATTGCAATCGTAGAGGTAAAAAATTCATGGTTCTTGCGCTCTCATCGCCATGACACGAAAAACCTTCAATGAGGTAGAGTTTTGTGCTGTCTTTTTGCATAGTAGTCTGTATCTGAAAATGCTTGTAAAATGGCATAATAAATCAGCGGATATCACAAATAATCTATATATATTAGCATTATATTAACATATCCAACTAAATATATTTATAAAAAAAAGTATTTTTAGCAGCAGTATTATATTTGGTACAGGGTATAATTTAGTTTATGACTTGAGTAGACTGCTTTAGGGGTTTTGTTTTTGATTTTTGTTCTTTTGTGGCATGTTTTGACCATTTCAGTTCATTTAAATTCAATAAGCTTCCATTTAAATGCATTAAAACAGCAACAACCACTTGATCAAGTTTAATGGAATAATTGTAAAATCCTTTATCATAAATTAAATTGATTTTGATACATTTTCCTCTATTCTACAGCAATTTGATGCCATGTGCAAGGCGGAAGTCGCATTTTTCATAGCGCGTGCTTTAATTAACGTAAGTAAACAAGCAAACTTTGCCAAAAGTTATGTATGTTATTTAAGCGATTGCGTTAATGGCCCATTTGATTTTTAAAAAAAGTTTTAAGTTCACCGTTCCAGGGCTTAATCGTTAAGAAACTCTGTGATCGAATACTTTTTATTTGTTTACACTAAAAGTTCACAGTTTCGATTTGCACTTTTCGATTTTTACTCAATTTACATCTTTATATTCCACTGCTTTTCAATGGTATATAAGTATAATTAAAATAATAACAAACGAATGAATCCAATCTAAGCATTTAGGAAAAATTGCTATTAATTAAAGCTTAAATTATATGAAACACATATCAAAGTCGACAAAGCACTCAGCAGAATTGCTCAAAAAACCATTAGCGAAAAGCGACCATTTGGCACGCTCATACAAAAGTAATATTCGGTTATACAAAATAATTTTATTAATTGCCATTTTTTTAAATAAAACTAATGAAGTCAGAGGGACAAATTCAAAAATAAATATTTTCAAAATTTAGAAAATGTTAATTGCCATTTGAAGTATTCGCTTTATAGCCAAGCAACAAAGCAACTGAAATTCAATTAATAATAATCGTATCAAATGAACTAAACTAAACAATTTATTTTCAATTAGTTCATTAGAATCGGTATGAATAATTTATCGATTTCAGCTTTTTGTCTGAAGTAAAACACAACAAATGCAATGAATAACATAAATATAGCTAAAGCCCATTAAATCGTTTACGAGAATACAAATGTTTTTCCGGTCATTTAGAGTCCTTCAGCCACAAGAGCGTCGTATTCTATGTGTGTGTGTGTGCTTGTGTGTGAAAGTGTGTCTTGACCTAAATTGAACTTATGTTACTCAATTTAAACTTTAATCCAATCGAAACAAAACAGGTGCTGGCCATGTGGGGAGTGCTTCGCTTCTACAATCTTGTGCGTTCAGGCATTACCTGGCGTGGACCGGAGGTAAGTTCAATTTAGTTCATCCAGATCAGTACATAAAGAGGATTCGACATATTGAAATGACTTTTAAAACAGAATACAGTTTAGCAAAAAGATAAGTTCTGAATATTTACCACAATCAGATATCTAAAAGAAAACTCAATTTTATTATTAATGAAAATCTAGTATTTTTATATAGTTTTACTTAATTAAGTGTAAATTTTAAGTGCTTCACACTTTTTCTCCAAATTTAGCAGTCAACTAATAAGTTTTAAAAATATATCAATCTTAAATTGCTTGAATAAAAAATATATAATTTGTAGCAAATTGGAATGGTATTATTATCTACACATTTTCATCAATTTAATTAACTTAAATATTTACAAGAAAGGACAATAATAGTTTATCATTTAAATAAAATAATAATAATAATAATAATAATAATAATAATAATAATAATAATAATAATAATAATAATAATAATCATAATAATAATAATAATAATAATATTAATAATAATAATAATAATAATAATAATAATAATAATAATAATAATAATAATAATAATAATAATAATAATAATCATAATAATAATAATATAAATCTGTAGATTTTTATAACCAAATATGAAGGTTATAAATTATACTAATTTGTTTATTATTGCAATCAAATCTAGGCCAAAACCGCCATATTTGCACCCATGTACAAGAGCGTGAGCACACACAGCAAATCCTCGTCAGTCCAACTGGAGGGCAAACGCTCCAGGCAAAGACAGCGACGCTACAGCGTCGAGGTGGAGAGCGGCTGTTGTGCCATCTTTGACTTTGACTTTGACTACGACGACGATGACGAGGATGAGGACGAGGCGACAGATGATGGAGTGGGCTATGATTATGATGACTACTACGACTACTATGAGGATGAGGATGAGCAACAGCTGGAGCTGGAACAGCAGGACGACGCTGATTGCAGCATGCTGGGCAAGGGAGCGCCCAAAACGAGGCGCACACGAACGGCAACTATGAAGATAAGGGGTCGTCGCAGTAACAATAACATACGCAGCGTGCTGATCAATAAGCGGCACAATAAATACAAAATCAGTCGACCGCAAACCCAGCTGGAGGTCATCAATGAGTCCGAGCGCAGTGCGGGCAGCGGCAGCGATGAGAACGACTCACTGTTGGTGGCCTATGACAGCAGCTCGTCGCTGGCGTCGGTTTGACATTGGCCGCCATGCCACAATGGAATTGCAGCAATTGGGCGCGGGAGCAAGGCTACGCCTCGACCAGCCGACGATAGCAACGGGAGCACCTCAAGCGATGACAGCGATGCCAGCAGCAACAGCAGCACCAGCAGCACGAGCAGCAGCAACACCAGCAGGAGCTCCATCAGCAGCGAGAATGACGAGACGCGTCAACAGCATTTGCAGCCTGGAATCCGGTTCCCAGGTAAATGTTGTGGTCAGCGTCAGCGTAAACGCCGACGTTCATTGCGACGCGTCTACTGCGCTGTAAACGTATCCATAATGGGCCTATTAGTGGCCGTTGAGATATACGCCCAATTAGCCATATTTCTATAGATAGAGCAACAGTCCAAGAAGTAGTTCTAAGATTGCTGCACACATGACAAATAAATATATTCTAATTAAAGGAATAAAATGCTATAACACATTAAATGACTATAAGTTGAATATTATAGTTGAAATGAACAGCAAAAAAAACCTGATAAAAAGTTGAAATTGTAAAAATACAGAAATGTACATATGCATAGAAATAAGTATATATATTACATCGGCGAGATAGTCGATTAAAGTGTGGCCAATTTCAATAGATAAATAATTTAATATATTTAATATAAATAATAAGATTATTTAACCTATAGTTATGTGAACATAATGTAATGTTATTCAATAGCATGTCAACAAAGACCTCAAGTGAAATCAGCTCCAACAAGGCGAGCCCGGAGCTTAAGAAAGAAAAAAATATAACCTCTTGGCTCATTCTCAAATTCTATTAACTTAAAGAATGGACAGTATCTAAGAAACTATTAAACAATAAATAAAACCAAAAATATTATTAACTATAAATTTAATGAGCTGAAAATTTGAGAGTGGGGAACCAATTTTTTTCTCTTTGAATTAAAAACTTAATTAAAAATATTTGTTCACCCAAGTATTGATTTATTAATAACTGGTGAAACTTGGAATTCCAACAGCTAGATAAAGAAGATATTAACCCAGTGAAAAACAATTCAGCTTTATAGTGTACCCTATTTAATAGTATTGACACCCATTTTGCTCTGTTCGTATAGAAGCGTACAAAATACAAACTAAACTTACGTATAGCAAATTGTTTTGTTCTTTGGGGCAAGCAACAAACAAAAGCTTTAAATACTAATATAGATAATGATTAAGAGCCAACAAAAAATACAAAACAAAAAAAATGCTAAGCTAAGAGTTGAAGTGGGCTATAGATAGTTATTGTAAATAAATAAATCCCATTCAACCCGTTCATATTAATATCAAATTACAACATTAATCATATCGCTAATTGTACAAAATTGTCTAAATATACAAAGCTAAGCAGACTAATGTGTACATGTATATATTTAAATGTATTTGCTAAAAGTACAGTTGCGCCAAACACAAAGCTTATCATTAAATGTGAGTTGATGTATACCCAGAAACAACAAAAAAGAAAAAAACCCAAAAAGAAAAAAATACCGGAATAAACAATTGATATTTGTGCAAAAATGATACGAATTTCTTGATGGTTAAACGTGCGGGGCACGTGAAGGAAGCAATCACTTTATTACTTTTCACTAATCATTGGCCGAGCACTCGACAAATACACGCGAGCACTTAACTTACTCGGTCCAATTTCACAGCATGTTTTGCGGTTACTTTACATTTTCTGTTGATTTCTGATAGCATTTACACGATGTGTTTTAGCCTAGGGATAGTTGTGGTATAAGGGCAAAAATTAAAAAAAAATCGACAGTGGAATTTCCCGTTTCTTGAATCTATGCATTTTAGTGGTGCGACACGAAGATACCACGTAACCAATCAAAATGTTAGGAATGGTATAAACTCTCTAGATTCAAGTTTCTTTAACGAATATACAAATGGAAAAATAAACTCCGGTTTTACTGCTTTATCATCAAGCATAGAGCCGATATCTTTTCTGTTGTTTATACCCAATTTATGCCTTTTAACTGGGTAACAAAAACAAAAGGTTTCTTGACGCTAGTGCGTTGGGCCCAACTAATTAACTGATAAGAGCAAAAACCCAACAGTCGTTCACGTGACACGTGCAACACATAATTTAATCAAAGTAATCAACTCGTACTCCACACGCCGTATGCATACGCAGTAAGCTGCCAGTGATATCTGCAAAGTAGATACGAAAAATGATCTAATCAATGCTGTGCATTAGATTTAAAAGCGCTTGGGTTTTTCAGAAGCCCACACAGTAGAGAGACATGCAGAGTCCGGCAATGATTGGTCTGAGTGTCCTGCTTTTGCTGGCGGCCAGCAGCCAGGCACGCCTCCTGCCCATCCAAAATGAGGTGCTGTGGTCAGCGGATTTGATCGAAGCGCCGCTGGAGGTGCAGCAAGATGAGCTAGCAGGAAGAGCGGGTAAGGAAAGTTTGCCCTGAATTGGATATGTAGCTTGAAGTGGTATATTTTATAGCTGGCTGCTCCATTAAGATCAGAAGCACTGAAATGAAAAATCCACAACCGTTGCTTATTAAGCCTGGCACCTCGGAATTTTTCCCGTTCTCGGCAACTGGCTTTGTGGATGTGGAGTATGACAAGACCATTGAGTTCCACTGCACCAGCAGTCTGGACTCACCTCTTTCTGGCAAATTCGTAACGGCCAAGTGTGTGGGTGGCACAACCTTTAAGGTTGGCGACAAGCAGCATGATATATCCGCGATTAAGTGCACTTCCTGGCCGGCATTTGTGGCCAAGAAGTCTGGAGCTAAGTGCAATGGTGGCACTACCCTTGTCAATGTCGGCTTTGAGCTGAGCGGCTCCCGTTTTGCCAAAGAATACGAGGTATGCTTCAATGAGGATGAAGAGGTAACTCGCTACGTTTACCATACTCTCAGTGCGGGCAGCAATTATTATGCCACCGGTGTGGATCGCATTACCTTTGGAACCGGCGGCTTCTTTGCTGGCAAGAATGTGGACAAGCTGTACACACAGGCGGTGCAGAAGGAGACAATTGACAAGACCTTGGGCATGGATTCATCGAAATACTTTGACTCACCGAAGAATGTATTCCTCGCACGCGGTCACATGGGCGCTAAGGCGGACTTTGTTTATCCACCCGAGCAGCGTGCCACATTCCTGTTTATCAATGCGGCACCACAGTGGCAGACCTTCAATGCTGGCAACTGGGCACGTGTCGAGGATGGCGTCCGGGCGTGGGTATCGAAGAACAAAAAGTATGTAGAATGCTGGACGGGTGTTTGGGGTGTCACCACCCTGCCCAACAAGGATGGCAGGCAGACCAGTTTGTATTTGGCTTTCGATAACAATGGCAATGGTCTGATACCCGTTCCCAAAATCTATTTCCGTGTGGTCATCGAACCAAGCACCAAGAAGGGCATTGTCTTTGTCGGTGTCAACAATCCGCACTTGAGTCTGGATGAGATCAAACGCGATTACATTCTGTGCAACGATGTCAGCGATAAGATCAACTGGATCAGCTGGAAGCGCGCCGATATCCTAGCTGGCTACTCCTACGCCTGCGAAGTGCCCGAATTCCGTAAAAAGGTTACTCACTTGCCAGAGTTCTCTGTGAGTGGTTTGCTCGTTTAGTTTTAAATAAGATTGAATAAAAGAATACTACGAATATGTAAAATTTACTTGTTCGATGGGATTTTGATTGGAAAGTGAGTGTACATTATCAAATAAATATAGAATTTATTATTGATTAACATTATATGTTATTTTCTGCTGCTGAAATATATATTATATTTGATATAATATTATGGGGATATTTACATATACTAATAGCAAAATTTTTTTCTTGCCTTAACCCAGCTAAAGTACAAAATGATTTTCTATTTATCCGACATTTTTAAAATGATCGGTTGCATTTTGTATGTTTCTAACAATTTACAAAGCCTTAGATTGCTCCTTAGTGATGATAATGTTATCTGCAGTATTCCATATAAATTTTCTCCACTATCCATTAAATTATGCCTGTGAATTACACATCATTTAACTTGACCTCTTCAAAGTTAAGGTCTTAAATTCCTCTTGTTAACTAATAAGCATTTTCTGTTTAAGTGATTTTTGATGGGATAATCAGTTTTTTTATTGGAAAGATCTAGACAAGCAGACCACCCTTGGCGGTCAGAGCGGGCAAAGTTTTGACCGTCTTGAGGAAATCGGCGACCTCACAGGCGTACGACCAGCCAGCCTTGATGTCCGTCGTCTTCCAGTTGATGTAGGTGACCTGATCGCTAACATCGTTGCAAATCACATAGTCCTTCTTGATCTGGGCCTCGGTCAAATGGGGATTGTTGACGCCGACAAAGACGATGCCACGATGTGTTGAGGGCTCAATGACGACACGGAAATATAATTTGGGTACGGGAATCAGGCCGTTGTTGTTGCCATCGCGAGCCAAATATAGAGGGGTCTCCACGCCATTTGTGTTGGGCAGTGTGGTCACGCCATAAACACCAGTATAGCAGTTGACATCCATGCGGTTCTTGGACACCCAGGAGCGTAGACCATCCTCAACGCGAGCCCAGTTGCCAGCGTTGAACACCTGCCACTGTGGTGCCGCGTTTATGAACAGGAATGTGGCACGCTGCTCGGGCGCATAATCAAAATCGGCCTTGGCACCCAGATGGCCGCGTGCCAAATAAATATTTGCACCCGAATTGAAATACTGATCGGCATTGCCGCCCAAATCCTTATTAATGGTCTCCAGCTGTGTGGCCTGTGTGTAGAGTTTGTCCACGTTCTTGCCACCGAAGTAGCCAGCGGTCTGGAAGGTAATACGATCCACGCCCGTCTCATAGTAATTGCTGCCCGGGAAGAGCTGATGGCGCGTATAGCGAGTAACCTCCTCCTCCTCGTTGAAGCAAATTTGCATTTGCTCAGCAAAACGCGATGAGGTAATCTCGAAACCCACCCGAATGACAATACCACCATTGCATTCAGCACCCGTCTTGAGCGCCTTAAAGCCCGGCCAGGACTTGCAGTACAGATCCTTGAATTCAAAATTATCGCCATTGATCTTAAAGGTGGTGCCGCTCACGCAAGTCGCTGTCAAAAGGTTCTCAGAGTGTGTATTGAAACCACTTGGACACCAGAGCTCCAAAGTTTTGCCACTTTCCACATCCATTTTGCCGACATCATTGAATGGATACAGTTTTTCCGTATTGGTTACCAAGTACACAGGCTCCGGTTTGGGCAGACCACCACGAATGGTGACACTACAGGCTGTTCTCATGGGAAGGAGGAATCATTAGAATAAGATCCCTTTTAGTTTCTCTACTTTCTCGCCCATTACTCACCAGCATCACGGTTCTCTGGCAATGGTTCGGGGAGGATGTAATGTTCATCAACAAGCGGTGGCAATTCTACTTCGCGCAATGGGACACGAGCCCAGGCTGCATGAGCCACAAATAGTAGTAAGATACTTAGGCACTTCATTTTGCTTATAGTATGATCGTTGGGATCGCGCCGCCCTTAAATAGAAGCAGTCAAGCTAATATCTCAACTTAACATTATCTTAATACATTTGGCAAATTAATTAAAAATATTTCCCAAATCAGCGAAACACATACAAATACTGATTAAATACCATAATCATTGTGAGCTATTTAAGTACTTCATTCAATTGATTCGAGTGCCCGCGACAGATAACCATTGAGAGTTACCACAATTGCATCAGCAGCAGCAACAGCAGCAGCTGCGGAGAGGAGGGAACACTTGAGCAGTGGCGTTGGGGGAGGGGGGGTAGATTAAGCTCAATATGTCAAAGGTCGACGGCTATTGGCATTAATTAATGAAATGTAAAATGAACGGCGGTGTAGATGACAACAGGAAACGCAGTGAATGAAACGAAAGCAATTAGACTCAAGGACAGGATGAAATGCGCGACAAGGATAACAAGGCGTCAACCATAGGGAGAGGGAGAGTGTGTGTGGGTGAGGGCGGGTGTGGGGGCGTGGGCGAGTATAATTTGTGAAAATTGATGATTTGTTTAGATTTACGAATGAGCGAGCAAAACGAGCCAAATTGGCACGTAGCAAGGACAACAAACGGCAACGACAGCAAAATGGCGGAGCAAAATACAAAAGAAACGAAAAGTGGGCGAGAAAAAAGGCAAAAGCAAAGGCAAAGGAAAAGGAAAAGGTGCCCGAATCACGAAGGAAATGGAATGTGCTGGCCAAGGTCCGGCATCCCAAGGTGCTTTGCTAATTGATTTGATGCAGATAAATGAGCTGAGCTGAATTCATCCAAATGCTTGACGCCGCGCACCACTAGATGGCGCCAGATAATGATTAATGAGGGCACCGGGAATACAACTAAAAGTCTTAACGCAAGCGTTAGGCCATTTAAGTTAATACGTTTTTGTTGTATTTTATGTATTATATATATATATATATATTTATCATATGCCCGAAGATTGAACTTTAAGTGTTCATAAATATTATTTACTTGTTGAATTCAAATAAAGGTTAAGCAATTTGGAGTTGGTCAAAGTTAATTCAAATGTTAGGGAACATTTAGAGTTGTTTGCCAGATTGAAAATGATCTACAAACTCCTAATGTAGCCAATGCTAAATCCTGCCAGGTTAACCCAAAGCCCAAAACGCAGATTTGTTACCTTTAAGTACCATTTAACTGATTGTCATTTGTCTTTCGATCTTATTGACTTTGTGATTGGGATTTGCGTATATTTTGTTTCTCCAATTTATCAACTGCCTTTCGTAAGAAGCTAGTTCAACAAGCTAGTTACATCATTAATGTAGAAGCTAGTTACAACAGAAAATAAACTACAAACAATTTACAACTTGACAAAACGATTTGTTCAACGATGCAAAAGCACACACACTCAATTTGTATTCGCATTTAAGTGTTTGAGTGAAATTCTGTTGAAATTCTATTGCCAACAACTACAGCTTTAAAATTGCAGAAAATAGATTACACTTATTTGGTTTGCTTTCATCGAATGTGAATAAGAAATAAACTGAATATCAAAAAACTGCTATCAAAAGATAAACGGATTTTAATTTGATTCATATTCATATTAAAAATTAATGTTAATTAATATTGTTTTTATTATACTTGAATATATATAAATATAATCATTTTACGCTATCAGATTTTTGATAGCTTTATTTGAATTTAAAACCATGTCAATTACGGAACTTTATAAAGTTTATTCCCAATATATATTGTTATATATATATGCACAACAATTGTTTGTTTACATGAAGGTTTAAAGCCAATTGCTAAACCTTCTCACAGCAAGAGTGACTACAACGATCGATAAGCTCGAGGGAGATAAGAAAGTTGTAAGAGAGATAGAGAGAGATAGAGAGAGAGAGAGAGAGAGAGAGAGAGAGAGTGCTGCACAAAGAGAGCGTTGTACAATGAGCGTTGTACTGCTAACGCTGAAGGCTGCAACTCAAACTGCACTTAAAATAGTTTGGATACAATTACGACTAACAATATGCTATTTATATTAAGTCAGACGGGGATCAAAATTCAAGCATGTAAACAGTTCGTAAACAATTAAAACTTCTTTGCTGCTGCTGCCAACAAAATGAACAAAATGAAGAGAGACACCGATTTTAATTTGCTTAAAATTAATTTAAATAAAATGTTATTATTCGTTTTTATTTGATTGATAAGTGCTACAAAATGAGTATTGTTTTCTAGGTAAGAAATGATAAATTGTACACAAAAATGCGTTAAATTTTAAAGTTTCCGCTTAAGCGAACAAATAGACAGGCACAATTCCAACAATTCCGACACACTGTGAAAAAAAACCGTATATTTTAAATGCTCAAGTACTTGTGTGCATAGCAGTTGAATGGTGTCTCTTATAAATGGGTCACATTAATAACATATGGATGTCAGTGTGTGGGTAGAAGTTGGCAGATGCCTTTGATTGATAAGGCTGCCTAAGCGTGTTTGTTCAGCTAAGGGAAAAGCGGGCAAAGGAAGCCACCAACAATTTGCACCTTTTCAACAGGTTTCTGAATGGGCGTCAGCCAAATTGAAAGCGGGAGTCAATAAAGCTTTGAACATGACATCAGGTCCTGGGGCTAACGACACTCTGTCTGCCTCTAACTGTATCTGTATATGTATCTGTTAGTCTAAGTGTGTGTGTGTGTGTGTGTGTGTGTGCTGTCTAAGCGCAATGATGGATTAAATGTATTTCAAAGGCGTGAAAGCTAAAAGGTAGCACAAAGTAGCGCATTGTGGTTACATAATAAACATCAAGCACACTTCAATTTAGCTTAGGGCAGCAATAGACACTCACTAGCACACACACAGGACATACAAGTATTCAACGCTTGGCCGATTCGATGCGACCCAATAAAATATATATGCATATATATTGACTAATTGTCAAAGGCTTACAGCTAACAGTTTGCTGCCGTGCCCGGCTTATGCAAATCAGGGCAACAGCTGTGCAGTCAGGTGAAAGATCTCTGATAATTGTGACGAGTGGCTCCTTAAAGCCACACCAAAGGTTGAGGCATTGGCAATCAGTTCATCCTTCGATTTGCATTGATTGCGATAACAGCAACAACAATAACAATAGCCTTAAAGTGCTGCATAAGAGAATATGTTTGCCTTCTGTAAACTTTAAATGAAACGACAGCAAAAAACTGCAAGTAAATGAAGCGTATGCTAAATGGTGAGAGTAAGCTTCAGCTCTAGATGACGATAAAATCGGTCAAGAACAATCTTGTTCGACTAGGATGATGCCATTTTGAAATGGGTATAACCAAGCCTTGCTCGTATTTGTAGTCACAAATTTTATATGCATATTTGTAGAAAAATTGACCATATAAATTAGCAATGATTAAATAATGGATTTTTTATATGAGTAATCATATTATTAAATTTATAAGTTTATAACTGTTTTATTTGAGAGCACTTTATATTTATAGGTATCGGCGGCTGTCCGTCGAAACTCGTTTGCAATAATTTAAAGACATAGATGCAAAGAAAAAGTTGCTCAACATTTGATGAAAAAATCGATCCAACCCTCTAGTAGAGTATTCAAAATTGCCAGCAATGAAATATTAAGAAAGTTACAGCAGCGTGAATATTATCAAAGTAGTTGAACATGACGGGCAAATGTCAAAAAACGGTGGGCATGATTAATGAAACGACAGCGCCATCTAGCGTGCGAACTTGCGAACTTCGCATGTCGCTCACTCGCAGCAAAAATGAGTTGCATAAGTTACAGTTGGTGGAGTTGATGTATCGCTCTGCACAAAACTAAGTTGTCAAGCAACAGTACTAAAAACAAAGCAAAGTAATTATGAATAATCAACTGGCAAAGTTCTACCATTACTATTTTCCTTAATAAGTTTCTTAAATATTTAAGATTGTCTATTTTAGACCAGCAGTGGCTTTCAGGCTTTAAAATAAAAATGTATAAACTTTTTCCAAGCATGGAAATTAAATAAAATCGTTGCAAATTATTTTAAATAAGTTCCATTAAATTGCGACAACGAGTTGAAATGCAAATTTGTGTGGCAAGTTCTGCTTGGCAGCGTATGACGCGCATTAAGAAGCAATTAGGAAAATTGAAAGCAAGCAAATCTCGGACGAGCGAGGACAACGAGCAAAACTGGCATTAGCCTGCTGTCGCAAAATCAAGCCCAAACAACACAACTCGACATACTTCGATACACACACTCAGAACCACTCACACACACACAGACACACACAGACAGCCACACATACAGAGAATTAACACAATTACAATCTGCACATGTGTTAGTCTTATAAGTCGCATAAGACATGCGTTGACTATAAAGAAAAACCCAATTAAAAGTGATAAAAGTTATTGAAGCGTTGCCTTTGCCACATATAGCCTTTTGCCACTTTTGCTCACGGAACGCTCGCAATCTGCTAGCAAAACAGAAGCAGAAACAGAAATAAAAGAAGCGACAGACAGAAGGCGCTAGAAAAACAAATGGGCAACAAGCGAAAAGCGGTCGAAAAGAGCCGTACAAAGTGGGTGCCATTAGTGTGTTTTGCAACACGACGAGGCACAGCAACACAACACACAAACGCCACAGATCCAGATTATCACACGTTTGTTGCGTCTGGCGACAGGACAAATTCGAGACAGGGGCAACAGCGATGCGGGGCTGCCAAGCTTTATTACGCCATTTTTCAAATCAATTAGAGGATTTCTTTTGGTTGAAACGCACACGTTGACTAGCCATAGAAGATAAATTAAAGTCGCTGGCAATAAGCTTGCTAGTTATTGATAGAAAAAGGTGTTGAAAGGTTACACTTTGTTAAAGACAAGAAATAAATGCGGTCTACAAAGCTGTAACTAAGGCGGTTTCTTGTAATCTATAAAAGGTTTTTTACTTTAGCTTGAAATCTGTCTGTGGTGGATGGTTAAAGGCGGAAACAAATCACAATCGAGCTTAGAATCTTTTCCTTTTTGCTCTTGATATTGCTTAGATAAATCTTAAAAGTATTTAGTATTTTAAGAACACATATGGTTTTAATTTGTACATCATTCAATGAATGAATTCAACTCAATTTATCTTTTCAACGAAGTATTCCACACAATAACACTTTAATTACTTGGCCAAAGAAAATACAATGTAATTATCTGGCTAGCTGCACAAAAAAATAAAGGTACTCCTGGAGTACTCCGAGGAAATGCAACGCCAATAAAATACTTAGCTTGAGCATTTTCTGATTCATTTTCAAGCCAATCTCGAGGGTCATACAAAACGTCTTCACTGAAATTTCCTTTCATTCAGTCCGCCAATCGAAAGTCCACTAAGAACTTATTGCGTTCAGCAAACAAGCTTAACTTTGAGCTTTAACTTTGTTTTTGCTTTTGATTTTCTCTTTTTTTTTGCAATGGCTTATGTAATTGACTTTTACGCGACAATTTCAGCGCCACTTGGTGCACCAATTAAACGCCATCGATGACCAATTGCAGCCGTCGTCAGAAATTGCTGCAAATTGCGAAGCAGACAACGCATCGTATACGTAATGGCAGAAAAACCGAAATGGGGCGAAAGTGGATAAATTGGTGAAGCGTAATCAATGCATAATTTGATTGCCACTTAAAAAAAAAAAAGGGAAAAAACTCAATTATAGTTAATGCCTCAACGCTGACCAGGACTGACCATGGTATAAAAGCCGCTGGTTAACGACAAAGCCATGCAAAGGACTCACAAAGCACGCGGTCAGAACATGAATTCGTTAATATTCCCAACACTGTTGGTGTTGCTCTTGTTTTGGACGCTGACAACAGCAGCATCAGCATCAGCATCAGCAGCAGCAGTAGCAACTGCGACATCAATGCCAGACCACGTGTCACCGCCAGTTGATGATGGAATCCCCCGCGGACAAATGCCGGAGCAGCAGCAACATCAGCCGCACTCGCGGAAACGGAAGCAGGCACAGCTCAAAGGCGTTTCGTGGGGCAATCAATTGCCGGATATGCTAGTCGCTTACTTTCGCCAGTGTGGCGTGCACAACCTGCTGCTGGTTGTTTGTCATGCGGACATCGGTGAGTTTCTGATTTGCCCTAAAGCGCGTAACTACACTCAGAAAAAACAATTGTCCTGAATTTTTAGAAAATCGTTCCGAAAACTTGAAAGATTTTCTTGTTTTTCGAAATAATTTCAAGATATACCAGAAAAAACGTCATATTTTTTAGATTTATTTAAATCTCTAATTTGATGTCTTAAATAAAACATACACTAAAACTAATATTATACACTAAAACTAATATTAAAGTCATAAGTCATAAGTGCCGACAAACGGGAAACTGGTGTCCATCTTCGAGACGTTCTAGCCGCAAGGAGCACTCCTTGCACAGGCAGAGATGCCGGCAGGACACTATAACAATATTCCAGCTGCGATCCAGGGAAACCACACAAATTATTCGGTTTGTAATGCATTGACATCAGTTCGTTCCCTGACCTCAAATTTCTGTAGCACCCAGGATAATTGTTGGTCTATCCATCTCGATGCACTTAGAAGAGCTCTACACACTTTTTTTGACATTTCGTTGCGTAGTTTCCTAAGCAGATGGATGACATAGTAATACACATAGTCGCGGAACATATAGAGCACCAGGAGTAGGACGATGACAATGGAGAGCAGGACGATGTTTTTAGCAAATAGATGCCATGCTCAACTATACAAGCCGTAAAGTAATGAAGTGGAAGTATTAAATAGTCCAAGATGACAATGAATAACGTAAATGTAGTTGGATATATCGAAGACTCTGTGGAAGACTGTGATGTCTTTGAATATGGTCGCAGCCAGCTGGTAACCATCGCAGAGCAAGCTCCAAATGTGAGTGCTGCCTTGAACCAGGCAGTAACCCACAAACCAGCTGACGGCAAAAAAGTATTAAGTGTCTCAATTTTGAACGTACAAAGAACCTTTTCTATTTTTCCTAAAAATAGAAAAATGTACCATGCAATTAAGAAAAGAGAAATCCTGACTTTTGGATAGATGCAATCTTTATTCTTATAAATATATTTTCTAAATGAGTTCGCCTTGATGATTTTCTAAAATTCAATTCGACTTCTTTCTTAGCACATTCGTAGGCCAAATTAAAATATTAAGCACAATCTGGTTTTGTTTTTCTCAATGTGTATTTCCAGATGCGAAACTTTTGAGTTTGCTGCTGCAACATTTTGGGGCACACAATTTCTATGTGCAGGTCATCACGGAGAGCTGTTTGAATGATTTGACTCATTGGAGGAATGAGACACTCACACCGGAGGCGCCGCCACCGCGCAGCTTTGTGGTGGATTATGTGACCCACTGGCCGGTGTCCTTTGAGTTGCCACCGCTGAGCTACAAATTGGGCATTTTGTTGCTACGTTTCAATAGCCCCTGTGCATTAAATTTGCTACGTTGGTCGGCGGCTACGGAGCATAATTATTTTACCACCAATCGCTTTTGGCTGTTGCTCACACAAGATATACAGGATTTGGAATTGCTCGGGGACGAGGAGATCTTTATACCGCCCGACAGCGAAATGCGTGTGCTCTGGCACAGTTTGGGGGAGGAGTCATCATTTAATGTCACGCTGATAGATGTGTACAAGGTGGCTGCCTGGAAGCCGCTCAAGCGTCGCTTGGTTGGCAAACATCTGCGCAATCCACGGCACATTGTGCATGCCCTGCAGCACTTCGGTTCGGCGATAACATATAGAAAGAATCTGGAAGGTATTGTTTTCAATACAGCCATAGTTGTTGCATTTCCCGATATGTTCACCAACATTGAGGATATGACCCAGAGGCATATCGACACCATTTCCAAAGTCAATCATCGCCTCATGCTGGAGCTGGCTAATCAATTTAATATAAGGTAAGTTCCACTAACTAAAAAGCGCACTGGAAATAAAGCATTCAAATTAAACTAGTTTCTAATTTCTAACGAAATAATACAGATATTAATGCTTACTTTAATAGCTTCCATTCCTTATTTACACTCAGAAAAAAATCCGCCTGAATTGTAGAAAACAACACACTGCAAATTTTTATATATCTTTGCGACATTTTAGAAAAATCCAGCCTGTAATAAAAACTACAAATCCTAATCCTTAAATATTAATTCTAATTTCTAATATCAGACAAATTTTTCCTCCGAGTGTAAGGCAATGTTTGCTGACTTTCCCAATGAGTGCCATTAATTTTCCGCTCGTAGTGAAAATTGCAATTACTCTCTCTCTCTCTCGAACTGAAAACAGATATAACACATACCAGACCGTCAATTATGGATGGCGTCAGCCGAATGGGTCCTTCGATGGTTTAATGGGTCGCTTTCAGCGCTACGAGCTGGACTTTGCCCAGCTGGCGATATTTATGCGGCTGGATCGATTTGCCCTGGTTAGCTTTGTGGCCGACACATATCATGTGAGAGCTGGCATTATGTTTCGACAGCCTCCACTTTCGGTGGTGGCCAACATCTTTGCGATGCCATTTGAAGAGGATGTTTGGATATCGATATTGGCATTGTTAATCCTGACTGTGGTTGTGCTGCTCTTGGAAATCATTCTCTCTCCGTATCCACACAACATGAACTATATGGATTCGTGGAATTTTGTGTGGGGTGCGATGTGCCAGCAAGGATTCTATGTGGATGTGCGCAATTCTTCAACTAGGATTATCGTATTTACCACATTTGTGTCGGGTGTTTTTCTCTTCACCTCCTTCTCGGCGAATATTGTGGCCCTGCTGCAGAGTCCCTCGAATTCGATTCGTTCGTTGGGTGACTTGAGCCAATCAAAGCTAGAAATCTTTGTACAAGATACTCAATATAATAAGATATATTTCACAGAATCCACAGATCAGGCAACGAAGAATCTATACAACAAGAAGATCGCCCCGCACGGCGATTACATTTATATGCGACCCGTGCTGGGCATGGAGAAAATGCGCACAGGAAGCTTTGCCTATCAGGTGGAGCTGCAGGCAGGCTATCAAATCGTTAGCGATACGTTCAGTGAGCCCGAAAAGTGCGGCCTGATGGAACTGGAGCCATTTCAATTGCCCATGCTGGCGGTGCCAACGCGCAAGAACTTTCCCTACAAGGAGCTATTCCGCAGACAGTGAGTCGAGCATAAAACAAAAAAATAATTGCCATTGCAACCAAGTATCGTTTTCTGTTGCAGATTACGCTTGCAGCGCGAGGTTAGCCTGGTGAATCGCGAGGAACGCAAGTGGATACCGCAGAAGCCGAAGTGTGAGAGCGCCGTTGGTGGATTCATCTCCATTGGCCTCACCGATTGTCGCTACGCATTTGTTTTCTTTGTCTGTGGTGCTGCGATTAGTGTTAGCCTGCTTCTCTTGGAGCTGCTCTGCAAGCACAGAAGGAGAATTCACGCAACCATTCAGGAATATATGCACCGTTAACTGATTTGATCTTTATTGGATGTGCACTTTAAATGGGTATGGTTAGCTGTTGGACGACCGCACGTAGAACATCGGGCGTTTTGAACTGCCAGTTGCGGATGCACTTGCTCACACTGCACCAGGACTCGCCGTGGGTCGGCTCGGCGGCAATGCAACGCTCGAGCACCTCCTGCTGCTGCTGCTCCGTGCCATGAAGCAGCTCAAATTTGTAGAAATATGCCCAGGCATCGCCCAAATCCGGATCAATTTTCACCTGAAAATTATTTATAAATATAAATAGAAAACAAATCAAATTTTAGCACTCACTGTTCGATTGAACCAATCGCGGCACTTGGAGAACTTGTGCTCCGACCAGAACAGCTTGGACACGGCCAACAGTACGTGCGGATCGTGTTCGCATTTCTTGAGTGCATCCACCGATTTGGTTTTCCTCTGCGGCTTCGTCTCCATGAAGATGGCCTCGGCCCACAGCTCACCAGCGTTGGGACACTCTTGCAGCGCACGCGCCATCATTGTGCTGGCAATCTCTTTGAGACCCGCTCGCAACTCCACACGTATCGCCTCCATCCAGAGTACAGCGATCTTCGGATTGCGCAGCCTTCCACGTTCCAAGATCGAGCGTGCTTTGGTGAGGACACCTTTGCGCTCCTCCAAATTGGCGGAGAGTATCCACAGGGGTATCGAGGTGGGGCATTTTTTCAGTGCCAGCGTATAGGTTGCGGCCGCATCGTCAGTGCGTCGCTGCTGCTCCTCAATCTGGCCCTTCATCATCCACAGTTTGGGGAACTCGGGAAAAACCTCAACGGCCTCGGCGAGCAGACGCAGCGCCTCATCGAAACGCTCCAGTGCCCATTCCAAACGGGCCGATTTCATCATAACACGGGGCGTCGGCGCCGATCCACGTGCCTTGGCCAGCAGGCGGCGGGCTCGCTCATATTCCGAGTTCTCCGACTCCAGCTTGACGGCAGCCAGCCAAATATCCTCCGAATTGGGATTCGCTTGGAAGGCCAACGACAATATGCCACGGGCAGCGGGCACATCGCCAGCCATCCATTTCGACTTGGCACCCATCAGCCAGAGTATCTCCGATTTGGGACAATGGGCAACGGCGCGCTGCAGCAAAGCCTCCAAGGATTCGCGTGTGCCATGATTCTTCTCAAAGTATGCGGCACGCAGCCAAATGCTCTTCTTCGAGGGAAACATTTGCAGCGCATGGGCATAAACGGCGCGTGCACACTCGAAAGCATTCTCCTTGGCACACTAAATGGAAAACGGATTAGATGAGAAATCGCCCCGCTTACGATTAAAGTTGTCAATGAAATACTCACAAAATCGGCATCATCGATCCAGGTCTGTTTGCGATCCTCCTCCTCGACACCAATGCCTATGACAGCTTTAACAATTGCCTGGCAACAATTGACTGCGCCCGATTTCTCTGCCTCGATGGCCTCCTGGAACCAGTGATCCCGATTGATCTCCACCCCGTTTGCCGTCAGCGATGTCAGCGAACGATCGACAATTTTCTCGACCATGTGTATGTTGCCATTGGCCTCCTCCAGCTTGGCGGCCGTTGTCCAAATCTGTCGATCTGTGGGTATATTCTCTCGCGCCTTGTTCAGCACCTTGCGCGCATTCTCATACGTCTCCAGCCGAGCCAAGGCTAACCACAATTCCACACTGGTGTTGCAGCACTCGACGGCACGGGAGAGCAGAATGCGTGCATCATCCGGATTCTCCAGCTCAACCGCTGCCTTCCACAGACGCACCGAATTCGGTATGTGCTCGAGTGCTTTGCGAAAAACTCTTCGCTTCGCTTTCGTCTCCGTTTCCAGATCGGCGGCCTTGATCCAGATGCGCACCGAGGTGGGAATGTGTCGCGCCGCCTGGGCAATTACCGCTTTGGCTGTGTCCGGCGGCTGCAGACGTGCAGCCTCCAGCCAGAGATCCTCTGACTGGGGATTCATCTCACAGCCACGCATAATAAGATTACGAGCCATTTGCACCTTGCCGGTGACCTCCTCCAGGCGGGCTGATGCTATCCAGGCAGGCGGATGATTGGGATTCGTTTCGCGCACGCTCTTCAGCAGCAGGCGGGCCTTTTTAATATCGTTGATGTCGCCGCCATAGGTGGGTATCATGCTCTGCAGATCGGTCAGATAACCCTTGGGATCGACGACTGTTTGGCCCGTCACCGAGTCAGAAACCTGAGATAGCTTCACATTCATTAGAGTATTTCGCGCCTGACCAATTTTACGCAAATCCAAATCGCCGGTGGGCGTCAACATGCCGGGCGTGGCCACGCCGGGCACCATCGAAGCCAGCCCGGAGCTGGCATCCAAGCTGGCAGCTGTCTCGCCGCCCAGATTGCGGGAGAGAACGCTATCCGGCAGTGGTGTAAATTTCTCGGCACGTGGATTCCGCTGCTTCCGATTGCGACTGTCGCCTACCTCGGGTATCGTGGACCATTCCTCCGTGGTGACCGTGGCCAGCGAACGCTTGAGATCGCTGAATTGTTGCTGAATTTTAGGACGCTCCTGGCGATATCGCTCCAAATCTTCACGCAGACGTCGATCGCGATACTCTTTGCGTTTCTCATCCATGCGCTTCTCAATTGAATCGTAAATGGCGTCCGCCTCTTCGTCATCCTTATCGTACGGGTCCTTGGAGAAGAGAGAGCCACTGTAGCCACTAAACTCATCATAATTGGAATCATTTAAATCCTCATCCTCCTCCTCCTCTTCGTCCTTCTTCTTGCGCTTGGTGGCTGGTGGCGCATGTCGATCGTCGGACACATCATTGGCATCGCGCGCCGGACCAATATCCGAACGTGTAGTGAAACCAGTGGCGCTGCAATTTAAATATAATATATATATTTTTTTCTGTTAGCTAAAACTAAAATTGAGATATACCCGCGTCCCACGCCGGGCAACGTAGCCAAGCGGCGCCGGCACTCCAAGAAAGTGCTTCTTGTTACGGTTAGCAATTACCGCAGCGGTTATGTTTGACATCTTTCTTAATGCTCACGCTAGCTTTACTATTTATTATTTATATAAATTCAACGAAATAAACAAAACGTTTGCACTGCGGTTGGCTGCTTCTTGCAATTGTGCTATTCGCCCGGAATACAGACACTAGAGATGAAACAGCCGAAAAAAAAGAAGCTAAATTGACAACACAACAGCATCTCTAATAAATTGCTCAAAATATCGATATGTTGCATGATAAAGCAAATGGTTTGGCATGCGATATTTGCTAATAGTAAATTGACTAAATTGATTGAACAGCACAGCATCACTGGCCAAGTGCTTAAGAGATTGATTTTTTATATAAAGAAATATTTGCAAGATGCCTGTGCTCTCAAAATGCAGACACTTCAATGTAACAGAAAATGAAGCTAAATTGACAGCACAACAGCATCACTGGCCGACTGTTCAAAATATCGATATGTTGAGTTAAGAAATCGATTTGGTATTCGATATTTGCTAATAGAACAAAAAGTCGGCAAAGAGAAAAAAGCATTTTAATCAATTTCGCAAATTACGCTTGCAAATCAACCGCTGCAAGATGCCTGTGCTGCCGATGCCGCCGCTAATGCAGGTAACTAATCATTTATTATTAATATGAATATATTTTAATAATATGCCTTATGAAGAATGCTGTCGAGCCAATGCAAGTGGATGCGCCGCCCAACGAGGACAACGAGAACAACGAAGAGCAGCAAATTGTTGTGGAGAATCCCACAATCGACTTGGAGGTGTACGCCAATCAATACACGGGCATTGCACGACTTGATCGACTGATTTATGTGGCGGACGTTTGTCCCCTGTTGGCACTCGAGTCCCTCAAAATGGCCATCACCTATGTGCAGTCCACGTATAACGTGAAAGTCTATCAGATGCTGCACAAGCGCCTCAGTGATCTCCAAGCGGTCAATGGTGCTGGCGCAACTGCAGCTGCCGCTGGAGCTGAACAGGCAGTTGCCAATGCTGCTGCAGCTGCCGCTGCAGTTGCTGCGCTGCCCGATATCGCTGCACAACCAGCAGCAGCAGCTCAGGCTCAGGCCAATGCTGGAGCAGCTGCAGCTGGAGCAGGATCAGGTGCCGAAAAAGATGCATTTGCCTATGATGCTGTCTGGGTGGATGCGAAAATGAAGAAGGCGGCTTTAAAGCTGGAGAAACTGGACTCAGATCTGAAGAACTACAAATCGAATTCGATTAAGGAAAGCATTCGACGTGGCCACGACGATCTGGCTGATCATTATCTCAGCTGTGGCGATCTGACCAATGCCTTGAAATGTTATTCACGTGCACGAGATTATTGCACTAGTGGCAAGCATGTAGTCAATATGTGTCTCAATGTCATCAAAGTCTCGATTTACTTGAAGAACTGGGCGCATGTCATGAGCTACATATCGAAGGCGGAGAGCACACCGGATTTCTCGGAAGGCACCAAGGAGGCTAATGCCCAGGTGCATACACGGCTCGAGTGCGCCGCCGGCTTGGCCGAGCTGCAGCAAAAGAAATATAAAGTGGCCGCAAAGCATTTTTTGGCTGCCAATTTTGATCATTGTGATTTTCCCGAAATGATCTCCCCCAGCAATGTGGCCGTCTATGGCGGCCTCTGTGCCCTGGCCACATTCGATCGTCCGGAGCTGAAGCGTCTGGTCATCGCATCCACATCGTTCAAATTGTTCCTGGAACTGGAGCCGCAACTGCGCGACATTATCTTCAAGTTCTATGAGAGCAATTATGCCAGCTGTTTGACGCTGCTCGACGAGATCCGTGACAATCTGCTGGTGGACATGTATATAGCGCCACATGTCAACACACTCTACACGAAGATACGCAATCGTGCACTGATCCAATACTTTAGCCCGTATATGTCCGCCGATATGCACAAAATGGCCACCGCCTTCAATTCAACGATTGGGGATCTGGAGAACGAGGTGATGCAGTTGATATTGGATGGTCAGATACAGGCGCGCATCGATTCACACAATCGGATACTGTACGCCAAGGAGGCGGATCAGCGGAACAGCACTTTCGAGCGTGCCCTGCTCATGGGCAAACAATATCAGCGGCACACACGCATGCTCATCCTGCGCGCCGCCATGCTCAAGAGTCACATCCATGTGAAGAGCATCTCACGCGACGGTGGCAGCAGCAATCACGGCGCCGAGCTCTGTGTCTCGGCCGGCTCCAGCACAACTGCCGCACAACTTGCTCGCATTTAGAGGAGAAATAGCAGGCATCAAAAAATAAATATATATTGAGAGAGACCATTAATAAATTCGACGATAACCAAGCTGCAAGTTCATCTTTCATTTTCTCTTTCTGTGTGCTGCTAAATAAAGTCTAATAGCAAAGCTAATTAATTAATACCAAATTACTCTTTCTTTTCTAAATTGCGTTTATAGTTTAACAAAGAATCTTCATTTATAAAAAGTTTATATTGATTTTACAACAGCAGCGATTATAAAAATGTAAAATGCATAAAAAGAAATTTTAGCGTCTTTCGCGCTTTTTGTGTTCCCGCTGGCGATGATTGTCCGGACTGCGACGCCTGGAACGCTCGTCGCGCTGAGCGCTCCTTGATCTGTCTCGATGACCATTGTTTCGGCCGGCTTTGTGCCGCCCCTCGGCAGTTGGTGTGTCAATTTGATGTCGTCGGCTTGTGGTTTCCCTCGGACGATGATCTCGTTCCGAACGAGATCTCTCCTGATGATGATGATGACCATTGAGTTTGGATTTGCTTTTCTGGCGTTTCTTTTGGTCACCCAAATCGCTGTCTGAGTCTGATGAGGAGCCGGAGGAGCTGACTGAAGAGTCTTTCGACTTGTCTTTGCTGTCCTTTTTGGATTTTTTCTTTTTGCTCAGCTTGGATGATTTTTTCTTCATGCGCTCAATTTTCTCGAGTTTCTTGAGCAGCTTCAGTTTCTGTTTCTTGCTGAGCGATTTAAGGAAGAGCAGCTCCGGATTCTGTTGATGGGCGGCACGTGTGGCCTCCTCCTCATCGTCGCTAGGCACAAGTTGATGGCGCTGTTGCACATCCTTGATGCTCTGCAGCTCCAACGCCGAACGCTTCATCATTAGGCCATCCTCCTTCATTTGCTCTTCGAGCACGTTCTTGGACATGATATCGTTGGCTTCCGATTCGGAGTGCAGTTTGCGTGCCTCACTCATCGAGATGCTATACATGCTGCACTCCTTGTCAGTATTGATGTGCCCCCATTTGTGGCACTTGAGGCAGCGAACGTTGCGCACCTGAATGCCAAATGGTTGATCTCGGATTTCGGTGTCGCCTTTGCAGTAGGATTCACGTGGTGCATTATATTTGCGCTGCCATTCGAATTTGTATTCGGGTTCATCGTCATCCCTTTCACGCTCCTTGCGCACACCTGGCGGCGGTTCGTACATAAAATTGACACTCAGCTTGTCCTTGCTGTCTTTGCTGAGCATCGCCTTGTTCTCGTGCAGATTCTGCTCCTTCTCGTACTGTGTGCGAAGCTCCTCCTGTTTCTTTTTGTATGCCTCAGCCTGCTGCTCCGCCATCCAAACCTAGATAAGATTAGATAGATTTTATGTATAATTTTAAATGTTTTGTTTCAAACATAAACGTTTTGTTGTTATTTACCCGTTTGAGATTATCCCTGGAGGCGGGATGGAAGAATTTCTTGCACATGTAATTGTTAAAACCTTTGCCCATCTTGTTAACTTAATAAAGTTCCAATATTTTCAATATATGAAGCGTAAATTTTACAATTATTTGCTGCGTTCCGAAAAGTCAACTCGAAATTGAGTCTGTGTTTGCTTGTGTATAAATATATAGTGTCTTCGCGATATATATCGATATGTTTACATTGCTGCCTTGCTGAGTTTTCGATTACTCAGATAACCTAGGGTTCGTTATGCTTTCAAACATGCATTATTTGCACCAAATCTGTAGTTTTTGTAGTAATTATTTATTGTTTTTTTATATTACTAATCGATTACTGATTGTACCAATTAGTTCACAAGAAGAGGCCTAACAAAGCAACTCTGCTTTAAGATACGCTGCAACGTTAGCCAACACTTAATTGAAAAACACAATTACGCGAAGCAATATTTTGAAATTAGATTGGCAGCATGTCCGCATATACTAATGAAATGGATGCAAACGATATGGTTTCGTGTCCATACAACAAGGCGCACAAAATGCTGCGCAAAAAACTGCAACAACATATACTGAAATGTCGCGAGATTCATAAAGACGAAGTGGAATTGCTCGTGTGTCCCTTCAACAAGGCGCATCTAATACCCGAAAAAGATTATGTCGTAAGTCGCGTTCAGAACTTTGCTCCAATTCTCTCACTCACACATATACACACTCTCTCACACACACACCTGCAGCAACACACAAGATCTTGCGTAGATCGCAAGATCATCGCCCATTATCAGCAAAGTGCGCCCGCCGCGCCCACCGATGAGACGAAACACGAAAAGATAGAACCCGACGAGAACTGGGACGACGAAGATGTGCCCGACTACAATCCCCAGTTGTACGTGGCCAGTGCGAATATTGTGCGAGAACCAAAGGGCATGTTTCCCTCACAGCGCAAAGCGTTCATTAAACAGGAGCGCCGGCGTCAATTGGGGCACGACAGCGATGAGGAACAGTCGCCCAGACAACAAAGATTAGCTCCAACAAAGATCACATCGTCCTCCACATCATCAGCGCAGCGATCGTCACCATACAAATTACCAAATCGCAATCGCTAAGCTTAAGACAAATATCTTTGTATATTTTAAATATTGCTTCAAAATACACGTAAATATTTTTGTAAAAGAAAGAAAAAAGAAAAATTCAGATTTTACTGTTTGCCGGCAAGACGGCGTCGTTCATTGGCACGAAAATCACGTCGTGCTGCTTTCGATTTTCCGTTTATGGCAGTTGTGCGTGCCACAAAATTGTCCTCACAATATTTAATGGGATTATATGTGGGCACATCGGGTTCCTTGTCCCAATCCTCCTCACATTCAGCTGAAATACTCCATGTAGTTTCTGTGGCCTGTTGCCGAGGATCTTCCTTTTGCAATTCGCTGTGCCAGCGAATGCGTTCCGGGCATTCTTTCATGTGCAGCTGCAGATGAAGATTTCGTATTAATCAACAAGTTACAGCAGGTAACAATTTTGATACTCACACTCAACTCTTCGGCTTTGTAGCGATGATTCTCATTATAGGGACATACCAGAAATTGTTTCGAGTTGCCCGAAATGCGGCTGCAGCGTTCCAAATGCTTTGTCAAACGTCCACGAATAAGTTTATGAGCCTTATTGTAGGGACATGTTACAAAATCATTAAACGAATCTGACGACGCCATTTTTCGAAATAGAAAATTCGATGTCTACACCCAAAACAAAATTCTGAATAACCGCTCAAACTACAAGGTCTCAACAATTGTTGCTATCGATGAGTGAAAACTGCCTTCGATATTGAGGCGCGTTGGATTCAAAAACATCGAGACTCGATACTTATACTCACCTGCTTCGATACATATTTGAAACTTTCACATTGTGGGCCTCGACCTATATTTTAAAATATTAAAGTTTTTATTTGCAAGTAATTTTGCTTAATGCTTCAAAGTGCTGTCACAAGAATTACCAAAAATTAATTCGATTAAATTTAACTCTATTAGGTGGTTAGTTTGAAATTATTGTATGGAGTTTAAAGTTAAACTGACATTTGGCAACGTCTTATTTACGTCGAGTATAAAATTTTAAACCCCCTTTCAATATAGAAAACATCCATATAAGTTTTATAAATAAATTTCGCATTTTCACATTTCAATATTCTTTCATGCAAACAACTGCCTTTTCTCAATAATACACCTTAATTGACAGCCAGTACATAAACACTTAAAAAAGAAACAGATTTGTAATTTACAAACTTTTGGGGAAAATGTAACTGTTCTTTATTGTAAAACAATTGCGGCATTTCCTCACACTTCACACAATTTTCTGTTGTTTTCTCATTTGACACTAAAACTGTAAACAGTAACAACAGTTGGCGAATTTTATGCTCTGTTATTGTTTTTGTTACTGATGTTGTTTTTGTTACTGTTGTTGTTGTTTACGCGGTTTCCATTGGCTGAGCAGCAGCAGTTTCTTCGGTATATTTGCCCTTATCCTTGCCCAATGCCGCCAAGCGTCCCTTGCTGCGACGCTCCAAAATGGCCTTGCGATCCTTGTCGAGCTTGAGTTTGACAATGAGCACCTTGCTGGGATGGATACCGACGTAGACGTTGGTGCCGTTGGCATTCTCGCGCTGAATCTTCTCGATGTAAACGACGAATTTCTTGCGATACGATTGGACCACTTTGCCCACCTGGTTGCCCTTGTAATGGCCACGGATCACTTGCACCTCGTCGTCCCGACGAATGGGCATCGAGCGCACGTTGTATTTCTGGCGCAGTTCCTTGGATAGGGGGGCGGACATGAGGCGACGGCGGATATGGGAAGGCGCCTGGAAGTGACGCTTGCGGTTCTTCCTGCGCGAAGACGACACGAACTTGTTCAACTTCATTCTGATTGGCTGTGTGGGCTGTGAGGGAAACAGTTAAAAATTTCCAGTGATTAGCAATGTTTCTTTATCGATTTCTTATTTTATTCCCATTTGTTTTTTTGCTTTTGCCGTCAGTTTTCACACAACAAAATTGAAAACGTACACAATTTCACTTAAATTATGTGCGTTGTGGTTTGTGCTACGCATTTGCATTATTAATGCGTCAAAATGAACAATGATGGCTGAACAAATGCGAAATTATATCGAACTCAAAAACTTACACCAAACTACCGTCGTAATAACAACGAAAAGAAAGAATTTTGACAGCTGCGACCGGCGGAAGTGTTAAAAAATTGTACTCAAAATGGTATCACAACGCTTTACAACACTGTCAAAGAGCGTTGCCACTCTTGAGATGGATATACTCAACCGTTGTGCTCTTAAAGGCGAAAAAAAGCTAATTGGAATTGTGAATTTATTTTTTAATAATATTGTTAGCTTGAAAAGTTAATTTAATACTGTTATCAAAATAAATATCGCAAATAATTGATGAGAAATATTTTATTTTTGCTTTTAATCAAACTAATGGAAAAGCACCGTATGCTGCATAACGGCCACACTTTATAAACACACCATCTATGTTGAGTTTGTTAACTGAGAGCTTTTAAATTCTTGATTTTCTTCTTGCTGATCGGTGCCCAAAATCTTTCACTGGAGCCTATTTGGAAATCAGTCGCGCATGTGAAGTCAACTGTTGCGGTTGTTCAGGTGGTCAGAGCTCGAAATAGTGTCCAGTTTCAGGTCAATTCAATTTACTCTCCTTGCCCACACACTCACATCCAATTAAGATGATGAACAGCATTAAAAAGTTGCCCATGCGTATGGTAAGTTTATTGCCACGCCCCCTGCAAACTACACAACTGACTTTGAACTTGAAATTCTGCTTCTTTCTCTTGGGCTTCTGCAGCTGGCGAATGCAGCACGTCAGCAAAGTGCCGCTATGTCCTCGGCAACGGGACTGCCCCCGCCAATAACTCACCTCACCGACGATGAGAAAATGATGAAGGAGACGGGTGAGTCCTTTAACATTTCAGTTAATTTTAACAACAATGCGTTTGGAATTTTCAGAGCCTTTAACACTTTTAAGATTACTTTTGCGTGTGTATTTGTTTAATTTTTTTTTTTTTTTTGTGCTCAACATCAGTTTTTTGTTACGTAATTTGATCGGCCCATGTTGTCTTAAATGTTGTGGTTTTGTTATCGACATTGTTATTTTATTAATTTATTATTTAATACAATGTTTGCATACCAGCATAGGTCAGAATAATGAATGCATATTTCTCGATTCACATGCTCGTGCTGATAATGAACGGTTTCTGGTTAGGGAGAGGAGTTGGGAGTGGGGAGAGGCAGCAGGTGGGAGGGGGCAAAAAGATAAGCTTCTTTTTCGATTTGATAGTGGAAAATCGAATTTCCCACACTCGCTTCCTGCTGTAATAATGAAAACACTTGGTTTTAAGTGTATTTGATTAGTACTTCATTTTATTGCAGTTTATTGGCAGATTTTGCGCCGCTCATTCTTTAAATTATTTAATTTGCTTAATAAAGCAAGCAAAACAATTATATAATTTTTTTTTAATAGTTGCTTTTTCGAGAAGGCAAACAAAAAACTTACAGGATAATTATATCCTTCCTAGTATAAGCATTATTTTATGGATGCAAATTTTTTATCTAAATACATGCATATAATATATATATATATATATATATATATATATATATATCTCTTTATCGGTATATCAAATATATATATATATATATATATAAATATATATATTTGATATGCCGATAAAGATTTTATATATATAATCACATTTTCACTGACAACGTGGCAATTTTGTACACTCTTATAACTTAAAATATTGAAGTACATTTCGAACAGCAAAAAGACAACAAATAATTATTTTCACTTTTTATTTTTCACTACTCTTTTTTAACAATTACGACGCGGCTAAGAACAAGAAACATAACATAAATGCGAGGCGTGTGCGCGTGTGTGTGTGCTAAAAATAGCTTTGGTGCTTTAACAGAGTCTGCTCACGACGACATCGGCTGACGGCTGTTGTTGGCGCTGTGTGTTAAAGGACAGAAGCTTGGAGTATAAATAAGTCGCGTGTTCGAATGTAAGTTGGGTGTGGGGAAAAATGTTGAGTTGGTTATTTATAATAAAAAGAGGAGATATCTCTTTTTCGCTTGGGTTTTCACAAGTCAGTCAGCTGTTTAGTTGTTACTTGAATTTAACTCTACAGCGTTACACTTGTGATAGAGCAATTAAAATGCGACTTGTGGCAAAAGCCGGCCGCTCAACTGTGTTCACTGTTCTAGTGGAAACGACGGGGCAATGGAATGTGCTTTAGTCACTTTGAGTCGTTTACTCGCCTAGAGAGTTGAGCCAGTGGAACGTGGAAAGAGGAGTATATTATTCCTTGGACCACCACATCCCCCGCTGTCTCTTAGTTGGAGAGTTGACATTTTTTTGAAAAAAAAAAAAACCGAATGAGATAGAAGAAGGGTATTTCAGGTGCCGCTTGTTGCTGATGTCGCTGTTGATCATATTAATCATTGTTGCGTAACAATTGCTGTGCAGTTTGCATGAAAGATGCCTAAGCTGCTCCATCAATCTAAAACTAAATTATAGACTGGAAAATTTATATCACGTAGAACAAATATTTAAAACTAAAACAGTTTGAAAATAATAGTAAATTAATTGGTACAGTTGTGTTCAAAATGTGTATGCTACTTAAAACCAAATTAGGAAATCAAAACGCACACTAGGACATTGTTGCATTATTTGCATCTTGCAAGTAAATATTTTTCACATATTAATCTTTGCAACGTAACATTCGTCAAAACAAAAAAAAAAATAGGCGTGTGCACGTCGCACGTCATTTAGAAGCTAAACAATTCGACAAAAAAATGCTGCAAAAGATAACTATAAAAAATACATAATATATATACATATGTGTTTACACTTATACATTCATATTTATTGTATAGCGCTTATGCATGCGAAAGAGAGCGAGAGAGAGAGACAGAGCGTGTGAGAGCGGTACTTTTCAGAGAGAGCGACACGCAAGCATAAAATAAGCGGCAGAATTGATAAAGTGGATACACGCGTAGACACGCACACAATCACAAAACGATATAAACACACACACACACACACACACACAGCTAGCCGGGGACCAGTTTGATTAACGAATTTTGAAAGCTTGCAAGAAAGCTTTTCACAATAAAGCTTATATAACATAGCATCATGACTTGTGAAAAGTTCACGGAAGCTTTGTGTGCACAACTAAATTCTCAATGTTTTTTTTTTTGTTATTATCTTTTTTTAGTGGCTAAATTGGCGCAGGATCAAATCCTGCCATTGGTCAAGAAAATGGACTTTGAACACAAGTTCGATCCATCTGTGGTGAAGGCCGTTTTCGAGAATGGCCTGATGGGCATCGAAATCGATACGGAACTGGGCGGCAGCGGTTGCAATTTCATGACCAACATCATTGTCGTCGAGGAGCTGTCCAAGATTGATCCAGCGGTCGCCGCTCTTGTGGACATCCACAACACACTGGTTAACTCGCTGATGATCAAGTTTGGCAACGCGGAACAAAAGGCCAAATATTTGCCCAAATTGGCACAAGAATATGCCGGCAGTTTTGCTTTAACAGAGCCTGGCGCTGGCTCCGATGCCTTTTCCCTAAAGACTGTGGCCAAGAAGGATGGCTCTCACTATGTGCTCAATGGCACCAAGATGTGGATCTCCAACTCAGATATCGCTGGTGTTTTTCTGGTCTTTGCCAATGCCAAGCCCGAAGATGTGAGTAGAATTACAAAAAAATAATCTTTTAGCTTAACATGGAAATATTTAGAGATTTAAATTACATATTTACACGCAAAAACAAAAAGGAAAATATTTCAGAAAGTTGGTGAAAGCCTCTTGCAAATTTCAAAATCCTTTACTCAACCTAATCCAAATTCTAATTGATTTCGTTCTTTTCTTAAGGGTTATCGTGGCATAACGACCTTCATTGTGGATCGCGATACTCCTGGTCTGATTGTGAACAAGCCGGAGGATAAGCTGGGCATCCGTGCCTCTGGCACTTGCATGGTGACCTTTGACAATGTCCGTGTGCCCGAGGAAAATATCCTGGGCACCTTCGGGCATGGCTACAAGTATGCGGCTGGGTTCCTTAACGAGGGCCGCATCGGCATTGGTGCCCAGATGGTGGGCCTGGCCCAGGGCACATTTGATGCGACAATTCCATATCTGTTGGAGCGCAAGCAGTTCGGCGACGCCATCTATAACTTCCAGTCCATGCAGCATCAGATCGCCACAATTGCCACAGAGATTGAGGCGGCTCGTCTGCTCACCTACAATGCGGCTCGCCTCCAGGAGGCGGGCGTGCCCTTCCTCAAGGAGGCGGCCATGGCTAAGTTCTATGCCTCAGAGGTGGCTCAGCGTGCGGCGACCAAATGCGTTGACTGGATGGGAGGCGTTGGCTTCACGCGCGACTTCCCCCAGGAGAAATACTATCGTGATGCCAAGATCGGTGCAATCTATGAGGGCACTACCAACATGCAGTTGAGCACCATTGCCAAGTGCATCAAAAAGGAGGTTTCCGGTTAAGCAACACACTTCTAATCCCTAAGTCAATCGTTTCTATCTATATATATATAAAGCTGAGATATCGTACGTCAGATACGTCAAGTGCATTTAACACATCTGATTAAACAATCATCATCGATTGTTGCCAACGCATTTACAATTCTTTTGTTACATATTGTATCAAATACAATTAAATTTTTAAACTGAGCTAAAGCGTTTTTTACTTGACTTGGAATGTCAATCGGTTAATATAGCGAGATAAATTGATAAATCAGTTCGCTGTTTTAGTAATAACCGATTGCCATAGCTTGAGGATCAAGGAATGCTCAAATATCCATAGCTAGTTTAGTTTGAACAGATTAAAAGCACTGTATTCATTTAGAAGTAATTATAACCAATGACCAGTGACTTACGAGGTGACATATTACGCATTAAAAACAATATTACAATTTTCCCAAATTTAATTTAATGTAGGTTTTGCATTGGTTGCCTCCTTAATTTTGTGGCGACCAGTGATGCCAAGTGACCAAAACAAACAGGCCAAAAAAGGGGACAACAAAATTAGAGTAGTATATATATTTATATAAAAGATTTTCTAGGTATATTTTACTAACATTTTAATTAACAAAAATCTATATCATTTGACATTCAAATGACATTCTTGTGCAGTCTGAAGTCCAACTGTTCGAAGCCAATATCAGAAAACAGCAATGCTATTTCGCATCTATAACTTTCAGTCATCATCATTCAGCATCAGATTGCCACAATTGCCACAGAGATGGAGGCAGCTCGCTCGCAGGAGTCTTACAATTGTTGCCAATTACTCTTTCATTTTTTTTTTTTGTACTTTGTATAAAAAACAATTAAAATTAAAAAGATATGAAAAGAATTGCTGTACGTCTAATTCGAATGTCCGTCGGTCGTGGTAAATGCAGCCAGCAGCACATTGATCACAGTGATAAGGAATACACCCATAACAAGTATCTCATTAGTTCTTATATACCAACGACTCTGGCAGTGTTTTAAGCGTCGCTGTGAATGAATGAATGAGCAATTAGCAATTAGTGTGTTTATTTATGCTGTTTTAATAATAATTATCCATTGACATACCTTGAAGGTCAGCACAATGCCCACGAGTACCTGGAGGACCAGCGAGAGTATGACCAGAACCAGACTGCAGTAGAATGTGGATGCCTCATGATTGTAGGTGATCAGAAAACGCAGCTGATTGGCATTTGCCGAGAGCAGAGCAATGTCCATGAGTCCTTAAATCGGGAGAAATGTAAAAGATGATGTTAGTTTAGTTTCTTATTGAGTTGGTTGCAAGAACAGCAAGAGACGTATTTAAAAATAGCGCATTTATTTATAAATAACTATAACTGCATATTGTATCTACTTCTGAACTTACTGCACTTTATCTCCATGATTATATTTTAAACGCAACTACATATCTTAGACTATAACAACAACTCCAAATAGGCATTCGAATATTTCAGCTCATCTAATTCACTTACCTTCAGCTACATTTTTACTGGTCGCATAGTTATTTCCCGCTGATAATTCACTGGGACTTTTCTTGAGACTCTCTCGTTCTGTGGCAGCAACTTCCTTTGCCTTCGCTACCTGTTCATCATCCTCCGCCAACTTGTCACCGGCACCAGCACAGCATTGTCCTCCGACGGTGCTGGCAAAGCTGCCCTCGGAGCTGAGCGCATCCTCGACATCGATAACCACCTCGCTGGTGCGGCCCATTGTCTAACAAAAAAATAAATATATCGTTTGGTCAACTGGACACATTAATTAACAATGAGCTAATTGCGTTTAACAACTGGACTATTTACACAATTCTGAAGCTTAAAAAAAAGAACTTGCGGTTTTTGCCATTTGTGGTCTTTTTGCTGATAAACGGAACCGAACATGACATTGACCCCACTGTGCAAACGTTCCACAAACGCTGAAAGTCGGAAATGTTCGGTTCATGTCCAGGAGGTGAACAAACAGCCTAAGCATATGCCACACATTTTTATGAAATGTGGCACAACTTGGCCTATGTCAACACGCAAAAACACACAGAGATTTTAGTGCCTATCAGTTAAACACTTTTGCTTAGCTGACGGGAAAAAAAATAAAAAATTTGCTGGCTTGGTTTATATTAACTGCTAAGGCATCATCAAACTATCTAATTGTATTTTATAGTCATATAGTCGGCCATAATTACAGTTTGAGGCATGCTGCATTTTTTATAACAGCGCGCGCTGAATAAAGTATTGAATCAGGCCAGTGCTTCCGTGAAATGTCGTCAAAGAGCCGACAACAGCTGACAAAAAGGACACGCAAAACACAGCTAAAAAACACATATTACCTCTTGGCCGGTCAATATCGAGGGTTGCTTGTAAATAACCTGGCAAGTGTACATACATGTATACATACATGTATATAAAAATGACGAAATGGTTAAGTATATTTTAATAATTTTATATATAGTCGATTAGTAATTTTAAAACATCTTTATTTTTCAGTATTTACTAGTACATATTTGTAGCTGATAGTTCATCAAGTTATGCAAATATTAAGTATTAATTAACTGGTTTTTGTCGCAAAAATCTATCTACCAGTTAGAATGGGATTGCACTACATCTGTACTCAATCTATATAATTAATAAAATAAGAGCCTAGAAAAATAAAATTTTTATTCTTAAACAATTCAATTTTTTGTATAATAAAGTGTCCATTTCAATATTCTTTGAAAAATACATATAATATGAAACGGTGAAATTGTTGCCATTTTGTATTTATATTGATTAACCCTCGCGCCACAGGAGCAATTGCGTCACGAGAAGTGGCAACATCACCCAATCCACCAGTCGCTGGCCACCACCAATTGTTAGTTTTCCCATGCACTTGCTACACAGCACAGACAGCCAGGCAATGCTCCCAAGCACCTAAGACTCTCTCTCTCTCCCTCTCGGTCTCTCTCTCGCGGTCAATCTCTCTCTGTGGTCTGCTCTCTCAATTCCAAGCTAGCCCTGCACGTGTCGCGTGTTTGCCTTTTAGCCGCTTGTGTTGGGTAGTTAAAAATGCCTTGAAAACATTTGTTTTGACTGTAAGTGGCGCTCTCGCTCTGTTGCTCTCTCTCTCTCCATGAAAATTACGCTCTCCCGCTCAATGCTGCTCTCGCGGTTTCATTCATGCTGTCGCCGTCGCTCTCTTCTCGGTCGACGTCGCTGCACGCATGCCCTGCAGCGGTAGCAACAGCAGCGCTTGGCCGCTTTAGCTGAACTAACTTTGTGTCTGGACGGTTTTTTCATTTTTTTTTTTTGCTGTTGTTGGTTTTGTTGGTTTGAGAGCCCGACTCGGCGAGTCGTTTGGGTTTGTCGTCTTTGGATTGCGGCTCTGCCTTTCAGTTCAGTTTAGTCGCTCGAAACGTTTAGCAGCATTTTCGTTTTGTACTCTCTGGTTTCTGGTTCTCGTACTGCTCCTCCCCGTACCGTCTTGTCGAACAAACAAAATATAAAAAAAAATAAAAAAAAAAGCGGCCGTCTTATCCGTGTGTAGAACGTTAATTTCATTGATTTTCACAAAACAATTTATTTATGGATATTGGTTAAAGGCTGCTAAAACAAGAAATAAAATATTAAAAAGAAACATGCACTACAACAACCAACCCTGATAAACAATCCTGAGAGTTTCACGTGTGGTAAGTCAAAAGTCACCAATTTAACACAGCGCACGTGTCTCACTTGCTGCCAGCGACTACTTAGTGAAAAATCAATGCGCCCAAACCGAAATGCATTTGCCAAAAAAAAAAAAAACAAAACAGAAATAAAAGAAAGGAAAATATCAATGAAACAAGAGACTACAATAGACATTATTTATCGGCTTGACCTCCCAATGAACGAGCGTTGCAACTCGAAATTTATGAACTCTCTCTCTCTCCCACTTCTGTCGCTGTCCATCTCCCTGTCTCTGTCTCGTTCTCCTATTATTTGCGTACGTTGGTACAATTGGATCAGTTTGGCTGACCCGGCAAAAAAACAAAAAAAAACTTCACATAAGTAATCAATATAGGCGCTTTCTTTAGTTTGCCAGACCATTGCATAATGCTGTAAGTGTGTAGACTAAATACAAAATAATAAGTCCGTTCAACGACTGCATAATCTCATTATGATGAGTGCAAAGTTTCAGCTCCAGATCCGGTCGAGGTACTACTGATAAAGTCTGGCCAGTACATATAGATATATATGTCTATATGTATGTTAGCACTTATCAGCTTTGTTATTGTTTGGTTTGTTTTGTGTCTGAGGCGCAGCTGCTTGGTGGGTTTGGTTTAACACATTTTGCTTCAAGAATCAAGAAAATCGCATCAGCTGAAAAGCTGCTTTCAATTACACAAAAAAGTGGCTAACAACTAACTAATAATTAACTTGAATATCAATTCACACTCTGACTATGTGTAACCAATGCGCTGCCAGTTGCGACAAACATATCAAATCGGTAACATGTGGCTTATTTAATTAGCTGTTATTAATAGTTTGTGGAAAACAAATGTACTTCAATTGGGCAACTCAAATGGTTTATTTAATTATTTATTAAATACAGATCAAATTGCTTTTATTGGAAAACCCTTCTTAACCTCTGAGAATGTTGCCGTTACCGTCTCATTCAACTATATGCATAGTATTGATATGTCAGACTAATATTGTTCGTTATCCGATTATTCATCTTGCCACAGAATATTCTTATAAAGAAGTTTCGGAAACATATTAGAATAAAAATTAAAATGTAGCTGCTGAAATTAGGAATTTTAGGTTTCTATTAATCGAAATCGCACAGAAAAAACCGAGGAAATTGCTAGGGTATCTACACTTCGACTGAATGGTTCGTAATGTAAAAACATTGCAGATAAAGGCCATATAAGTATTTGAGATAATGCAGCTCCCTTCCAAATTCGCTCACTTTCCTCCAAAGAGAGAGATAGAGAGAGAGAGAGATGAAGTTACATTTGGCGATAACACAAACAGAAAAGCACACAAGCAAATTACAATTAAACATTTCGTGACATTCTAGTTATAGAAAACAGATCAAATGGTTGTTTATATTTTCAAACCTGTGCCTTATCGATCGTATTTAATCGTTATTGCCCAGACCCCTATTTACCATTAGGCCAAAGGTTGAATGCATTTAAATAATGATTCAATAATATATTGTATGTAAATGTATAATAAATCATTTATTCTAAAGCGCTTTTTAATTGTTATTTGTTTGGAACTAAAAAGGGCTATTATGTATTGATACCTATCTATTTAGGCGGAAAAACTACTGCTTATTTATATTGGCATTTTGTTTTGTTATGGTCAATGGCGCTGAGAGTATTATTTTTTTTCAAATTTAAAATACATACAATTATATCTAGCTATGACCGACATTTGCATTTAATATTGATTTAAATTTTAATTTTCATTCCAGGCAACGTTTTGTGGGCAATCATTAAGCTATACACGTAACGTTCACTCAGGTATCCAAGAACTACTACAATTACAAACAACCAAAGCCAAAACAACAAAACAGGCAACAGCAAAACTAGCAACAACAAACAGCAATAACAATAATGACGCCAGAGAAATCGGTTTTAGCCTATATCAATCACCTGATAGTCAGCAATTTTTCATACTTCTGTAAGTATAGGAATCTCAATATGAATTATCTTTAATCCTTAATTAAGTTATGAAGACTTCCTAAATCTTAATCTGATGTTGAAAATATTTCAAATCAATGTAAGCCGATTATGAAACATTTTGCAAGTCTCATACATTAGTTATGATATTGTATATATCAGAATAGAGTATAAAAATATTTAAAAGAATACTAAATTTATTTTTATAGCATTTTCACTTAGCATCTGCTCTCAATATACAACGTTTAAAGTAATCAAAATATATATTCCTGAAAATATATATAAATAGCTTCATAGATAATCATTAGTTTCTTTAAATAAACAATTAAAGTATAAAGGTAATAAAAGAATATCATTTGCGTTTAGTTTTCGATTGCCAAATGCTTAAGTCTAAGTTTTTAACACTTTCGTAATAAGCACTCAATTGATAAACAAAAACGAACAAAAATATACATATATTTTACGACCCATAAAAATGTCATTTTGCAGGGGACGAAATCGATGGGTATCTAAATTATTTTGGCGGAACTTTGGGCACTCTAACCTTGACCAGCTTAGCGGCCAGTATTGCCTACTACTTTGTAACGCGACCAACACCGGAAAAACCATTAGTGCCTCTGGAAAATCAATCCCCATTGCTGGAGGTAAGCATGAACCGTCAAAGCCACCCAAACCACCCAATTTATGACACAGTGGCAATTATTTCTGCTCGACATTTAATTTTCGCTGCATCCATGACATCATAAACTTGTTTGTCTTCATTTTATATTTGTTGCACTTTGTTTTGCTCACAAAAAGTATAATAAACTTGTACAAGTCTATATAATAGACAAAGGCAAAGACGATTGTTGGAACACTTTTGTGCCCTGTATAAAATCATACCGATCATAAATTGTTCATCCAAACTTAAACACAGCAAAAATCTAGTCTTAGTTTTGACAAATTATAGAGGTATATCTATGCGAATGAAGGCGACACTTTACTGCATTCAGTATTTAAAACTGACTACAGAGTATGTTTTAGTCGAGCACTCTCAGCTAATGTATTTGCACCTTTGTTTCTGTTAAATTTGCTTTTGATTTTTTTTTTTGAGGTAAAGCAGAATACGTTGGGCGGCCTTTGATGTGCACATGTCTCACGAAATTGTGATTCTGTTTCTGTCTGTTGTCGTCACATGATTCTTCACTTTGGATTTCTCATACTGAAAATCGTTTTTGGCTCCTGATATCTATTTTTCTATTTTTGCAATGACGCGCCAGCTACCGTGGTGCAAACATGCAAATCCCACGCTCCAATTGATGGCCCTCACTTACGTTTTAGCTGCCAAAATGTGCAACAATCCCATTTAAATGGTTTGCTTTTGCTTGCTAATCATTTATCAAGTGCTGAGAAATACATAAATCATGCCATGGCTCAATTGCCTTACGTATTTTGCCTTAATTAGACAGCTGTAGCTCAATTGCTGCTAATTCGATAATCGTTCGATATATGCAAATTGTTGAAAACATTTTTTTTTTTTATGGCATGAGCGAAAATTATCTGCCGACAATTGTTAACTTTTGACCGTATACAATACATTTTGTGCATTGTTTATATTCCGATAAATAAACAAAATTCCGCACAGATATATTGACATGCGAAATGAGGAAAGCATCAACAATGCACTCAAAATTTCAAGAAAATAAGTCTCGTTACTTTGTAGCGAAAAGGTGGCAACACTGCACAATCAAGCACGAAATGATAACAGCAACAATGAGGAAATACTAACACATACGAACTAAATATTCTCACACATACACAGGCACACACACATCGTTGCATTTGAATGACAGGACAGGGACAACCTGTCTGCCGATGCAACGGTATTTTACAAAAATTGCATTTGGCACACGGCAACAAGGCATTTAAAATGTGGTGTAACAAATTATGAATGCTAAAATGCAAATTGGGTGGCTTGTTAAATTGAATGCAAAAGCAACAAATGTCAATGCGTTGTACAATTTATATAGATAATTTTCTTTAATTTTATTCATTTAATGAGCTTAACGTAAAAGAAAATAATTGAATCAATTTACAATTATATTAGACATTAAGGTTAAAATTCAATTTAACCAAGCTATTTAGTATTTTTCGATATTGGCAAAAAAAAAAAACATATATAATCAATGAATTTTCAATTCACGCGTATCCTTTATGTCTGAAATGTAAACAGTTTTATGTTTATTTAATATTCATGTGTGAAGATAAGCATACCACATTGTGCCTCTCATTAATCTTAAATCATATTTTCAACTGATCAAAGGGCATTATGCCGCCGCCACAAAACTCAATTCATTGACACAGAGAACATCAATATGCTATAGTATTAACCCCTTTGGCCGATCCGATCCAACGACGACGTCACATGTCCGCCTCTGTGATCGCTAATCTCGTGCACATAACAATGAAAAACCCACACACAGGCAGGAAGAGGCAGAAAGACAACTTGATCAAGCCAAACACTAGTCTAATATAATAACAAGACACTAACAAAAAAAAAAGTTCTAGTGGACAGAGCGCGACTAGGAGATACCCTGAACCGAACTCTTAACACATCTTATGTATTCAAACCAACTCGTACACTTAATCCATATATATATATATATATATATTTTAAAATATAATATATACATATATAAAATTCTTGTGTTTGCTGCTGTATAAATTTGTTAAATGAGAATACGAACCGAACTTAATGCATTCTTTGCGGATGATCAATATTATGTCCAGGTATATATGTATTCGTTCAGAAAATCTGCAAAATGACTATGAGAAATCGATTTGTATCGACGTAGAGTTATCGATAAACTGAAATAAGCCAACTCTGCGAGAACCAACTTTCCAAACTTGAGTGCTCTCAGACAGAAAGCCAGGATTAAATCAATTCGGTAGTTAATGTCGATCAAGAACTTTTATACTTTGTGGGGCGTCGGATGTGATGCCTTCTGCCTGTTGCATACTTTTGCACAACCTTATGATACCCCTTGCACCCAATGGGGATATAAAACCTATATATATATACATATACATTTATATGTATGTTATTCAGTTCAATAACTACACACAAATATGCCAACAAAGAAACACCGTTTAATATGAAAATTATAGACGAATAAAATTCCTGGGCGCTCGATTTTCTCAACCTCCCCACGCCCCCCTCCACGAACCATCAAGAGCATCTCCCCAGTCACCATTTGGCTAATACGCTCACCCGTTCTCTCGACAGGCTTCTGCTGCCAAAATCATTTTTAGCCACGATATTTGCTGTTCAGTTCGAAATTAAACATCGTGTCGTCGAGATCGGCGTTTTCCGCGTCCAACACAAAGTAAAGCAGCACCAACAAAAAAAAATCTCGTTTGCTAACAACAAAAGCAATATCTTGCACAGATCGTATATGTATATGTCTCACATTATTTATTTTTTTTTTATATAAATAATAGCTCGCATATACTAAACATAAAAAACAAAGAAAAAAATAGAAACATACAAGAAAAACACACAAGTCGCTTGACAATTTGCAACAAATTTTAAAAAATTCGGTCGTTTAATCATTACGTAAAACTCGGGCCAAAAAAATATAAAAAAAAATAAAATTAAACTAAAATAAGAAACATCTAACACATCTAATCGTTGACTACCCATTTGTCAATGTGTCACAGTGTCGAAGTGTCGTCGCCATTCCCTGGGCATGTAAACCCATCGAACCAACAAGTTCAAGTTCAGAGCTTATGTATAGCAAAAGGCCGCCGCCCAGTTGGTCTATAAAAAACAATACTTATCAAACCAAAGAAAAATAAAAATAACAAAATAAATCCAAAATAAAAGGAAACATACATAAAAAATCACCATTGGACGTTCAAATTCGTTCGATTCTAATTCTTTTTGATATATGATTTAATAAAATTAAATAGTCAGGAGCATAATTTTATTCGATAACAATCGTGTCAAATGATTTTCCAACTTTTTTTTTAGCGTTTTATTTTATTTATAAAATGTATATATTTATGCTCTTAGGGGGCTCGACGTAGTCTCCAAAAATACCGGAATATTGGCATGTGTGTGTAATTGATTTTTAGTTGGAGGCCTGGTAAATACATTTGGGGTAAATACATTTGGGGCAAATGGACAAAATCCATTATAAATGTCTCATCATTTATATATGAAGCCTGCAGCTGCTATTTGTTTGGAATACTCAAGTGATTCAATACAATTTGTGTCTAATAATATAAAATGCATTTAGAATTTTTAATTACATGTAGTGTGGAACTATATGCCGACTGAACAGTTGGTATTTAGTTGAAAGTATTCAATATTGAGGTCTAGAAAATTCAGATCCTCAAGCAAAAAACTGCCAATAATTATAAAGAACCATTGCAAGCCGGCATACATCTAATTTTCAAAATGTTTAAATTTAAATAACTTGGTAAACAAAAGAGTTTTTTTTTTGTACAAGAATTATTACTTTGGCAGCTATATGATATAGTGATACGATCCGGCTGGTTTCAATACGTATGTGTTGCCTGTGGCAAAGAAATGGGTATATTCTGACAGTCGAACATGGTTCTGCAACATATCCATCCATGAGTTCCAAATTTCATAACAAAATTATAATACCTTCTGCAGAGATAGATTTCTAAATATATAATATATATGTACCAGACTGAACTCAAATCTTTTTTACTCCCAGTTTATCTGCCGGCGAGAAAGTTCTTCAATACTTCTAATAAATAAAACCCAAAAAAACATTTTCATTCATGCACATAGCAAAGCTAAATTTATATCTTGGTTATTTTTATAGCAATTTGAGGTTGTTAAAAATGACCATAATTCAAACGTAAACTACTCATTGATATTATTCAATATGCCATTACCTCAAAGGCTACTTACTCAACGATGCGTAATCACGATTCCCATGACTCAGGCCCACAAACAAATTTTCGACTGCTGTAGTTTTAGATATTGTGTTTGTTGTTTTTCTCGTTTTGCAGAATATTTGACTGCCTATTAAATGATTTTTGTTGGTTTTCTGCTTTTTTTCTTCTTTGCGCTTGTATGTTTTGCGTCCACTCGGCTGTAGATAACAACAGAAGAGCGCGACTATTTTTAAACATTTGGGGCAGGCCAACCGATGCGACCGCCTTGTCGATATATCGCCAAAGTCTGGGGGTTGCTTGAGGTTGGGGGCTGGGGATGGGGATGGGGCTATAGCTCGGACTGGGCCTGCTCGACAGTTTTGAATAATTATAAACAAAATTGAATGGGCTACACTAGCCGAGCGCACATTCTCTTTAGGCGCCATAATTATGATTTGCCTTTGATCGATTTCCAAAACGGTTGAAAAAGAACTCTTTGTTTTTTAAATTAAGACTAAAAACAATATTATGCGTAGCTGTGCAGTAAACACGTATATATATAAATATAAGATAGTAACAACAACTTAAAATATTCATCTTTGATGAGCATAGCAGAATAGCTCATCCGGAACAGTATTGTGAACAAATTAATTCGCCTTGCAGATGATTTTTTTTGGAAAATGTGCATATTAAGAGCTACAACGTCTGATAAACTGAACGACCAATAAGACAGAGCAAAATATTTACCAAAATAAGTGCATTCAAGTGAAAAGTATAAGCTAACTAGTGAATTACATTGACAACCAAGTTAAGAAACAGAAAATGTCCTGTTGCGGCCAAACCACCACTGTACGCGTACCCATCGAGCTAAACAATCAGACCGATGTGCTCAAGGTAAACACAAGAACCAAGGAATTGAAAATTCCCAACAACCACTTCCCAATCCCACGAAAAAAGAGAAAATCAAATGAATACGAAACCTAACCCATGCTTTACTTGAGAAAGGCGCCTTGACTAATCTGATATTTTATTTGCTTCTTTTTTTTATTTTTCGTTATTTTTTCATACGTTTATTTTTTATATTCTGCCAGCTTATATACGATCCAGTACTAGACACACAGCACAGGGTAGGCGTGGTGTGCCCCTAGGGGTAGGCAGCCTTATTCTTTTTTTTCTCTTTCATTCGAACCGTGCGTCATGATTATCATTACAAATCTAAACAAATCGATATCGAAATGCAAAAATCATTAGATTTTTATTTTTATAGCCAACCAGATTGTGAAATCACACATTAAAAAACAAACAGTGTGCACAAAAAAAAAAGGAAAAAAAAAGACCACTCAAAACCCATCACAGGCACTTTGGTCTATTTTGATATTGGTTTTCATGCATCAACACATTTGCCATAGTCGAATTTTCTTCGCAGCTGTTTGCCATAAAGGAAGTGCGCTATTGCTATTGCCATTTTCAATCGATCGCATTTTGCACCTACTATATATCCACAGATCGGCCGCACTATACAATTGGTTGAGTGATTGGTTTATGTTTCTTGGCCCAAAATAAACCATATATCAAGCCAAACACATTTTGTACATCAATCCAAACGATTATTGATTTATGTCTTCCATCATTGCCAACAGATTTATGGAGCTGAATAAACCAAAATCTATTTTTTTTTAATTTTCTTGCAGTTTATTTATGCTCCGGCAATGCTGTGACAATATAAGTCAAACGAAATTAATTACGATTTTGTGCAGCAAAGATATATATATAAACATATATATATAAATACATATTTTTCTATGTTTTTAAGCTCTGATTGTTCGCTTTGAAAATGTATATGTATTCCTATCTTTATCGATATCTGACGGTTTTCAAACTAGACTTATAAAATTTGAATGGGATTATTGATATCCTTCCAATCTACTTCAGCTCCGCATAAAATTCCAGAGTAATTGTCATAATGCAACAGTTTTACAGTCTATACTTGGAATATAGTTTTGCGGTCGATTATATGTCCAACAGCTGCGTTCTCACTTCTTATCCTTACTTTAAGATCAGATTTCTCAGTATTCGCAGTTTCTCAGACTCAGTTGAAGTCAGATCAAACACAAATAAAGCATGTGCAAAGCAGGATCAATCATTTTGGAATAAAACTCATAGCACATTGATTGAGACATTCATTTCCTTATCATAATAGGGATATCTCTTATTCTGTTATTCTTATTCCGTCGCACTCATCGATTTACTCTTCAACTCCTCCACTCATTTTGCATGTACTCGATATGTTTTTTGTGTTTGAAACTGATTGCAGGGTCCAGAACAAATACACGTCTCCAAATTCTACAAGGAGTCGAAGAATGGTAAATTTGTATCCTACATCACAGAGAATGTGCGAACATTGTATCAAACGTTCCGTGAGGGCGCCTACGCCTCCAACAATGGTCCCTGTCTCGGCTGGCGAGAGACCCTAACGTCCCCCTACCAGGTGAGCCCTCCGATGAACTCAATGTTCAACAGCAGCACCCAGCTAATGCATCTTTTATCTTTCTCTCTATGCTTGGCCAGTGGATCAACTATGATGAGGCGCTGCTGCGTGCCAAGAACTTTGGCGCCGGCATGCTGGCGCTGGGAGCACGCCCCAAACAGCTGATTGGCATCTACTCGCAGAATCGTCCCGAATGGATACTGTACGAGCAGGCGTGCTATTCGTTCTCGCTGGTTGTGGTCCCACTGTACGATACCCTCGGTCCAGATGCCTGTTCTTTTATCATACGCCAGACAGAGATGGCCATCATCGTTGTGGAGGATGATGGCAAGGCATCGATGCTGCTGGAGAAGTCGCCGCGCAGCTTGAAGATCATTGTCTCAATCAAACCGATACGCCAGACGACATTGGAACGTGCGCGCAGTCGTGGCGTTCAGATCTTCTCGTTCATCGATGTGGAGAAATTGGGCGCGAAGGGCAATCATCCGGAGGTGCCGCCCAGCGCCGAGGATCTGTGCACCGTTTGCTATACGTCCGGCACCACTGGGAATCCCAAGGGCGTTATGCTCACACATGGCAATGTGGTCGCCGGCGTCTGTTCGGTTATACTGCAAATGGGCGATCATCGCATCCGGGCGGGCGATGTGATGATCTCATTTCTGCCGCTGGCGCACATGTTCGAGCGGTGCTGCGAGAATGGCATGTACTATGTGGGCGGCTGTGTCGGTTTCTACTCCGGCGACATCAAGGAGCTGACCAATGATCTGAAGATGCTCAAGCCGACGGTGATGCCGGCCGTGCCTCGTCTTCTGAATCGTGTCTATGACAAGATACAGAACGACATTGCCATCTCCGGCCTGAAGCGTGCTCTCTTCAACATGGCCATGAAGGCCAAGGAGAAAGAGATAGCCCGCGGTGTGCTCCGGCGCAATGGCTGCTGGGACAAGCTGGTGTTCAAGAAGGTCCATCAGGCCTTTGGCGGCAATCTGCGACTCATGGTCGTCGGTTCAGCGCCGCTGGCCGGTAATGTGCTGACCTTTATGCGTTGCGCCCTCGGCTGCTTGGTGCTGGAGGGCTATGGCCAGACGGAATGCACGGGCGCCATAACGCTAACCGTTCAGGGGGATCATGTGCCCAATCATGTTGGACCGCCCGTCTCCTGCAATGCCGTCAAGCTGGTCGATGTCCCCGAAATGGAATACTTTGCCAATCAGAATACAGGCGAGGTTTGTGTGCGTGGCTCTAATGTTTTCCATGGGTAAGCACAATGGAATTATCAATTCAAATTCTTGGACTAACTCCTCCAACTGTAATGGTTTTCCTACTATACTACAGCTACTATAAGGATCCAGAGAAAACGACGGAAGCCATCGATGCCGAGGGCTGGCATCATACAGGCGATGTGGGAATGTGGCTGCCCAATGGAACACTGCGCATCATCGATCGTCGCAAGCACATCTTCAAGCTGAGCCAGGGCGAGTACATAGTGCCCGAGAAGATTGAGAATATCTACACACTGAGTCAATATGTCAATCAAGTTTATGTCTACGGCGAGAGTTTAAAGGTACGTCAAACCAAAAAAAAAACAAAAAGTAAAAATATAACGCAATTTAAATATTTTATAGAAGTCCGGTTTCTTGCCAAGAGAAGAGTTGCTTAAATTTAAGAATAGTTGAATTATGTTATTTATTTATAATCGTTTCGCAAACAAATTTCCATTTACAGAGCTGTATTATTGCTGTTGTTGTACCTGATGTCGATGTGCTGAAGCAGTGGGCCACGGAGAACAATGTCCGGGGCACCCTGTCCGTCCTGTGCAATAATAAGAATGTGAAGGAACTGATTATGAACGATATGCACAATTGGGGCAAACAGAGTGGACTGAAGTCATTCGAACAGGTCTGTACCATCATCATAAATGGTATCCAACCACTTCGATACAATCTCTAACGAAACCATATATTTCATCTGTTTACAGGTCAAGGATGTGTATTTGCATCCGGATCCGTTTTCGGTACAAAATGGACTTCTCACGCCCACATTCAAGGCTAGGAGGCCGCAATTGAAGAGCTATTTCAAGCCACAGCTGGAGGATATGTATAAACATTTGGATTAAAGCAATAAACCATAGGAAATCAAGAACAACGAATCAATTAATCAGCATTCAAAATAAACAACAGATTTAACTTTATGTCTCAACTGATCAATACACAGACGACCATACAATACAATATTTTGAATACCAATACATAGAAATAAATAATATTAAAAAAAAAAAACAGAAAAACAAGAATAGAAAAGAACAGAAAACAATATTTGTTAGAATATTGTGATAGACTCGAAACGAACCTCAGTCTAATTTTCCGTCAATTCTTAGCACGTAAGCGGCGCTGGATGCAATATTGAGAACAAAACAAAAAATGAAAATCTTGAAAATACTACAGATTCTTAACTGACAAACCAATTTTGGCAGCAGCATTTTACTATATAGTTTAAACCAGAACTAGCAGCTCGTATCAAACAAAACTAATAACCTAACAATAATACGTTAACTATTTGTTAAAACCCTATGGTTTTTGTAAGCCAAGAGAATGTTTCAAATTTAGCAATGATTGCGTAGTCTGAACGAAAACATATACATAATTAACATATTGAGAAAAATTTTTTAAAACCAAAGCTTTAATAACCTAACACTCTTATACTACACTCAACGTTAGTTTAAATAATGAAAAACAAATGCTAAATTATTAAAACAAAAAGTGAATAATAATACATTAGGTAAATAAAAATACACGCTTTAAGAATATGAAAAGAAAATATAATAATAATATGAATTTCCAGAATATACAAAATTCAGCGCAATTTCTGAAAAATATAAAATCATCAAATAATTGAGTACTATTTGGACTGCACTTGTCTGCCTTACAATTAATACAACAGAAATGAAAAACTCTACAAATATGCTCTAAACGTAAACCAAAACCTTATGATAATATTAATAATTTCTTTACGTAGGAAACAAAAGTACGTGAATTTATGCAATGGATTCAAATTATAATTTAAAAACAAAAATAAAGTGAAAAACAAAAAAAAAGAATGAATAACTTTTATTTAAAGCGTTGCCAGATGGCAAAACTAATGTTGGGTTGACATGAAATTAAACGTTCTTTTGCAGTTAGATTCGCTGCAATTTGTACCTATTTTCAATAAATAAAACAAATCACATTTGCATTCATTCGATTAATTCGTTTATTAAGTTAATTTCAGCTGAGTTCAAATCGTGGCGAGAGGCTCTTGGAATGCAAAATTTATTTCAGACTTGCAGTAGCATTTTTTGTTACTGTTTTTCTTTAGTTTTAATTACTAATTAAAATGTCTAAAATATTGTTGGCTTGCTTGCTAGAGTGTTATTGAGCTTAGCTAATTTAATATTTACCAAGTATAGAGGACATTAGGCTTAAATTTACTAAACAATTAGATGACAGCGATCACAGCTCTCCATGGACGCGATCATGTGGCGTTGGCTCTGTTAAAATGACCACATGATCATCATCCTCGTCATCTGTTGGATTATCCCTGTTGCCAGCGCTATTGTGATTCTCATGGTCCTCAACGCGTGCCAGCAGCGCCTTAAGCTCCGCATCGTAATCCTTCCACTCGGGCACAATGCGCTGAGCGGCCGTCAATTTGGCCTCCTTGGTCTGTGGATTGTTGCACAGATCAATGACCTTGGCGCTCTTGAACGAGCTATCACTGCACCACGTCTGACACCACAGCCAGTCATCCGGCAGCGATTTAATTGCCACCTGATGTATCATATTGTTGGGCAAATCTTGATCCAGATTGGCCAAACTATTCGGATCCTGACTGAGTGCCTGATACTGGCCACGCAATCGATCACCGGCCGCAATCTTGCGGAATCGCTTCAGATCCACCACATACAAAGCAGAGATGTGATAACGTCTGCCCATCAGATGGCTACGCCAATAGCCGTGCTTCCAGAACCGGAAACCCTCCATCTCCTTGCGCGAATCACAGAACGGTGTATACGCATAGGGAGCACCGCCCAAATCCAAATCATACAGCTCCTTGATATCTGTGCGCACAATCGCATCCGCGTCCACAAAGATAATCTTGCGCACATTCAGCGGGAAGAGCACATCCAGGAAAAGTATCTTATAGCCCCAAATCGTGCGCTGTTTCTCCGTCTGCTGATGGAGCCAACGCGGCCATTTGTATTGCACCAGCTCATATTGGAAATTGTAATCCTTGGCCATATGCGGCAAGAAGTCCGTAAACTGTGGCGACAAATAGTTCTTGAGGAACCAGAACTTGACCGGTGACTTGGTGTGCTTCAGCAGCGATACCATCATAATGCGCAACAGACGTTCATACAAATGCCCCGAGGCCACCGAAAAGATGTTAATGGTTTCCAAATCCTCATCGGCTGCACCAGTGCCACTGTTGCCGCCAAAACTATTCGCAATGCTATTCCAGATACCCGATTGCGATGGCGCTGTGTCATCGGACAGCAACTCCGCCTGCTGCATGCCCGGTCGCTTGGACACGCGCAGTTTGGTCACATGCGAGCGCAGTGAGGTGATCAGCACCTGGACCGCACCCGTTTGCGACTGATGCAGTGTGTTGGGTCCCTCCGCATGGCTAATGGCATAGATATCCGTGGATTTGCCCTCGCGTAGACGCAAAGTCCAAGCGCCCGGATTTGCCTTCAGCTGGAAATAGCCCAAATTGGCCATCACAATGGTGTCCACCAACGACGGTTGCGTCTTAGTGCCCAGCACAAGTTGCAAGCCACGCGGCGGTGCACCGCTTGCGGCATCAAAGCAATGACCCTCCAGCAACAGATACTCCAAGCCAAATTCACTGTGCACCGGACCGCCAATGTCGCGCAGCTTAATGTTATCCAGATCGTAGACAGCACGGACCGCTTCAACCAGCCAGTTTTCGGGCACCTGCAGCTGCTGGGTGAGCAACGGATTTGCCGGCAATCCGCTGAATTTGGCCAGAGGTCCATCAGCACGGACGCCACTCGCCTCGAATTGCACCTCGGATTCGACGACATAGCGATAGAAATTCTTGACAGGCATATCGCTATGTTGGGCAACGGGCGTCAGATACAACTGCAGCTGGCAGTTCAGCGTTTGTCGCAGCAAAATGATGATCGGTGTCAGTTTCTGTGCCGCCCTCGACGCGGGATCCAATACGGCGGCAATGTCAAAGTGTGGTAAGTTTTGTTGCTTTGCCGGCAACTGGACGACAGAGTGATCCGTTTTCAGATCGCTGGGCAGCTTGAAGCGAGTCTTGGTTTGACGTGGCAGCAAACTGGCGTAAAGCTTGAGCAGCGTATCGCTGTTGAAATCGACATGAACTTCCATGGCCGACTCCTTGAGCACCTCGCGCACCTTATCACCATACTGGAGATCACTGTAGCGTGCCAGCAGCGCAAAGTCGGCACTATCGAAGGTCTCCACGGCGCCGAGTGGCCCATAGAGACGCCCATTGCCAATCACCAGACGCTGGGACTTGGCCAAACCCAAGACACGTTGCGCATATACGCGCAACATTTTCATATGCAACTCCGTGCTGCCCAGCACATCCTCCATTGGTTTGGGTATATCCTCAACGCGTTGATTCTTCTTTTGGCGCAACCATTTGAGCACCTGCTCAGTAGCCTTGGCCGGCTCCAGCGAATGCATTGCCGCCCAGGCCAAACGATTCAGACTACGCTTATCACTCGCACCCTCCGTATTGGGTATGAATGCCAAACGGACACTTTCGCTGCCACGCACATAATCCAGGGCATGGGTGAGCAACTCACGCCCATCATCTGTTTCCAGATCGGCAAAGACCCACAGCGTGAGGAACTGCAACGAGGCGCTGCCTATGCGTTCAGTGCTCTGCTTGCCGCCAAAGTATTTCAGATTTGCCATCAGCGTGGCGGTCATGTCACGATTGGAGAGCTTATTCAGAGCAGCCGCATTTCCCAGCTGCTTGGCAGCAACACCATTAATATCCAGGTACTTGGCATCCTCTTGGCTGAGAATGCGCTGATTGAGACGCGGCATGACATGCGGCTGATTCATCAGGTAATTGATCAACTCATCGCTGTCGGTCAGCTCGCCACGATACACGGCCTTTTGCAGAGCCGTAGTCTGGCTCATGATCTCCGAGAAGATGGCCTCCTCGAAATCGCTGTCCGCACTGATGATATTGCTCGGCATGGGTGCACCGTTGAGCAGCGCTTGGGGTTGACCCACTGCTCCAAAGCCCAAACGTTGCACAAATTCCGCAGCCAGCTGACGGCCGTAATCGTAATCGGATTCCTCGCCGAGCAGTTCGTCGGCTTTTTTGCTGTTCAGCGAGCTGAACTCCTTGGTCAGTTGGTTAACGATGTGCTTCCTGGTGACGGCAGCTGTTTCGCCCACAGCTGCATAGATGTCGGTGAGGAAACTGAGTGCGGCACGGGCATCCTTCTGTTGGCTCACATAATTAAAGGCACAAGCAATGGCCACATAATCGGCCGCTGTGTCCGGTTCCACAGCTCGAGCATCGAAAACCAGACCCAGGCGAATGGGCGCCTGATGGATAACAAAGGATTCCGACAATTTGATGACACTGCGTGCCTCCTGCTGCAACGGATCCACCACCAACACCAAATTGAAAACATTTTTGCGTATGTTGCGCAACATGCCCGGAAATGTGGGACGCAACAAATCCATGACCGAAGCCGGCCAGCGTCTGTACTGTGCATCCTGTTCAATATCATTGATCCACTGGACCGCCGTATCCCGGATATCGATGGCAAATTCACGCTTGCTCGCACTATTCAAGTCAAGGGCCAGCAATGCGCTGGCCAGGCTGCCATGCACATTGTTGCCGTGTAGACTCTCCAGGACGCGTATTTCAGAGCGCAGTGTTTCCACCAGCGTGTATAAGTCCATGGTGTCCGCATCGAAGAATAAGCCGTTGATGAACAGAGCACCATCTGGCGGCGCCACATTCAGACTGCGACCCAACACTTCCGTATTGTGCTTAATCTCAGCACGCAGCTCATCTGACACTTTATGGGCGAGCAGAGTGCGCGCCAGCATGGGGAAATTGTGGGCAGTATATTGGAGAATCTGCAGCGCTTCGTCGCTTTGAATTTCCGCTATAGCTGCCGCAGCTTGTAGACCCAAATCTTGGAATTCCCACGCTTTGAGCTGGGCGATCTCATCGTTGCCCTGCAACAGACGCTGACGCAGTTGATCCAGCGCATTCTTCAGCGCTGGATGCTTGGCCTTGAGCAGTTTAAAGTCGAAGCCTTGAACATCCGTTTCATTTGTGGATTCCTCGTTAGCGGCAGAGCTGCCATTGCCCGCTTCCGGCTTGGGTGCATCATCCTGACTCTTGTACTCCGTCGATTTCAAATGTAGCTCAACGCCGTAACCTGACAAGCGGACGGGTCGCCCACTTCGCTCGGCCAGCTGATGGCGCAGTAGATAACGCACTTTTCCAGCATTGGCAGCATTTTCCAGCAGTTTGTGATATGGCCGAAATGCGGCACTGCCCAAATCGCCATAGAGAACCACGGTGCGTGTATTGTTCTCGCTGCCAGGATAAATGTGATCAAAGCTATAGCTTAAAACGTCCGCATCCAAACTGCTCTCAGCACGAGGCAGCTTAAGCTTTTGTTCGAGCTCCGCAAAGTTGCAGGCGAGCTCGGTGCCCACCTGGGCGTAGATGGCACCCTGACAGGCGCCCGCCGCACGCAGTTCGTCGGCCAGCTGAAAGTGTGTTTGAATGCGCGGCGTTAAACTGTGCATGGAGACGACCAGTTTCAGCAGCGGTAACTGAGGCGCACTCACGTGCGTGCGCACAAGCTGCAAGGCGGCATTATACTGCTGCGACTCCGTATCTGCAATGCGAGTAGGTATTCATTAGCATTTCAAAAACCATATTTGAAACATTCAAAATTCTCATAGCAAAGTCTGGTCACCTTACGCTTTGTTTACGTACCGTAATCGTTGAGCGCAGTATCCAATGCCGTCACAGCCTTTACGTAGTCCCAGAACAGACCCGTCTGCTCGTCCGCCAAATACTCGGCAATCTCTAAATATAATGGCGTTTGCGTCCATTTTGCATTAATGAGTGTCGTAATTGGATAACTTTGACTGGACTCGGCAGACGCAGCCAATACACAAGCAGGTCTTAACAACGTCAACGTCGCCGTCGTCGCCAGAAAAACACACACAAGACGTAACATTTTTGTTATTGTGCGTATCGTGTACCGCTGTTTGTTACGCGCACATGACGCAGAGATTGCAATTTAATGTTCAATTTATGGCGAGTTAAAGCAATATTAAAGAACTTTATCTTTCGCACGCACTCTATTTGATAATTAAATTTAAGGCGAAAAACTGATGTGGCGTTTTACCGGCCCGTCTGCGTTGCCACCTTGCTACAAAATTGTGGTGGATGTACATCATCATCGATACCAAACATCGATGATATGCATTTATCGATGCTTCTTGCACCCCAATATCCACACAAGCGTTGCCAGCTGATCACCCGCTGCTTTGTTTATCAATGAAAGCGCGCCGAAATTGCAAATTCGCAAAGAAATACATTCATTAATTAGAAATTTGATGAAGTGCACATTAGAGGGAAACAATGCACGCGGTAAGTAAACTTCATTCTCGCTTTAGACATATTCTTTTAACCTACGATATTATGTCAGTCATTGCCAAGGCAATACAATCACTGTCCAAAGTGGGCAAAGAGCTTTTCATTGAAGCAGACCTAAATGGACTCCGGATGCGCACCATTAATGCAACACAATCGGCGGTGGGCAGCATCAGCTTCAGCCGCTCAATGTTTGATATGTTTCAGCTGCCAACTAGCGGCGATTGCTGTTGTAAAATCTCCATGAAGCCGTGCCTCGGCGTATTTCGCAATATGAAACAGGCAAGTGTAGATTGTTTTTCCTTTTGAAATATAATTTAACATTGAAATTCCTTCTTGCAAGGTGGAGCACTGCGAGCTGAGCATCGTGGGTAATCACACCAAATTCCAAGTCAATTTACGCTGCAAGCTGGAGACCACAAAGCAGGCGCTCATTGCAATTGTGGATGAACAGAACATTACCTCGGCTGTACCAACTGATCAGTGTGCAAATATGTAGGCCTAACATCTTATATTTTATATAGTTGATATAATATGTATATTCTTAGATTGCGGGGCGACCACAAGCTATTCATGGAGATATCGAATAGCTTCAATGCCTCGGAGGAGGAACTAACGCTGGAGGCCACGCCCGACAGCCTGTCGGCCAAGAACTACATTGAAGGCGCTCGTGTCAATGACAAGTTCATGCGCTCCCAGCTGAAACTGAAGCCAAGTGAATTTGAACATTATCAGGTGCCGGAGGGATCGGTCATTACGTTTTGCATCAAGGAATTCCGTGCATTTCTGCTCTTTGCCGAAGCACTGAATGCACAAATGACACTGGAGTTTGACGATGCAGGCAGTCCATTTATTGTGAAGATTAAGAAACATCGCGAAATTGAATGTTTGCTGATTCTATCAACGCTATCACCCGATGATGTTAGTTTCTCTGTGGAATACTGTCCGCGCGAGATTACCATGTGTAATCAAAGCAATGGCACTCAAAAACGTAAGAGTAGCACACCTGGACCAGAAGTCCAACAGAAACGTCGCCTGGCTGAAGACACAACTCTGTCGGATGTGGCCACGTCGCTCTTTCAGTTTCGCGATCATCAACCAGATCATCGGCCATCTGTGGCACCTTCAATACAGCCTGCACGCTTGCTGGCCGATGGTGACACTGTGGATGTGGTTGAGGATGAGGCTGATGAGGAAGCGTTGCTGCTGGCCGTATCCGATGCCATGGAGGCGAGCCAAGCGATGCCTCCCGGCAGCACTGAGGTGTGTTTCATCAATACGGAGGATGCGCCGCCCACGCTAATGCCTCCAGAAATGCACGAAGACATCGCGGAAGAGGATGAGGAGGAGAGCATACCACAGTCCCCAGAACGAGAGCGAAATCGGATGGTGCGTACCATATTTTCGCGGTGCTTCCAAAACACTTTTGTGCCACGTGAGCCGTCGCCCAATAGTCAAGTTTATGCCGCGAATTCGGATACAGAGGATTAGACTAGTTTGTTCGTTTATTTATAAACACCGTTTAAACATGTGCATGTCCAGAAACTGTCAATTGCTTGCCGTCTCCTTTAGCTGTATAGTGGGCAGAAAGCTGCTTGTCAACGCCGATGCAGTGCGTGCCTGCAACTGCGAGGTATTCCTTTGTGCCTGCTGCAGCGCTGTATGCGCCGACTGCAAGGACACCTGGGATTTGATAAGCATTTGATCGGTGGCTAGCAGCTGCCTGGAGGCGTCCACGACAAAGTTGCGTGTTAACGCAGTTAATGCCTTACAAATGCCAATGTTGCTCTCAACTGCGTTTGAATGGATCAAATTATTGAGAATGCGGATAAGTCAAACGAATAGCAAAATTACTCAATTTGCACTGCAGCAGATTGTTGCGGTATATTGAGGCGGTTACACTGGGAGTGCTCGGCTGCTCATAAATATCCTCGTCTTCTTCTTCCGTTGCCTCGCCAGAAACTTCGGCTGCGAATATCTGCAATAACTAACTTGGACAAATTGCACATGCTATTTATCATGTGTATATATACCTTGTGTCTGTCCTGCTCCTCGTCCGATTCGGAAGCTTCACCACGCACCAGCTCAGCCATAAATTTACTTATTTATTTACATCGACACAATAAACAAACAAAATAACCTGTTGATACTGAATTGGAGTGTATCGATATGTCGATTCACGATTGAAAAGTCGATGAAAGATCTGCAGTATCGATGACCTAAGAAGTGCTCTAATAACAATTAAAACCAATTTTCCAAAGCATTTTGCGCATTTCGATTCGAGGATTTAATAATAAATTGTAATTACGAATTGATAAATTTACACTATAAATTGTCTTACAACTTTACAAACTTAAAAGCATATGGATTATTCAAAGTATTTTTGCAGCGTTCCCGTTTCGAACATACGCTTAATATCCGTGCCGCCCCCGACAAATTTGCCATTTATGAACACACGTGGCACCTGCGAGAGCGTAGGAGAAATTATTCAAAATTTTGAATTTCAGCAGATTATGTTCTTTGGACTTACCGTTCGAGCGCCTGTCATCTCGCCCAGCACCGATTGAATTGCATCACCATCTTTACGGTCATTCAATTCGATTATCATTGTTTCAATTTTCAGTTTGCGGAATGGCTGAAAGATTTTAGATGTTAGTCAATATATAATATTTCACTGGCGGCTACAGTGATTCCTATCACTTACCTCTTTGGCCATTGTGCAATAAGGACAATAACTTTTACTGAATATTGTGACCTTGTTATTGGAAATTGTATCGCGAACAAACTGAGCCTGAGTGCTGTCCATGTCTACTTTTGGTTTTTCGTATAGCCTGTTAAAATCCAAAAAGGGAAAGGGAAATTTGCTTGATGTTGATAGTTCTTGAGATGCAAATTTAATTATTGGTATAGAATGGTTGCTACGCAAACTGTTGTGAATTTAATGTTGAGGGTGAATTCGCATTAGTCATTACTGCCAAAACCCATTGATGTAGTGACCTGTCAAGTGCATATGGTTGCCAGACAGGTCAAAAAGGGCAGTAACTAAACTTACCAGTTCCAGATAGCCGAAAACATGTTGAAAATGTAACAACACTTATTAACAATAAGCACCACACACTTACACAATATGATCAATAGCAAAAATATGCTATCTAAAAATTACCATAAACAATTGTTACGGTCTGGCAGCACTATTAAATACATCGCTGGTGTATAATTATTTTATATATTTATTATTGATCTTAATCATTGTAAAATTATTTATTTAAATTATTGTTCTAATTGTGACTTATAAGTTTGCGACGCTCAAATTTTAAAAATAAAATTATATGTATATAGTTATATATCTATCACTGGAATACCACTTCTAAATTGTATTGAAAACGGGCAGTGCTACCACTCGATTCCTGTATCCAGCTGATCCCGAACTTGATTGAGGTGGCAACTTTTAATCAACTTGAACGGAAAATCAATTTTTTTTCGCAAATGCGTGCCACAATGGAACATAAAGGGCTGCGGCAGATAGTAAAGAACTATAGTTAAAATAAAAAAAAACACGTTAAACCATGCCAAGCAGTCTACTGTTTGCCACTAGCAGCGAAGGGCGCGTGCACACGCTGTCCACCAGCTCAAGTGGATGGCGCGAATTTCCCTATCTCGGTCTGGAGTTTAAGAAAATCAGCGCAGTCCCAAATTACATGTGGGCCATTGGTGGAGATCGACAAGTATATGTTCATGTGCACGGACTCGATGTGCCCATACGGGTAAAGGAGGAGTCGTATGAGAACGAACGTTGGCTACCAATCGAGGGATTCTCGAAAACGCTGCTGCCCACCGACCGTTACAAATACTCTAACGTTGATGGCAGCGTCGAGAGAAGCGTGGACAAGATACGCTTGCCCTCTATGGCCTGGCAATGGGACGGGGATTGGCACTTGGACCTCGAACTCGATGGTCAACAGCTGCCCGAAGATGGGTGGATGTATGCTTTGGATTTCCCAGCCTCCTACTCGGCGAAAAAGTCATGGAACTCGTATGTGCGTCGGCGGAAATGGGTACGCTTTCGTCGCTATGCCGCTCTCAATAGCTGGTGTGCCGTTGCGCCACTGCACAAGGATCCCACGCAGGAGCCATTCATCGATGTGGCCATCGGTGGCACACAGGTGCCTAATGCACGCGCCGGCACCCTTTGTGTGTGGGCCATTACTGCACATGGCCGGGCCATGTTTCGCACCGGTGTCACAGCCAACGCACCAGAGGGCTTGCGTTGGACGGCTATCAGCACTCCCACGGGCAGTGAACTCTCCCAGATAAGCGTGGGTCCAACTGGTCTGGTTTGGGCTGTGCTGTACAATGGCCGAGTTATCGTGCGTACGGGCATCACACGCGATAACCTGTCGGGTGAGTCGTGGCTGGATGTGAAGTCACCCGTGGCGACGAGCTCACAATCGGATACGCCGCGTGGTCTGCGCATTTTGCAGATATCGGTGGGCACCGATGCAGTCTGGTGTATTACAAATGATCATCATGCCTGGTTTCGACGGGGCATCAAAGGTGATGCAGCCGGAATAAGTGAGGATGCCGCTATTGGCAGAGGCTGGGTGGAAATGGTTGGCAATTTATCAATGATCTCTGTGGCTCCCAACGACCAGGTAAGGATATTTAAGAGGCTATTGTTTGATGTATATTAACTGTTTTAATTCATCAACAGGTGTTTGCAATTGGCGCTGCTGATCGCGCTATATACTATCGGTCTGGCGTCAGTGCAGCCGATCCCACCGGTAAGAAGTGGCTGAAAATCCAATGCTCAATGCAAATCAGTCGCTCCTCCAGTTCCTTATCGATAGTTTCGCGCAAAAGTGGCGGTAGCAGCTCAACGCCTGGCTCAAAACATCAAAGCTTCTCCAATCTGTACTCCAAGGAGAAGGAGAAGGGCGTTGTGGAAACATGCGCCGTCATTGAAACGTTCACCACGCACAGCAACGCATCCTCAAATAACGGTCTAAATAGCCGTTTGAAAAACGATCGTTGGAAATTGAACGCCGACTCGCCACCTACCATTGGCAGCCTCAATCTGAACGAGCGTCAGAAGAATCGGGCGACAGCATTGCGCGAGACATCTTCGCATGCCTCTAGCGCTCCAGCCGCCGACATTGCTGAGATAACTGGGAAATTTGAAACACAACTGAAAAATCCGCGTGCGTGGTCACCGGTGCGCAGTGTTGGATCTGTTGTGGGCACTGAGGCGCATCCGGAGAGTGATTCGGCTGTGTTCGAATCGGAGTCGGCACATGGCTCGGATGCATTTCTGGGCGAAGATGATGATCACAATGGCTCACAGTTTTGGACAGAGTGTGCGGTCATGTGGAGTTGCATAGCTACGGGAGCTGTCACCGTGGATGTGAACAACACACCCAACTGGTTTAACGAGCATCTGTCCAATGATGGCAAAGCCGATGCTAATCCCAACTGGCGCAATGATCTATTGGACAAGCTAAAGCAACGCCAGCAGAAATTGGTAAAGTTGCAGCAGGAAACACACTACGAAAAGGCTGTCGAAATGACATCGTGGATTAAATCGGCGGACGCACGCTATCAGCATCCAGCTGGGGAGTATGACGACTGCTCCATTGAGCTGGAGTGGGTAAGCGGCAACGGTAGCGATACAGACAGTGATTCCGGCACATTCTCGGTGCTTAGTTCGGATGGTGCCGCAACCAAAATACAATTCGCTCTCTCCGACATAACGTGTGTGCAGTGCTGCAGTGAACCGGGCGCACCACGTCTGGCCATCCATGCGGTTCATCTGCCCATCAATTGCAGTCCGGTCAAACTGCAATTCACCAGCGATTCGGAAATGGAAGACTGGCTATCGCACCTGTCCTCCGTATGCAGTCAAATCAATATGTTGATGGGCAAACCGGCCAGCAATGCTATTTGGCTGACCAGTGAACAGGGCGACGTATTTGTCTTCGATTCAGCCAACATGAAGGCCCAACAACTGGAGAAGGCCGACGATGGTCCGGCGCATTATGTCGAACGTATGGATGTGTCCACGTGTGAGACACCTTACTACAATACCCTGTACAATGGGTAAGTTCAGAGTTTCCCTGTTGCTGGTATACTATTTAATAAATATTAATAACTTCTAGCATGCCCTGCGGCAGTGAGTTGGAAATATCTGGTTGTGTCTACGATGATGCGGATCAGATTCGCTTCGATTTGCAGTGCCATTCGAAAATTAAAGCGCTGCCGCATCGTGTCGAGAAATATCGAGTGATTGCCATGCATATAAATCCTCGTTTCAATGAGCGCACAACTGTACTCAACTCCATGATGGATTCGGAGTGGCTCGAAGAAATACGTAATGATCGCATGGTATTTGCGCCCGGTGCCACCTTCACGGTAAAAATTAAGTAAGTTTACATGCGACATATTATTATCAATTATAGTTAAGTGCAATCGCTGACATACTTTTGCAGGGCTCTTGAGCACCACTATCAGATTGTGGTTAACCATGCGCTCTATGCGGACTACAAGTATCGCGTGGATCCGGCTGCCGTCACCTGTCTCTATGTAAGCGGGCGTGTTAAACTCTTTAGTGTTGTCTATCGTTCGCCCTCGCTGATGGTATCTATGCAGCAAATGCACTGGCGCCAGATGGGCGGCCATGTGAAGCGTGTTTATAGCAGCGGCGTCGATGTCGTCTGGGGAATTTCGTGCGATAATACGGCCTGGGCATATAACGGCGGGTGGGGCGGCATGTTTTTGAAGGGTTTGGAGGGTTCTGGCAAGATAAACGCCATGATTGACACGCACATCTACTATGTGTACGAGAATCAGCGCTGGAATCCCATCAGCGGCTTTACTGCCAAGAGCTTGCCCACCGATCGCCATATGTGGAGCGATGCCAGTGGGCGACAGAAGCGCAGCAAGGAGCACACCAAACTGCTGTCCACACACTGCGAGTGGATATCGGACTGGGCCATCGACTATAATCTGCCCGGCGGCGCGGACAAGGAGGGCTGGCAATATGCCATTGATTTTCCGGCCACCTATCATGCCCACAAGAAACTGACCGATTGTGTGCGCCGGCGTCGTTGGATGAAGAAGTGTCGCCTCACCAGCAGTGGTCCCTGGCAGGAGCTCAGTCATTCCAAGATACTCGATGCGTCATTGCACGTGCTCGACTCGGATGTGGACAGTGTTCTCAATGTCGAGGATATGCCTGTTGCTGCCTGGGCCATTGCCTCAAATGGCGATGTGCTGATCAGACATGGAGTTTCTACACTGAATCCGCGCGGTGACAACTGGGAGCACATTGTCAGCGATCAGCCACTGATTGGCATCAGTGTGGGTCCGATGGGTCAGGTCTGGGCAGTTGCTCGCAATGGTATGATCTTCTATCGGTATGGCATCAGCAAGCAGAATCCCTGCGGCGACGCCTGGCAACAAGTGGAGGCGCCGACTGGCGTTACCTTTAAGGCCGTTAATGTGGGTCGCGCCGGCATCTGGGCGCTGGACAATCAGCTGCGGCTAGCGGTGCGCAAGGAGGTAACGCACACATTCCCCGAGGGATCACATTGGCAATTTCTACCAAATGCTGCCAATGTGCCACCGCACACAGAAACCCACTGCGGTTTTCGTGCCGTATCCGTGGGCAAGGAAGTCTGGGCCATTTCCCTAAATGGCGTCATTTGCCGACGGTGTGGCATAACCAATGAGAATCCAGCCGGAGCCGGTTGGAACTTGGGGATCTCGGTATGCTTACAAATATTTAAATAACTTACAACTTTTTATAATTTATATACTTATTGCAGGGTCAATGGAAGCATCTATCCGTGGAGGGTTATATGTAACCACAATGCATTCCGTGTTTTCAGTATTCATATGTATATCCTGCATAGTAATACTCTGCAAGAGTATCTTATTGTTAAAATAACTTAAACGTTCCGCGAAATTTACAGCCATGAAATTGAAGAACGCCAGCAGGTGGAGTAGCCAAAAACCCAATTATAAAATCAACTTACAATTATTGATAATATGTGTTAGTTTCAAGCTAAGTGCAGGGTATATTAATCACTTGACTGCAAAGTTCTTCCTTTTTTATAAAGACAAAAAAAACAGCTTAAAGATAGCTTTGTTGTATTGAACGTAATTTCGATTCCTATTTGTTTGTATAATTTGATTAATTATAATGTATTTATTTTGAAGACTAGTACGTCTTTGTCTGCCGCTTATGATCTGTTTAATATTTAGTTAAGTAATTATTTATATATAAATATATTAAATGCATATTACGTACAAATACCTTAAATTATGCTTTTAATATTTCCAAATATAATTCACTTTATTCGGGCATACGTCAACCGGTAGAATTACAAGCGCGGGTAATCAAAATATCGATTAATCGATTGCATACGTTCGTTCTAGTCATGAACAATAGAAGTTCATTTCGTTCAATTGAACGGAGCTGCACAACTCTTATTTGAGTGGATGATTTAGTGCAAAGAAAAATTCATAAACAAAACGTTGTTAAAGTAAATAATGGCGGACTACGATAATGTACGCATAAAAAAGTTGGTCTTGAAAGGAGAGAAACACAAGTAATGTATGACAAACAAGCATATAATCAAGTATTGAACGCAACTTTGCTTATAGGAAAAGTAAGAAACGCAAGAAGGAAAAGGAGCACAAGGACGACGACACCGCCAAGCGAAGCAAGTTGATCATCGATGAGGATGCCATTCAGCACGGCGGTTGGTGGACGGCGACGAGCGCAACAAACATTGTTGGTGCGGTGGCCATCGAATTTGGCGAACGCTGCTATTTAAAAGCTCTGGACAACGGGTGCGTCGCATAAAATTATTAAATTAAAAGCGGTAAAGTCAATGATTTTATAGATTGTTTACTTTGGGCGCCCCACACAATCCCGGGGATGTTCCGGATCCCGAAGAGATTTTCACAGCGTTTCCAATCAACGATCGCAAGGTGTCCTTCAAATCTGGCTATGGAAAATATCTAAAGATTGAAAAGGACGGCATGGTTACGGGTCGTTCAGAGGCTGTTGGTAGCATGGAGCAATGGGAACCTGTCTTCGAGGTGAGAGACCCCGTTAAATGTTGTTTCACGCAAATGTCTTGTATCAGTCATTTCATGTTGCATTTTTAGGGCAAGCAAATGGCACTGCTGTCGGAAACGGGACACTTCATGTCCATTGACCCGGAGGACGATGCCTGCGTTGCTCTGCATAAGAAAGTGGGACAACAGGAAATATGTCGCGTGCGCACCAATGCAGCCCGAGATGTGGTTATTGACGAGCAGCCAAAGGAAGAGAAAGGCGATCTGGGCGAAGTAGAGAAAAACTATGTGTAAGTCTGCATATATTTTAATATAATTCACTGCTGCATATTAATTAACACTTTTCTTGTAATTCTAGCAAAAAGTTTCAAAAGTTCCAGGATAAGAAGATGCGCATTAGCCAGAACGATGTGAAGGAGCTCGAGGAAGCCAAGGCACAAGGGCTGCTGCATGAGACGCTTCTGGACAGGCGTAGTAAAATGAAAGCTGATCGTTATTGCAAATAAATCATTTTAATCTAATTTATCAAACATAAAATTCCATAAATTGAAAACTAGCAATTTAATCGAGCAGGTTTGAATATTGGGAAGAGACCTAAATTCCACAACGGATACGAAACAATTCGAAGCTGCTTCGTGCGAATCAGCAATAGAATTTCATTCATTTGGCATGAGATCTTAGCCTTCTTACTAGCTGTAAAACGAGATGCTCAAGAGAGCGGTGAAGAGCAGAGAGCGGAGAGCATTGGAATTTACAGCAGCATGAGAACAAAGCGAACAGTTCTCATAACAACTTGTATTTATGAGTCTAGACTCTGGACTCTCGACGCATAAACCGGTTTGGTTTCTGTGTGAGCAACATGGCTAAGCCACTGAGATCTGAGCTGCACATTTAGTTGCCATTTGTTAGAGAACGTTGACGGTACAAGCGGCTCTTAGCAAATTCAGTTTTATAGAGTGACTATTTATTTTATTGTTAATTGTTGATTGCGATCAGCGCAATGCGAAAATCGCAGGGAATATCATTGGTCTCGGACAGACGACTGGGCTTGGACGCCTCTGAGACGTTCTCCACATCGAGTTCCTCGTTGAGCAGCTCGTTTAGCGACGGCAGCGATCTGGTCAACTGGGAGGAGTACGTGGCGGAAGATGGTAGCCTCTTCTATGCTGAATATGTGCCCAGCATCAAGCCGAATGCGTTGGAGCAGCGACGTGGTGAACTCTTGCGTCGTTCGCTGCGCCTGGGAAAAAAGACAACACGGCGACAACAGCAACAGCAGCAGCAGCTCTCGAATAGAGGCCAACAGGGCAAACACAATGGCAACCAAGGCATGCAGCAGCAGCAACAGCAGCCACAGCAGACAACTCCCGCAGCAGAGGCAGAGAGCAGTGCCAGCAACGGGTTCCGTTTCGCAGACATTAAGCATTCGCAGACTGAGGCCGTCGCCAATCAAAAACAATTGGAGCTGGTTATAACGGCAACGGATCGCTTCCGTTTCGGTCGTCGCTCCACAGCCGTGGAGTCTATATTGGGCTTCCGTGTGCTGCCGTTCCCCGATCAGCCCGAGTGCCTTATGGTGGACAGTTTTGTGCATGATATCAGCGCCATGCAGCACAATATTAAGCGGGGTGATTGGTTCAAATCCTTGAATGGCATTGAGCTCTATGCCAGCAATTTGGATGAGCTGCTGCAGCAGTTCGTCGAACCCACCCAGGTGTGTCTGGGCTTTCAAGGTGTTGCCACTCAAAGCGCACCAGCTGCAGCAGCAGATGATGCTGCAACTGGACAATGCATCCCACAGTTGCAACAGGTGCGCAAATTACTAAACTTTGCCATGTTTGCGGAACAATTCGAGCAGCTGCTGCCCCCCGCTCTCGTTGTGCCGGATAGTGTAACGCCATTTGGCATGCTACTCCTGCCACCCGAATGCTATCAGCAGGATGAGCACAAGGATTCGCTGTACTATTATCCCGAGTGTGCTTTAACCAATTTCCTGTACAAGGCACGGGGCAGCTTCCTCACGCTCAGCTCCGTGCTCAATGAGCTGCAGACAGAGCCGCTGACCTCGCGTCTCCTCGTTGAGCAGGTGCCCTACTATGTGAACTATCGCCGATTGAATGGATTCCTGGTGCTGTTCGCGTATGCAGCGCGTTTTTATGGCGCCGCCGAGAGCAGCCTGAGATCGGATGAGCTAATTGGTTACATACGCTTCTCGCTACCGGGTCTGAATCTAGAGAACTTTGTGACCAGCACGGATAGCTCGAATGGTCTGCGCCAGTTTCTGCGCCATTTCTGCAGCATTCAACGCTCTCGCCTGCTGGCCAATCCCCGTGGGGAGCTGCAATTCGAGCAACTGCTGAAGCAATCGCGCAGTTTGCCACTGCCGAAGGAGGCACAGTTGCGCATCTTTGATGCACTCAGCGAAATGGAGGCCATGGATTATCGCAATTGGAACGATGAACCGTTGACCACTCATCGCGAGTTCTTTATCTATGGCTGCGCCTTGTACTATGATAGTTTCCTGCTCGCCAGCCTGCTGCCCGCTGAGGTGCGGTTCAATGTGGAGCTGTTTCTGCGCTGTCGGGGAATCTTTGATTTTATTGGCTCGGCGCCCAGTGTGCGGGTCCGTGAGCTCTACGTGTGGGAGGAGATTGTGCTAGCGAATGCAACGGGTCGTTATTTTCTGACTGTCTGCTCGAGGAGTCACCTCATCCTCACCGTCATCCTTAAGATGTATGTGGATGCGCCCGAAATGGAGGCATTTACTGCAGTGCCGCCATCGTTGTTCTACATCGAAGAGATCCAGGAGACGCTGGATCATCTCATACAGTGCGGCATCGAGTCACTGGCCAGATTTTGGTCTGTCTCGAATAAGCGGCCCGAGGTGCTCGACCAGCACAAGATCGAGCAGTCCGGTGAAGAGCACGAGGCCAGCAGCAAGCTTGAATCATTGCTCAAACCGAAAACCAATGTTCCGCATTCCAGTAACTCCGCCAATGATGATGAGGCGCAATTGTGCTCATCTCTGGGTGGCTCATCGATACACAGCCTGACGCCCAGTGAAGATGAGATGTCACGGCGCCGTCTGACGCCTGCCGATGACTCGGACAGTGGCTCCGACTGGGAGAACTTTGCAGAACAGCATCCGCTGCATTACGGACTTAATCTGAATGTCGAGAGCCAGAGTCAGATAACCACATCCCTTTGGAAGGAAATCAACAATGTGCTACCAGTGAAAGTCTCCGCCGGTTGGAAGAACTCTGTGCTGCACTACGTCTATGTTGACCTGACAAATGGCGTGCTCCTCTGTCCATTCACAGCCAGCTCGGAGAGTTTTCCCTATCTGTGCGAGATGCGTCGAGCGTGTCATATGATACATGTGGTGCTCGACCGTTCCAAGAATCATCGACGAATACTGGCGGAGCCGACTGCTGCTGGCAACAACAGATCCCTCATTGGACATGGCAGCAATGATATAACCATGGTGAAAGAACATGGCATAACCATTGAAATCACAAATAGCACCAAGGAGCAGGCTGTCATGCGATTCGTTGTCGTCGGCCGATTGTTTCAATCGCCAGCGAAGGAGGTCTATGTGTGCCACGCTCCCGAGGTACCCCAAAATATGGTCGAAATGGCATTCAGATTGTCCTTCTTCTCGATGGGCTAACAATTGTTCGAGTACTGCTAATAGTTAAATGAATTAAATAAAGAATACATTTTAGAAGTGATATTTCTTATATATTATAATGCCCCTTCCAAAACATAATGTCTGCTTTCATTCATATTTTGATCGCGATTAAAAAACATTGGCACTATATTTAGATGATCGTGCGACACGCGCCCTAGTCGCATATTTATAAACATAAATAAGTACATCTATGTATATCTATGTGAACACCTATGTATATCTGTATACAATGTCAACGATTTTCATTCTGCAAAACATGTTGTTCCTCATTTTGTGGCCAACTCATAGCCACATCGCCTCATTCGTCAGTCAGTTGTCAATGAGCCCTCCCAGACAGCGGAGCACTTGGTGGTCTCTTCTCTAGTGCTAGTTAGACGGACTTACATCACTCATAGCTGGAGATGCCAAGGTGGTTAGTGTATGGGGCATGTGTTCTTTTCGCCACGGCACTTGCACTTGACGAGTCAGTTAATAATAACCTCAACGACAATGAGCAAGATCCGGATGCGGATCTACATTTGCCCAGCGAAGTTCAAAAGGCCGTTTGCACCGTAAATGCGGGCGAGGTCAAAGCATCCGCCGAAGCGGTGACAACCAAAACTTTAAAGGGTGTCTGTGGTTCGGGTAAGCCTTGCACACCATTTCAATAATGTTTGAGAGTCAAACAAATTGCCACCATAGATGAAATGAATCGAGCCTTTCGCAATCTGGAGGAGAAACTTTATGGGGAATTGCGTGAGATCAAAGAGCTGCTGCTGAAGTTGATCGAGATGGAAGAACAGCCAGATAGTAACTCTATTCCATTGACTCCAACGCTGGATGAGACACCAATTGTAAAGGTGCCTCTCTCGCTAAAAAAAATCAAGTTTGAGCAGATTACGATGAAACCACCAAGTCAGGAAAACAATGCAAAGAAGCAACCCAAGCTAAAACAATTGGATATTACAGCAGAGCGGGAGGCAGAGATTGGCAGATTTAATAACACAATGCTGGCGGATCAGGACTTTCAATTATTTACCTATTATTGGAAGTTGGAGAACTTTACGGATCACATTTCCGATGCCTCAACCAAAACCATCAACAGTCCCAAATTCAGCATAAGAGGCGAGTACTTTAAAACGCACATATGTAAAAAGGCGTAATCCTCGAAATATAATCCCCATTTCAGGCAAGACACTGCAGTTGAAGTGCACATTTCAGCATATGCACCGCGAGATGATCAATTTGCAGCTGGCATTGGCGTATCCATCTCATGATCATGCCAGTGGCAAGGAGAACAATATTATGCTGGACATGGGCGGACAGTGGAAGCAATTGAAATGGACCGAGCACGTGGCGTTCAAACACAAGATATCGCTATTGAATCAGAATCCGAGCCATCGGCGAACGCAGGACCTCAGCTCACAGGAGCTAACGAAACTCGATATGGGATTTTCCATACCAAATAGTGCGATTGTAGGCAGCAATTATGTGAGACACAATTCGCTACTAATACAAATTATTTTATATTTGTGAATGGTTTTAATATTATGTATATTTGATTTGAAATTAAAGAAAGCAACCAAACCCATTAGCCAACCGTATCTGCAACCATGAAAAGAGAACTAAATTTACAGACTTGCTGCACCTGCTTACAGCTTGCTGCGTGCACCCTTTGCCTTGATGTCCAGGAAGGGCATTGCAATGGGATACAATTCTTTGCAGGATTTGAAAGCAAGAATATCGCTTATTGGCTTATGACGTTCCATGCTGGTGACTGTGCTGTCGTCCTCCTCACTGGTCGGCGCATTCGGATCTTTTAGTGTGGATACAATGTGCACGGATAAAACTCTTCGCTCATCGCCATCGTTTGCTATGAATTTCTGTAATTAAAATTGAGCAGTTGAGGCATGGAATTCAAGTTACTGAAAGAAGTTACACACCTTGAAGTAGTCAACAAAATCAGATTTGTTAATTTTGCGTAGTATTGCAACTTCGGCCTCTTCGCGTTCGAAATGATAGGTTTGCATAGCAATTTCACCATAGAATGTGCTAAACTGTTGGAAAATGGTCTTCGGTTTCTCCAACTTTTTCACAATTAACGCTTCCTTGTGGCGCGCGAACTCATCCAACGGCATGTCCTCAATTATTTGCTAAAAAAAAAGAAAGTGAAATATTTAAGAAATGATTTTTATTTCTTTGTGAATCTCAACAGCTTACCAAATAGGTCTGCAAAAAGTTCTCAATGCGATCTTCGATAAATGATGGATGCTTCGCAGATTGAACGATGATGCGAAAACCATTAGCACCATTCATTTTGCGAACTCCACTGAAGACGATATAGCCGAGTTGCTCCTTTGTGCGTAGACAATCGTAGCAGGGCTCCGACAGCACTTGCGACACCAAGTTAACCATAATATTTGTGTAATCCGTTTGAGCGCCACATTGCATATAGAGCTGTGTGCAGGAGCTCTTATGATAGTCATTCTCCTTCTCAAACAGATAACTATCACCTGTTGCCGACAAGAAAAAGCAAAATCAATGTGTTTGATTTAATATTATTAATTTATACTAACCAGCTAACAACTTGTATTCGCGCTTTTTGAGCATCTGGCGGGCAAGAATTGGTAGTTTTGTGGCATTCGTTGCCTCCAATCGCTTGTTGACGCGACCAGCGATATCAGTTGCCTGCTGCTTGGTGACATTGCCAAAAATGAAGCACTCGGTATGCAGACGTTGGAAGAATTCCTTGGCAAAGTTCAGCACACGATCGTAGGAAACAACTAAAAATGGTATTTGAATTAATATTATGGTTGTAGTAGGTGATATGTGATAAGAGACTACTACTCACGTTCCATAGCATCTAAAAGCTCCACGTTAGCCCAGGCATTCTCCGTTAGCAGCAGAGCCAGATAATAGATGGAATGTTGGTAGGGCTGTTCCGCTTTAAAATTCTTAAGTGATCTTATGTACTCCTCCTTGAGTATATCGAAACGCTTCTCATCTATGCTGAAGTCAAACAAGTGATCCAATAGCTTCTCTAGCAGAACAACCTGCTTGTCACTAAAACCGCGTATGGTAAACTGAAAACAAAATTATTTATTTCAATTGCCAATGAGTTTCTTAAGCGTCAACCTACATCGATGCCGCATGGCTTGGTGTTGACACTAAGCTTGAGACTAGCCAGCTCTGCGTCATATAAATATTCGTTGAGCTGATCCTTCAGCAGCATGACCATCATGTGGTTCAAATTACAATTGAGGGGATCCAAATAAGCAATGGGATTGGACATGTCGAAGGTCATGCAGGCTTTGGGCTTGTTAAATTGATTGTCCTGCTTATGCCAGACTCGTAGAATGGACGTGTCCAATATAATTGTGGGATGAATCGGAGCATCAGCGGGCACATCGGCAATATCAAAGTTGCTTGGTATAAAACTGTTTGGCAGTGACAGTTTCAGATTCTCATTCATTTTGCAGTTTTCCCAGCTCTGTAATTCATTGGAAATTAACACATAAGTACATATTGCCTCTGGTTCAACATACCTGAATTGTCTCCTTCGGTATACGCTCCAGACCATATTTAGTTTTATAATATGGCTCGGACTGATCGGTTGACTGTTCAAAGCTCTGACTGACCAGGGAAATGCGACTCTTGGAAGGCACTAGTTCGTCCAATAGCTTGGAGACCAATTCTGGACGCCACTCGTTGCTCATGTATGGTGCAATTAGCACTTCTTCCAGTGGAAATATCTGCATCGATGACACTGCATGTGTGACCAAGCTCTCTGGTTGCTCCTTCTCCTTGAAACGGAAACGCATTTCGTTTAGCTTAACGCACTCATCAAAGATCCATTTCTTAGGTCCTTCCTTGCGCAACAAGCATAAATATTGGAATATTATTTTAACAATATCGTCGACATGCGCCAAGCCATCCTGTGTCAGATCCACTGCTATATCAAAGAAACCAAAGCCATTCTGGATATTCTGGTGCCCAGCCATAAGACTACAAGACAAACATATATCATTAAAAGATAAAGAGAAATTTAAATTGACTTACTCGTTGCACCAGCCAAGTCTGCGCAGCTCGGACAAGATGCTGCCTTTGCCTTCATGGCCAATGAGATGAGTTAAATAATTGTCCGGCTGCAATAAATATTAATCATAATCTTAATCTGTTAAATTTATAATCTGCATAACTTACGCCGGATTTGTAGTACTGTGTCAGATCGTCGGTAGTAAAACTGATCGTTAGAGAGCGTATGTCCTTGATGGGCACGATCTTAAGTTTCTGACCATACTGATCATCTGCATATGGATGCCGCGGCCAGTCTGGCACCTTCACATTCTTATTTTCGATCTCCGAGAACTTTGCAATGATCATTTCCTCCAGTTCATCCAAGGATTCTGAGCAATGGATATTTTTAAGTAATTTAGCCACTGTAAAGTGATTTGATGCAACCGCAAACCTTTTCCTATAACGGCCAGGCACATAATATTTGCTGAATACCAATATTTGTGAAACTGCAAAAGCTCATCACGGACATCAATGCCCTTAGACTTGGGTATCTCGGAGAGGGTGGCCTTATTACCGCTGCCAAACTTGCTGTAGGCATGATCCGATTTGGACAAGTGTCGATGTACTTGCTTGATACGCCACTGATCGCTCGATAAATTCTTCTCATGCTCCGAATTCACCTGAAATCATTGTGATTAATCATAAGTACAATAAATGACATCACCATCTTTCTCCACTCACAGCGTTGATTTCTCGTTCGGTTGCACTGGGCGTAAATAGCGGCGCAATAAAGAACTGCGCAAAACGATCAAGTGCACCTTCCAGCTTGTCGGGGGCAACTTGAAAATGGTATTTCGTCATGAGCGGATATGTGGCCGCATTGCTGCTGCCGCCACTCTGCGAGAGGTATGTGGTATAGCCATTCTCATGCGGATACTTCTCGGTGCCCAGAAACAGCATGTGCTCGCAAAAGTGAGCCAATCCTGGCAGGTTTTCTGGGTCGGACATGTGCCTGCAAATAAAAAATAAATCAAATCATATAATAAGATCGTTCCAAAGTAATATTATCAAAATCTTACCCAACTTGCACAGAAAGTGCAGCAGCTGACACATCCGTGCTTGGATCCGAAATCAGTAATACCTTAAGACCATTTTCCAGTTGCAAGCCACGATAATCGCGCGTGTCTTGTTGCGATTTTTCAATATTTTTTATGCTGCAGGGAATCCAATAAAAATAATGCATTAAATTTTTAATTTGCAAAAATAAATAAGTGATGTACCGTATAATTGGCTCCATTTGTTCGGTCTTCGGCTGCACTTTTTGGCTGCTGCTTAATGTCATTTTCGGTTTTGCTGAAGTCGAGAGCAATCTGTATCCAGTTAAAATGTTAGGGCAATACTTTCCGCTACTACTGTTAAAGTAACAGAAACAAGTTTTATTATGTTGATTATTAACTATTTGTTTAGTCGTACTGTCGATTGAGAACAGCTGTTACTGCTACGGCAAAAATCGATTTGCGTCTGGAAAAAGTTAAACACGTTCGCCCGACAAACATAGGAACGATGTGGCTGCTTCTGCAGAAATTGAAAAGCCAAAAATATGAATGGACATGAATTGTACAAAAAAACTAAAAATACAAATAAAACCTCAATTAGTAAGCTTGTCTGCTTCTTTTTTTTTTGTCTATTTTCTTTTTACCAGAAATGCGTTTAAGTGTTCTTCGTTTCGCAACAATACAATATCAAAACATATGTTGTAGGGCTGTCACCTTTTTATGATAGCTTATGCGATACTTTTGCGAATATTCTGGTTGTGCTTGGTTTAAATTAAAACTAAATGTAGCATTTACACACTTAGTGTCGTAAAAAAATAAATTAAAATATATATTATAAATTTGAATACAGAAATTAACAATAAAATCAACACATCTATGACAGGTTCAGAAAATATTAATTTCAGTCTTGGCCTTTGTATTTCCACTTCCAATGTTAATAGGTGTGGCAACGCCACTCGGTTTATGTTTTCAACATGTTCAACACTGTCAGATTCACTTATCGACAGAAGCATATCGACTGTAGTGCACGATTATTGTAACAGTTGTAACTGCATTTTATTATTTAACAAATAATAATCCTATGCACTATTCAATGTGGTGCTCAAAGTTTTAACATAATAAAATCGGATAGATTTCAGTCGCAGCGTTGAGAAATGTGAAGTGTCGCAGCTCGTGTATTGAATCGTATTTGCAATGGTGCAAATATAAATTGCAAATTGTTGTAAATTTCGCCAGTAAGTGAGTGTGAGTGTGCGTGTGTGATAAGTGCAACACGCAAATAAAGAACATACAGAGAGTGGGATAGAGAGTGCATAGCACGCAAAACACAAATAAAGAGGCAACTGTAAAGGTACATAATTTAATTCCTTATTCTTATACAAATAAGAAAAACATACAAAGGCAGCAATCATAATTAATGCTAATTGAAAATTAAGTAAACATAAATATGTGAACGCAATAAATATGAAAAACAATTTTGGCAGTAGAGTTTACAAATTGAATGTGCTTTAAGGTAAAGGTTATAATATAAAAATGACGAGAATTTATTATAAGAATTTAAAACGATTTCGTGTCGCAAAATATAGTGTTTGCCTCTGCCTCTGCATAAGAGCTCGATTCTTTTATTCGAAAATATCGCTGACGCTGTTATTGGTTCGACCTAAGTCTGAGGCACGGTGGCCTGTAGGCGGCGGCCGCACCGCATTTCTCATGGAATGAGAAAATCAATAAGCTTACTAATGGGACATCCACATCTGAGGTGCCGGTCGTTCCTTCGCAGGAACGGTCATTAATATTATTGCGGCCTGTTTAATTTACTGCACTTACATTAGCAGACACACACACACACATATGCATATACAGCTATGCAGTTATGGGTGCATTGAGGTTTTGAGAAAGAGAAAAAAGAGTATTAACAATTAATACAGATGTAAATGCAAACACACACACAGAGACAAACATGCATGTAAGCTTGTAATAGCAAGAGAAAGGGAAAGTGAAAAGCGCAGATGAAATCACAATAAGCAGACATTTATGTTTACAGTTAGCTTATACTATATATGGATGAAACTATATATGAAAATGAATAAATCTGTAGTGCGTCTCAAATGCATGCAAAATAAAACTGAACGTTCAACATACAAAGAAACTAAGAGAAAAACTGATTTTTAAATACCCTCGCTATATTTTTTTGTTCGTACAATGAAATTGATTTATTTATTTATTGGTTGGGCCATATGAAAATTGTTGTTTGTTCTTGAGATAACATGTGTAGCTAAATCAAATAAAATTTTTTTAATTTAGATGTTTAGCAAAGCAATTTTCTAATCAAGCTTATTAATAATTGATTCAACAAAGCGAAATCGTAAGGATATTCTATTCAGGATATTCATATTCTGCGTACCAACTAAAAGCACCCTATTTGTACCCTTAAAACACAACAGGGTATTTTAAGTGCGAATTTCGCTCGAGATTTGATTGAAGATATTTTTATTTCTGTTTCAATTGAGCTCAATTAGACTCTAAAAATGCTTCGCTCTCGTGTTATTTTTTTAACAACGCAACGGGGTTGTTTTTCTCTTTGTTGCTTTGTTGCTGGTGGCTCATTGACTTGTTTTCCTTTTACTTTCATTGCTCAGTGTCGTCTTGAGGCAGTAGCCAACGCAATATTGTAACTTGTGCATACGAACATTCAAGTGCAACTAATAAAATATATTTGTATATTTATAAGCAATAAAATAGTCTTTTAGTTACAGATTGGTGAAGGCTAAGTAATTTAATGGTCATAAATAAATTATATATTTAAACCATACCTGAGTAATTATTAATCATTTATTCATAAATTTCGCAGATTTCCCCTTGCACAGTGCTGGAGTTGCATGCCGAAAATGGATAACGAGCAGCCACATCAGGAGTTGGTCAAGTGCGTCCTTGTTGGTGACACTGCCGTGGGAAAGACGCGACTGATTTGCGCTAGGGCTTGCAACAAGCATGTGTCACTGTCGCAACTGCTGTCCACACACGTGCCTACCGTGTGGGCGATCGATCAGTATCGTATTTACAAAGACGCAAGTGACAAAAACATTCGACAGCAAATACAATTCCTCGATTTTTACACATAGATTGTGCCTTGATTTTGCATTGCAGGTCCTGGAGCGCTCTTGGGAAGTGGTCGATGGGGTCAATGTTTCGTTGCGTTTGTGGGACACATTCGGGGATCACGACAAGGATCGTCGCTTTGCCTACGGCAGGTAAATTATTCAATATTCTATTTTGTTTGTTACTCGAAATATAACTTAATGATACTTTTCCTTTGCGTAGATCTGATGTCGTTCTGTTGTGCTTCTCCATTGCGAGCCCGATCTCGCTGCGCAATTGCAAAGCAATGTGGTATCCGGAGATCCGTCGCTTCTGTCCCGATGTGCCCGTCGTGCTCGTCGGCTGCAAAAATGACTTGCGATACATGTACCGCGATGAGAACTATTTATCCTACTTTGGTGAAAAGGGCACATTTGTACGGTATGGTTCACTTAAGCCGCATACATTTGCTTAAACTGACCAAGAGTAATTTTAATTTGCAGAGCTGCGCTGAAGAGCGACCTGGTCATGCCGGATGAGGCGCGTGCCGTTGCCAAGGAGCTGGGCGTTAGCTACTACGAGACCAGTGTCTTCACATACTTTGGCGTCAATGAGGTGTTTGAGAATGCCATTCGATCGTCGCTCATTGCTCGCCGACAGCAGCGCTTCTGGATGACGAACCTGAAAAAGGTGCAGAAGCCGTTGCTACAGGCACCATTCCGGCCACCGAAGCCGCCACCACCCGAGGTTACCGTTGTTGTTGGGCACTATCGTCAGGATATTTACAATATGTTCCTCTCACAAGCCTACGCCGATCTGATTTTGGTCGTTGGCGGAACCAAGTTTGCGGTACACAGATTTATGCTTGCCGCCGCATCCAACATTTTTCAGCGCATCCTGAACACTGAACTCAGTGACATGGGTGGCCGCAGCAGCAGTGAGTCGAGCATGGTCAGTTCAACGTTTGGCGAGGCGACCATAGCCGATTTCAATGACGACACAGAATATCTCATACGCTACGAATCACGCACACAACGGTAAAAGTTCAATTAAAATAACCCCCGATCATTACCTACCTCTCTTAACTATTTTATAATTGATAACAGTATGTGGGAACATCTAAAGCGACGATCCAGCTATCAAGCTTTGCCACTGGTGGAGTCAAAGCGTTCCACTGATTTACACAAAGAGCTACATCATCCGGTACTGCAGAGTTTGCGTTTGGTCCAGATGGAAAATCAACGCGGCGTCAGCGCTATTCAAACAATCGTTACGCTAAGCAAACTTATCTCACCCCAGGCACTTCATCAATGCCTCAGATTCATTTACACTGGCACCATTGACAAGGAATGCAGTAATCTGCAGGTAAATTTTGCTTACAATCACTTGTAATTGTCATGAGCTAATTTATATTGTATATTGTGCACTCAGGAAATACGAGAAGCTGCCGACTTTTTAGAACTGCCGCAATTAACCACGTTACTTTCTAGGCCACAAAGCGTCATGGACAGTCCCAGTGATGAACCAAATCCCCACATTTGTCTTGTAAGTTGCTAATTGACAATCAGCTTATGCAGCTCAAATGTATAATTAAACTTTTTACAGCGCATAAAAGAGAGCATGGAAAGGCATTGCATTGGAGACGGTTGCTTCAGCGATGTAACCTTTGAGCTGGACGATGGTCTGATGAAGGTAATGATTTGAATTCAATTTCTTTAAAATAAGGCATAGAAAATTATACATATTATTATTATTGAAATATTAAAGGCACATCGGGCTGTTCTGGTTGGTCGCTGTGATGTGATGCGCGCCATGCTTTTGGGCGATTTTCGTGAGGCACACTCCAATGTGGTAAGACAGTTCAAAATTATAACCTCATTAATGAAAAATAAGATTCAATGAGTATTTTACAGATTGTTTTCCCCGGCGTTACCATTTATACATTCCATAAGCTGCTGTGCTATTTGTACACTGATCAAATTCCGCCCATCTCAGCGGTTAAATGCCTCAATTTGCTGGAATTGGCCAACCGTTTGTGCCTGCCGCGTCTAATCAATCTGATTGAGTGTCGCGTTATTGAAGATCTCACAATAATTTCACAAAACGAAACCAATGAAACGGTGGATCATTGTCTAACGTTGCTGGAAACCGTCAAGGTCCGTTTGTTCTTATATGCAACATATGTAATAAGTGCTAACAATACATTTTCAACAGTTGCACAATGCCCATCAGCTGGCCGAGTGGTGTATGTCGTATCTGTGCGTCAATTACAATGTTATCTGTAAGTTTTCACTCAAGGGCTTGAAAGCACTGCATCAGGATAATCAAGAGTATTTGCGCGAGCATCGCTGGCCACCGGTTTGGTATTTAAAGGACTACGACTACTATCAGCGCTGCATGAATGAGCTAAACAAGGAGCTGAAGTTGAAGAGCGCACGTCGCGATTTCCCGAGCGATGACGAGGGTTGCCTATGCTTCACGGGAGGTAAGTGTCATCATCATCACATCATTCACACATGCCACATGTATACACCAGACTAGCAATCATTACTCGACATCGGCGAGCCCTGCCACTTGATGACCCGACATATGTTCCAGAGTCCTACTAATTGTTAGCATTCTTTCAATTATTGCCATTTGGAATATGTTCCAGAGATAAGAAAAGGAAAGCGCTCGATAAATTTAGTGTTTTGGGTGCTTGGCTGGCGGTTTGTATTTGTTATATACCCGATTATATTTGTTGTATATATATCGGTCACATGCACCACACGATCGAAACCATCATCACAGTTATTAACATGCAATATTTCGACAAAGTGTTCTCTTGCTGGCTGCTAGGTAAATCAAAGCGGAGCGATGTCGTCAACGCCAGCAATCCTAATGGTGAGAGCAGCGGCACAACGGCCGAGAATCAAATATTCAATAGCACGGCCAACTCAATGAACCACATCGATCTGGAGGCTGAAATCGATCTGAATCTCTGACACCCAGCCCTAGGGCATGGCAGGTGGGTAATCCATAAAGCAATCATATCAATGTTCTTATGGAATAATATAATTAACTGCTTCTCAGGTCACTACGGTTTATTGTGATTCTGCCCGTCCTGATTTGCTTCATCTGTACAATTTTAAGTATTCTGATACTTTTCCAAATCCACACATAACGATCCCCGTGTGGCAAACGTTTGGTTTGGTGGCGTCTGCTGTTTCTCACATCTCACATAGCGGAGGAGGTCTGCCCAGGGACACATTAGCATTCATTAAATTGCTTTTCTGATTTGCTTCAAATATGCCTAACCTTAGTGCAATATATACATACATACATCTATTTTTTACATACTTAGTATGTACATAGTTTGTATAAGCTGTATGTATGTAACATTTATGTACTATTTGTGCGCACTTTAAATGCAGAAATAATTAATGAACTGTATGTTAAGCAAAATCATGTGTATACTTATACTTATGTATTTAAATTTTAAATTCCAATTTAGGGAAACATTTGTCTAGCCATAGATATTAAGCAACCAAATATGACCTAAGGACGCATTTTGTACAAAATTAAATAGAGTAAAGCAATTATAAATTTAAAAAAATATATATAAATCATAGAAAACTAGAACATGTACCATTTATTAAAAACAAAAACACTTTCAAAAATATATATGTAATCCAATTGCTTTTACACCGACTCTAATGTTTTATGGCTAGACTGAGAGATTGTGCCATCTTCAACATCCAGATCATTTAGCATGGCAATCAAATCTTTATCCTCTATAACAAGCTCTGGCTTATTGTTATTGTTTGTAACAACATTCATTGGTTTTGTCGTTTCTTTGCCGCCCATCAGTTTGTGTAGCTCTATTTCTAGCTCTTCCTCATCGTTGGTGGCTACGTCGGCAGTGCTATTCGACATAACATCTTGAATTTCCCGATGCTGATCCATGGTCTCGCGCACGTCCGCCAGTACTTCATCGACGTTGTCGTACTTGAGACCCGAATTGTTAAGAACCTTCTGCAACATCTTTGTGCCAGTTTTGTAAGCGTCTAGGACGACACCACTGTGCTGTGCTTCATCCACATTTGACAACAATGTTTCTATGTTGTGCAGCGCAATACTACGTCTCTCTGTTTAAATATAATTATTAAAATATAATAAGGAAATAGTCTGTGTCCTGTCTTGTACCATGATTTTTTTCCAGCAAACGCTTTTTTCGCAGGTATGTTTTGGCCAATTGCCGTTTGTTTTCTTTAACATATTGGAGCGCCTTATTCTCGTTGCTCTTGATATCCTCTTCAATGCCCTCCAGTTGTTTCAGCAGATTAGCCTGTGTCATCTCCAGGTCATGCATCGCATGATCTGCTTCCGTAATAATTAGACTGTCATTCTCATTAGCTGAAAACGGAACAAATCGATTACCCTAAAAGTTGTGTGAACTGAGATAATTAAGATACATGCCTGGGATTTTGATGAGGTGAATGCGCCGCATTTGCCTTTCAATCATAACCTCTAAGGCGACTTGCTTGCGTGCCGCATGAAATAGAAGGCACAAATCCAAGAAGTCAACATGGATGTGCATTTCACATGCTTCACACAGCGACATAAAGGCTTCAAAGTGCAGCAATTTTCCACGATTTTTCAGCAATACCTTCTCTTCCATTTCATGGCATATGCTCTGTTTGGAATAGACAGAATGTGATTATTATTCAGGAGAAACGATTGAACTGATAGATTACCTGTAAGACCTCCAGGTGAATCCATTCAACAAGAGAATCAACTCCGGCATCTGGTGTAAAAATGCTATGTTTGAGTTTGAGCCAGCTGCGCGACAAAGGGCGCTTCACAAAACTGTTGACCAGCCAACCCCTCCAGCTGTTCATTGGATCTTCTTCGTATTCAGTGCGCAGGCGTATCATTTTTTGTTGCTCCATTTGGGTCAGTACCGCGTCCAGGCATGCGGGAATTTGCTCGCCCCGCTTGAACTGCAATTGCAGTTCTCGCAAACTGATGTTCGCTTTGCCCATAAATGTGCAATATTGTTTAATCAGATCCATCCAGAAATACATCTTTGAGTCGTATGTTTCTTCATTCAAATGCCGCGGATGAAAGCTTGCGAATAGCAATTTTATCTTGGTGTTATCCTTCCAATTTGGTGGAAACTTAAATTTCCTGATTTCATTATTTGCATTCATTTTATCATTTGTTGTACTCATTATTTCACAATTGTTCGTATTGCAAATAGCATATACCAAGAAAATTTGATTTGAATAAGCACCTGTCCTTTTTATACTTCAATTCTTTCTTTCATTTTGTTTTTGTTTATGTTATGCGTTGTTATTTTGCATTATTAGGCAAACAAATATCGATATAAAGCGACCTATGAGCATTAATCGATAGTACATTTGGTATTTATATCACGGACTAGAATACTAATCGATGTGCTTAATGGTCTCATCTCTAGTCTGGTCCAGAAAACAAAGCAAACAGCTGTTTTGATTTAATGTAAAGAAGAAGACGACGAGCAAGGCCACTAGATTTAGATATTTTTCGTAATTGTTGTAAAGTTTCAATTGCAAAGTGCGAAGTTTACCAATCAGAATACAACAGTTATCGAATTCAGATGTCGATTTGCCATTAACACCATCAAGTTATCAAATTTCAGGCGGCAAAACAGATTGTAAACAAAACAAAAACACATTTCTGTGATTCTGTGTTCCCAATGCCAATGCCAACCGAAAAAGCGGAACGTTCTCTCCCGACACTCTACCAAAAATAGGGAGTCATCTTACACACAGGTGTAAGGAACTAAGGTGCAGAGAGAGAGAAGAGGTCCCCAATTCCATTAAACTTCCTCCAAATTCCACTTCGATTCCACTCTATCACAACAACAATCAATCGACAACTGCTGCTTTCTGTGGCTGACTCACGTTTTCAGTGGCTTAACTTGTTATCAGGAGGATAAACAACATAAACCGCGCCGTTTGCCGGTATTTAACTGTTAGTGAATCGCAAGCAGCTGTGGTTTTTAGTGCCTCAACTTCAACATGCAAGATGATGAAATTGTATTTTGCCATCAGCTGGGCAGAGGTAAGTTTGTAATCTTCATTTCATGTTTGGAATAGCTAAAATCCAAATAGTGTTGTTTGTATACAATAGAGAAGAGTATCAAAGCTTCGACGTGATCGTTTTCTATTTCGATGTGTCCTATATTTATTAGGTACACTACAATCTTGAAAGCTTATTTTGACTTTTCTGTTTCTGTTTCAAGCGCCACTTTTTCTGTTTTTGATTTGTGCTTTTTCTTTTGTCTCATTTCGCCCATTCACTCGTTCGCTCTCCCCCTCCACATTGTATACAAAGTACATTTGGAACATGATTTTATACGAACACGAACGGACAAATGTATGCACTATATTTGTGTGTTTGATTGTATGTATGTGTGTGAGCAGGGAAAGCAACAATATGCGCTTGGCTTGGAAATAATAATAATAGCTTGAAGGGCAATCAGAGCCGCAAGCAAGCACTTGGATGCTGTCTTATTTACCAACTAAATCAATTTTGCTTAGTTATACGTTGTCGAGTTTGGTTAACTCAAGCTTGTGTCAAGGGTGTTGCTCGTTTGTTTTAAAGTCGCATTAAAGTTCACCTTTGGTCGTTTGTTTTGTTGTTGTTGTTTTTATTTGAGACATTTGCTTTCGCAATGCTCAAGTTCGGCTTTTGCTTTTCGATGTCTCCTCATTAATATACTTATGCATGTGTGTACAAATTTAACACGGACTTGTGTCTGTATATATATATATATATCGACGTGTGCGTGTATGTATGTGTGCTCATACATTAGTGCAAGCGCGACGATTGTGACGTCGACGCCAGCTCGGCTGTTGTAGCTGCTGCTGCTGTTGCTGCGGCTGCTGCTGCTGCTGTCGGCGTTGCCGCACCGTTTTTTTTAACGAAGTGACAATGAAATTTCATTCAAACACGTTTCACGCCTTCGATCGGTCGTTCAAACGGATTGCGATCCATTCCATTCCCGACGCGTTTCGTGTTTTCTTCTACTCGAAACAACAACAATAAGTCTGATCGTTTTCAGATCACTTATAAGCATAACAAGTTGCAATGTAAATACACAAATACATAAGTAGTAGTTATTACAGCGACAGGTGCGAGAATAACTGCTAACAAAGGCTGCTAATTTATTAAGGTATTCAAATAGCTTTAAAATGAAAGTGCCCGCGCGCGACTCCAAATATTCGTTTAACTTGAAAATATTCAAATTACATAACGACAAAAAAATAGCAGCAACGCCAACAACCCAACCACACACCAATTCAGCGAATACCCAAATGATCTCGGCTAAACGAAATTCATGGCGCGCTTCGTGGCGTGCCGCAATTGGGGTCGGTAAAAGAAACAAATCCGTCAACAATACCTCCAGTAACAGCATCAGCAACAACCACAACAATATCAATGACAGCAATCTGATACGATCAACCACGAACGGTGAAAATTGGCCAAATGAATCGTGCAATAATCAATCCCATCTGATGGATCCCGCCAAACACATTCCGAATAGTGATGATTTGATGTGTAAGTAGGCCATCCATTCAAAGTGGAAAAATTTTATATAGAACACGAACCATTAAGCTGAATCTGATCTGATCTATAACAAAGTACAATTGTGCTTGTACCAAAAAGTGATAAGAACAACAGCAGATAACTAAATCAACGAAAATAACTTTCAAATCAGGAGTGAAATGCAGAATGTTTTATTTGTCTACCAAAGATAACAAAATCTAAATCATAATTAAAGTCCATATTCAACTGTAAGTAAAGTAACAGAATTGACTGGAAAGAATTCATCGAAACAACTCAATTGGTATTCAATTTATGTGCCACAAATTTTCGCAATGTGGCAACCTTGCAATCGTCTAGATGATAATGGAGAAATTAAAGCAGTCTCTCTCTCTCTCTCTCTCTCTCTCTACGTCTACGTGATTAAAAGCAAATGGTACTTGACGAAAATATGTTGTGTACCATCAAACGACGACGATAACTACGTTTTTCGATAAGTGTACCAAGTTTTCATTTGTATAAGTTATCACACTCACACTCCAATCCACATCCTCTTAATAAATATTAATAATAATCAAAATCCATTTCCGATTGGCCTCATATCCGCTATTTGCCTGGTCAAAAGTTCGGAACAATTTTGTGCATCAAAACATGGGCAAAGGTGATAGATAAAAATAAAAGGAAGATTCATTGATCTCGTCAAGCAATAATAAACGGTAAACTGTTTATTTTGCGACTGTTTGTAATTTAAACATGTTGAGAGATGAATGAATGAATTGAGTCATTTGTAACTGGTTTTTAGAGCGTATTTGTAAGTGTTCGTTTTTTCTGATTAGATATTAGTGTGTTTATTTTTATGACTTGCCAGCCAATGCTTTAGTGTAACCAATTGGGAGGCCAGCGGTCATTTAAGAAATTTGTTCGCTGGCGATAAAGCGGAGTCTAAGGCTAGATAAGCAGCCGACATTGTTATCGCTACCGCTCTCTTTTTTCTCTTGCTCCCTCTCTCTCTCTTTCGCTCTCTTGCACATGTTGTTAGCAGTTCGATTTTGGCCCGCATGCATTTATACGGAATATATATAATCTTACAGTTCGCCGTCGAAGCTAATAACTATAACAAATAACGTGTTGTGCGCCTACCCGTCGAAATTAAACAAAATGTTTCCGCTTCTCATTTCTATGCACTAAACAACCAACCATCCATTACAATCGCGAATATTGGTGAATATTAGCTAATACAATGACTGAAACACTGGACTTCTTATCGATCTTTGATCTGATTATTAAAAGTGGTACGTGCTCGTGCCATATATATATATAGTCGCAAATACTATATACACTCAATATATCGGGCGAATAAAATCATGTTAGCATATGTTATTTAACTAAGAATCTGTATTGAAAAAGAAAAACACTCAACAGCAATAAGACTTATTCATTATTTTAATGGAACTGACAGTAAATACAGTAGATCCCAAGGAAATCATCGGTTGAGGATAATACGAATAATCGGTCAAAATTTAACCTTAGTTACGATTGTAGTATTCCTAGAAGCGTAATTTTCGACATTTAGGAGATAACTATTCATTCTTGTTTAGTTCTTAACAGAGTTCATAGATTAGATTAACACACAAAAGAGTGAATGTGCTCAAAGACGCAATTTCATTGTTAGGTGTAGAAGGGTCTTTAATCTTTACCACCTGGAAGACTGATAATATAATATAACATTACTTGTAGGGATGGTATTCACATCAGTATCTGCTAGTAGATTATCTGTACTCTGAATTTAATTATTTTTGCTTGTCAATTTCAGTTTTCAATAGAATTCGTACTTACCAAAATGGTTTGTTTGCTTAAATTTTGACACAACAATTTCGACTTTCAAAATTCAAGAACAATAGAAATATCAGAATGTAAATTAGAATGCAGCCACGCAATGCTGCACCCATATATGTGTTAGTGAATAGAAAGTGGTTTTCGCCACTGGGATTATGTCATTACCGTTCGATTTGTAGATGTGGGTACACAGTATGCTCTATAGCTTTTCCATAATGTAAAACGTATATTATTCAGTTGACCAATTATATGATGCGCACTTTCAATTATTACAGCGATGCCATGGTTTGGCATGGATATCGGCGGAACACTTACGAAATTGGTATACTTCGAGCCAAAGGATATAACGCCCGATGAGCAGGATTGCGAGGCGGGGATATTACGTAATATCCGACGATATCTAACCAAAAATTCGGCATATGGCAAGACCGGACATCGCGACACGCACTTGCAGGTGAGCCTCGATTTAATAATGTACATTTATTAAATGATATTCATATTGATGATTTACTATATAAGCTCAAACAGAAATCAAACAGAAATCTGTAACCGATTTGATTTGTTTCGCCTGGCGTCGTTTGTTTCATTTTAAATGACTATATATGTATATGTATTTGAATGAAATGAATATATATATATATATATATATATTTTTTTTTTTTTTTCAATCATTATCTTGTATTATTATCTTCTAAGTAATGACATCGGGCGTGATTTACGTTGTGCGCATCCAGCACACTCAGTGAAAGATCATATTCAGGTCGAATATGATTCGATAGTTAGATTTTGCACTACCTAATGCATTAATGTAGCGACCTGTAGATCTGAGCGAACGTAGCAGACATTCTCGTGATCGTCTATTTTATTTCCGCTTATTACATTTGTAATCTGTTAGATTCACTTTGATTTCAATCAATGATTTTTTTAAAGAATTCACCTCACTTACGTCAAACCAAATCGAAAGATCGTATTGCAATCGATAGCAATATGATTAAGTATAAAACTTTGACAGTTTATATTTATTTGAAAGACAGTTTGGATAAATGTCTTTTGACAAAGATATTAAGAATTGAATTGTTATCTGTTGTTGTTGTGCATGTTCACCTGAGAAAAGTACTCAGCCACAATCTAATCCCATAAAGAGCGCAATGACATCGGCAAGGTATCTAATTAAGATTGACGTCGAATGGGGTATCAAGCGATTGGTGCATGCCCAACAAATTGTCGAGCAGCGTCCCTACGACATGGAGTCGTGGTCACTGATGTTGCGCGAGGCACAAACGCGTCCCGTTAACGAGGTGCGCACTCTGTACGAGTCCTTGGTGAATGTGTTTCCCACGACGGCACGCTACTGGACGGTCTACATTGAGATGGAAATGCGAAGCGGTTTCTATGAGCGGGTCGAGAAACTCTTCCAGCGTTGCCTGGTCAAAATACTCAACATTGATCTGTGGAAACTGTACCTGACCTATCTGCGAGATACCAAAGCCGGCCTCAGCATGCACAAGGAGAAGATGTCTCAGGTGTATGATTTCGCCCTTAAAAGGATTGGCATGGATTTGCACTCGTTGAACATTTGGCAGGACTACATCCATTTCTTGCACGGCGTTGAGGCCATTGGCAACTATGCGGTGAATCAAAAGATTAACGACATTCGGCGTGTCTACCAAAAGGTGATTGTCACACCCATTGTCGGCATTGAGCTTCTGTGGAAGGATTATATTGCCTTCGAGCAGAACATCAATCCCCTCGATGCGGAAAAGGTCAGTTTGGAGCGTTCCAAGGATCATATGAATGCACGTCGCGTCGCCAAGGAATTGACGCATCTCACAAAGGGCCTCAATTGCAATCTGCCCGCTGTGCCGCCAACGCTGGCCAAAGCGGAGACCAAACAGATTGAGCTGTGGAAGCGTTTCATTGCCTATGAGAAATCGAATCCATTGCGCACCGAGGATACGGCACTGGTCACGCATCGCGTCATGTTCGCCATCGAGCAATGCCTGCTGGTTCTCACCCATCATCCGGCCGTGTGGCATCAGGCATCCAAATTTCTGGAGACAAGTGCCGGCGCTCTCGCCGAGAAGGGCGATCTGCTGGCGGCGAAAATCTTTGCCAATGAATGCGCCAACATATTGGAGCGCTCTATCAATGGTGTACTGTATCGGAATGCGTTGCTGCATTTCGTCTATGCGGACTTCGAGGAGGGTCGTCTCAAGTACGACAAGGTGCACAGCATCTACAACAAATTGCTCGCACAGCCGGACATTGATCCCACCCTGGTCTACGTCCAGTACATGAAGTTCATCCGTCGCACCAAGGGCATCAAGTCGGCGCGTGCCATTTTCAAGCAGGCACGCAAGGATGTACGCTCCAGCTACCACATCTTTGTAACGGCCGCTCTAATGGAGTACTACTGTTCCAAGGACAAGGAGATTGCGTTCCGCATCTTTGAGATGGGCCTCGAGCGTTACGGCGACAATCCCGATTACGTCCTATGCTATATTGATTATCTATCACATTTAAATGAGGACAACAACACACGCATGCTCTTCGAGCGCGTCCTCAGCTCCGGCTGCCTAACACCGCCAAGGAGCGTGGAGATATGGAATCGCTTCCTTGACTTTGAGTCCAACATCGGTGATCTGTCTAGCATCCTGAAAGTGCAGCGCCGACGGAATGCAGTCTTTGGACGTCTTAATGAGTACAAGGGCAAGGAGACGGCACTGCTGGTGGAACGCTACAAGTTCCTCGACATGTATCCCTGCAACGGCATCGTGCTCAAGTCCATTGGCTATGCGAGCCCTGTCGACGGCGATGCCAAGGATAAGGGGGATGCGACACAGTCGTTGGCTCGACCGGATTTCACACAGATGATACCATTCAAGCCGTGCACCCTTGCCATGTCCGGCGACCATCCGCTGGTGTACGGCATCTTTCCTCAGCCACCCGGCTTGGCCGCACTTTGCGCAGCCCTGCCGCCGCCAAACTGCTATCGCGGACCATTTGTCAGCGTAGAGCTGCTCTTCGACATCTTCATGCGTCTCAATCTGCCGGAGTCGGCACCCCAGCCGAATGGCGACAACGATCTGACGCCAAAGATTTTCGACTTTGCCCAATCAGTGCACTGGATTGTGGACACCTGCACAAATACGGCAGTGCGAGAGCGTCGTCTGCTGCCCACCGGCGATGACAGCGATGATGAACTGCAGCCAACGGCGCCACCCCCAAACGATGTCTATCGGCTGCGACAACTCAAGAGATTTGCCACATGCAAATAGTTTTGCATAAGCAAACTGCCCAAAAGCGCAAAAAATATTGTATAAATATAATAGCAACAATGGAGCATAGATCAGTTCATAAATATGCATGCCGTGCCCAATAATTAATAAATAAATGAAACCAGTTGTATAAATATTTAGATACTAAGATAGTTGCTTTTTGGAATGAACCCAAGTTTAAATATTAATAATATTCTATTATGAGAGAAATTACAATATTCAAAAGCACACATTAACCACTTCTTAGTTTGAGTTGGCTGTATAAAGGCCAAGTGCACATCACTATGCGGTACTCAAATCGTATGCGAGACGTTGACGATAAGTTTACATAGAGCATTCATTGACTTTTGACTTCCGGGTGTTGCCTTTTCCCGAACACGCTTTTTATTTTAAATGGTTAATGGCATATTTGCCTCGCCAATTACTTTTGCACTTTGGGAACTAGAACTTGTCTATAAACTTTGAGTATGCAATTTATTGTTGTGTAATAAAATAATGTAAGTCTATTTGGCAAGTGCATTTTTAAGCAAACCAGTAAAGTCTAGTAAAACCTCGGGCGAAGTTCTATTTACATGTTAATGATGTTTAAATTGTTACCAAGTCTGTGAAGTCCGACTTACTATTTACATAAATGTGCTAATAGCTAACAGCTGTGCTAAATTTGTTGTAAATAATCACAACTATATTCAGCCGTTAAATCAAAATGAATGCGTCTTTTTTTGTTTTGCAGATGGATAATGTTGAGATCAGAAAGCGAAGAGGATCTCTACATTTTATACGCTTCCAGACAACAGACATGGGCAACTTTCTATCGCTGGCCAAGCAGAAGGGAATGGCGGAGCTGGTGACCACTGTGTGTGCCACCGGCGGTGGTGCGTTCAAATTCGAGAAGGATTTCCGTGATCAGGTGAATATGAAGCTGGCCAAGTTCGATGAGCTGGACACGCTCATCAAGGGCATACTCTTTGCCGATATGCACAATTTTACGGAATGCTACTACTATGAGAATGCGCGAGAGATTATGTAAGTCAGTAAGGATATTGCTCTCTGAACTATGTTGAATTAAATTTCCCCTTTTTTGTAACTTGCAGGAAGAGCGAGAAGCGTGCCTTTAACTTTTCGCAGCCGTTTCCCTTTATACTGGTGAATGTTGGTTCAGGTGTATCCATTCTGGCTGTATACGGACCGGACAACTATAAACGCATTTCGGGCACCAGGTAATATCGATCTGTACATAACTGTTTTATGTGACCACGTAGAGCTCATGTTTGCTTATAGCTTGGGCGGTGGGACATTCCTGGGTTTGTGTTGCCTTCTCACCGGCTGCACAACGTTCGAGGAGGCCATTCAATTGGCCACCAAGGGTGACAATCGCAAAGTGGACAAACTGGTCAAGGACATCTATGGTGGTGACTACAATCGGTTCAGCTTGCCCGGTGACTTAGTGGCGTCCAGGTAGAAACAACTCTCACTTATATCATACATTTAGTTATATGTTTTTTGCATTTTGTTTTAAGCTTCGGTCAGATGCATATAAACGACAAACGCCATTCGGTGTCCAGAGAGGATCTGGCCAATGCCACGCTTGTCACAATCACCAACAATATTGGCTCAATAGCGCGAATGTGCGCATTGAATGAAAAGATCGATAGGGTAAGAAGTTATGAATTTAATTTAATTGTAATCGAACTTAATCGTTTATATTTCATGTTTAGGTCGTCTTTGTGGGCAACTTTCTGCGAGTGAATCCCATTTCGATGAAATTGCTTGCATACGCCATGGAGTTCTGGTCAAATGGCACTATGAAGGGTTTGTTCCTGGAGCATGAAGGTTACTTTGGCGCCTTGGGCTGCCTGCTTCAGTTCAATGGCGAACTGGCTGCCGCTCTCAACGAGGGCATCGATCATCCACAACAGCCAGACACAGATACACTCACTCACTCCCAAATACACTCTGCAGCGGAGCCGTCCACAGACGAATGTCCAGCCGAAGCGGACAAGCCAAATGATAACACAAATCCTACAACCAGATAGTCGTTTACATCATACGCTTCAGTAAATCAACTGTATCATATACGTAATGCATCGGGAACCGGACGAAGCCAAAATATGGAATGATAATAGATGTATTCGGGTGCATTTCCGCGATAATTTGCATTACATTTTTTTCTTGGATTAAGTTTACACATGTAGAGGATGCACAAATTGTAAATGTATGGAATTAAACAACAAAAAAAAAACATTTAAAAAAAGAAGAAAAATGGATTAAGTGCCTGTTAAAACGCAACAAAATTAAGGCTTCAATGTATGCTAAATAATTGTTACTTAATTGCAACACACAACTTGATGCCAAATGTCAGCACGTTACAGTTGTTATTATTGGATTCCTATTCAATTTTGTTGTTTTCCAATAATGTAAGCACATGTATAGATATAAAAAAGTATTACTAATACTTTAATTGGCCGTTCGACTGTGCGATTGTAATTTGTACTCTCTTAAACTATATAAATTACATATGAAATAGTTCAGATGTTCAGAGAATATATATCCTACTTTCCGTAGCTATTCGGTTAGAATTCAAATATTGCACACACACAATACACATAAATAACTGCATGAAATACAAATAGTTAAAATACATATGCGCATTATAATATATGCACTTTTACATCTATAAGTTTTTACCTTTTGGGACAAATGTATGTTTTCGGTGGCACTCCTACGGCTTCTTTGTTTGTTTAGCATAAGTTTTGTGGTCTATTATTGTAAGATTTTACCTTGTCGACTATTTCAATAAGATGGTCAATTCAATTTGTACATCGAAACTATTTTGATTGGATTTAAAACAGCCGCATGTCAAATGCAAATAAATCTATTATCTTAATCAGCTGGGTATAAGAACAGATATTTAATTGCTGGTCATAAAGTAATTTATAAATAAAGCTCAATATTTGAATGAAGAAGTTTAATGCATATGTAAAATCAAATGCTAACAAATTGAATTAACAACTCATTTAATGATCAATATTGGCAATCTAATTATCAACATCCTTAATCTTTGTTGCATGCACGCAAATTATTCATTACAAATTTGTTTTATCTTTGGAGTTCATAGAAATTGCTGTAATCCCTTTGGACGCTGTAGCTGGTTGTGAAGTCGAACACACGTAAATTGTGATCAGTTGCGATAAACATATACTGACTGTCGCAGGCAAGGCTATAAACGGGCGAGCCCCTGTAGGATTGACGTGTGCGTCCCGGAAAATACAATTGTATGTATTTCCTGGGCACGCGAATGTCGTACAGATTAACTCGATTGTGATGCTTTGTGCCGCACAGCACTCCGTAGAGGCCATCGTACTCCAGACAGTAGATAGACGAGTCGAAAGGATCCTCCCAAATTGAGACATCACGATCCGTGCGCCGATCGAACATGCGGAATGTGGTATCGAAGTTGGCAGTGAATAGAACATGATCATCTTTTATTTTGAGGTCGTATATGGAAATGCTGTTCGAGTTAAAAACCAACTCCTCCCCACTGTTCCAAAGAGAATCCAGAATAGAATAACAAGCTTAAGCAATCTTGCACAGTTGCCTTACCTCTCCACATGAATGGCACGCAATGCTCTGCGTCCTTTGTCCGTATATAGACCGCCGTAGAGCCACTGGGAATCGGCGCTGAGTTTCGTTGATTTGAACGAATGCTGTAGCTGCATGAACAGATCAAAGTGTGTCAGTCCAAACTCCTTAGAGCGTTTCCATAGCTTGCAGCAAGTGTCTGTGCTGGTCACAAAGACGTCGTCCACAAAGTCAACGCAATACAGATATTCCCTGGCACGATGCATGGGCTGCTCCGTGATGCCATCCGCATCGCTCACAAAGCATGTGCCACAGACTCGACCCGCGAAAATGGTGTCGTGCTTCTTGACGAAATCTGAGATATCGGATATGGTGGGTGTGCTGATCTCCTCGTCGTAGCGACGCTGCAGTGCCTCGGCACCAGCCCGAAGATATTTACGCAAATAGTTCGCATGCGTTATGTACAAAGCGTCAGAGTCCAGGCACAACTTGGAGGCGAACATCTGGGCATGGTGGTAATAATGTCGCTCCACATATGCACCCTTAAGCCAATTACGCGCCACTTGCAAGCGCCGAAAGTAGGTCAGCTGTGTTGGATTTCTAAAAATAAACCCAATTGTTAAATATACATATATAAATATATACAATTGTTTACTTACCTATTCTCGACACATGGTCTATTCCTATGTCCACAAAGAAGCAGATCCTTTGTCATGGCATAGAAGATGTTTTGATCGATAACAGTGCCAATATAGTTGTTAGCCTGGCACAAGATGACAAGCTCAGATTCCGACAAATATTTAAAAATTCGCAAAAGGCAGTCAATGTTTAGGTCGGTAAGCTTCATTTTGATCGTTTAAATCGTTATCACCAGGATTAACAGATGCTGTTAGAAAGTGCCTAAATTTTAATGCACATGGAGTGGGTGTACAGATGGTGGTTTTCCCTTCTACGAACATTCTTTAAACAGAAATAGCCTAAATAATTCGTAAATACGTTTTGATAGAAATTCACGTTTTTCATAAAAGAAAAACTCAATTGCTTCTTCTTCCTTCGGCAGAATAGTAAGTCAACGAAATCGAATAGCGAAATTTTATATTCGATGATAGTTTAATTAAAATTTTAATAAATAAACCGATCTAAAAACTTAAAATGACTAAATAAATAATATCAATTAAAGGGCATTGTTAAATTCCCTCGGTGCAAATACAATCGATTCGATATATATCAGTGTGATCGCACAATCGATAGTCGTATTATAATTGATAGGCACTCCTATCGATTGTTCAGCAAGTGCAAAAGGCGAACGAAAAAAACAAAAAGCGCATTAAACACGGAATGACAAACAACTCAAACGGTCGACTCAGCGAATACTTCGCCAACGACCCGCCCAGTTTTTTTGATGAGCTGACAACTAATAAATCAAAGCCCAAGGACACGCAGCCAACAAGCGGAGCTGAAAAGCCCAGCAGCAATATGTTGGCCAGCACATTTACGGGCAGTTTTCAAGCGCCCGAATTCATAGAAACTGCTGAAGCAGAAGAGCCAATAAAAGTCACCGATGATGTGAGAAATTTGTGGCAGCTGCCCACTCCCAACGAGCCGGGCAAGCAGTCAACACACTTAATTATGCCAGGCCTGCACATAGCCAACGATTTGGTAAATATATATATATATATATATATATATACGAATATATCATGGCTATAGCTAGTAATCTGATATCTTAGCCTGATCCGATAGCGGTTGCTGTGCGTCAACACCTGGAGGAAGCGGAATTGCAGCAGCGGAAAATCCTTGGCGTCGAGGATGTAACGCAGGATGAGCGTGGCATACGGACGCTAATCAATGCCGGCTGCTTTCGGGCCGCTGTCAATCTCACGGGCAGACTGCTGACCATCTATGGCCAGGGGTATGGACGAGGTGGTCAGCCGGCCAAGCATTCTCCGCATTCCCTGCAGTTGTGGTTTACACGGCTCGCCCTGCTGGCCAAGCTGGGCGAATATGAGCTACTGCAGGCGGAAGCTGAACCCTTCGGCCAGCTGAATGGACCCGATGTATTCTACGAATTTTACCCGGAGATGTACAAAGGGAAACAGGGCTCCATTGCGTGCTTCTCGTTTCGTCTGCTGTTGGCCGAGCTACCCATATATCTGGGCAAACCGCATCTGGCGCTGGATCGCCTCTCCGAACTCCATGTGATCAGCAACGATATCAAAGCGCATTACGAAACGCTAAAGAATGAGACAGCAGCTGAATTTTGGCAGCGACGGGCTGAGCGTGTTTTACAATCCATCATCAACTGTGCTCTGATGGTAAGTCTAATCAGAAAGGAAATAAATTATATATATTGTACAATTCATAACTAATCTTGCAGATGAAGAAATTCAGCATGATTGATGATATAATGGGTGGAATGCTACTCACGCGTACTTCCCTCAGCAAGGAGGAGCGACGATCTTTGTATTCCGCTTGGGGTCGCATTTATCTGCAAATTGGCGATATTTTTGGAGCGGAACAAAAAATTGCAGTCTCGCGTCGTTTGCGTGAAATGTGAGTAGTTTTTGCAGATTGATTGTTCATTATTAAATAAGCTATTTTTACAGAAATACGACGGCTGATTTGCGGGATCTGGTGGACAAGGGCCTGATTGCGGTGGCCAAAAATGATTTTCCAGAGGCTTATCTTATATTCCAGAAGGCGTTGCATTTGGACTCGGGCAATACGATGATACTGAATAATATGGGCGTTTGTCTGCTATATGCCGGCAAACTGAAGGATGCCATCAATTTGTATGAGCGCGCCATTAATATGAATCCGCAGAAATCATTGAACGAAAGTTTGTTAGTAAATTTATCAACTTTGTATGAGTTGGAATCGAATAATTCCAAGGCGAAAAAGTTGGATTTGTTGCGTTTGATAAACAGATTTAAGCCGGATCTCAATATAAGTGTAGAAATTTGCCTTAAGCTGCAGGCAACAAATTAGTGAAGAAATATATATGTGTAATTATTGTTGGTAAACATTCCATAACCTCCATCCATTGAGATTTGAATAAAATTCAAAATCAAAAGTTTGTATTTATTAATGTGTACCAGTTTTTGGTACATTTGTACCACAAGTGGCTTGCGTGCTGGTTAGTTATCGATTGATGCTATGGGCGCATATCGACCAATTAGGGATTTAGAACATTTGTAACTTTTAACACTTGTTAATTTTAATTAATATAAAACTAAATGACACACATAATTATTTTTAATATATATTTTTATTGGTTGCTAATCTAGTATTCGATATTCGATTACAAAAGAGTTATCGATATTATTTTTACACCATTTATGACAGCAAATGCCGGATCTGGTCACACTTAGCTGGTGAAGTACTTCTGGAAGAAGTTTTTCAGGAATTTATTTGTAAAACATAAATAAATCGTATCAATAATTACGTACATACGTTATAAATGTTTGAAAACACGTTGTGCGTGTTTTGTTTAATAGGATAGTTGAAAATAGGTGAGTTTAGTGGCATTTAAACGCATTCCAAATATGACCATACGAAACAGAAGCAGCAGCAAGGCGTAGTTTATATTGATGTGGTCGAAAAGAAAGTGTAGAGAAATTTTCGGTGCAGTTCACAATGTTGTTTATAAAAAAGCATATTAACGGCAAATGCCACAATTGCAATGCACCGCGCGCCAACAATCTAACGCTGCACCAACCAAGACGTCAAATAAATGATAATTTGTATGATAATTATTATTTTAGCTGCAATTAGTGTCTATGTGTTTTGGATGGAAAAAGCGCGCCATTATTTCTGTGACTGACATGACGTAGACACGCAACCAGAGAGAAGCTCGTCAATGTTAGTGTTTTTTTTCTTTTCTTTTGAAGTCATTGCATTTGTTTATGGCAAGTAATGCAATCGTCATGTGCTAGTGTATGTGTGTGTGTGTGTGCATTGCAGCAATAAAGTTGACTGCAAATAATTTTTGTATATTTTTATTTGTACGGTGCGCATACGCTAGGTACACGCTCGTCAAAACATATACACAAGCAGGCAGGCAGAAAATCTCTATTCTTTTGCAATTTGTTTTGATTTCTCATTCGTTCGGGTGCTGCTCGTTGCGGCTCTCTCGCGTGCTCTCTCCCGCTCGCACTCTCTTTTTGCTTATAAAACACATGCGCGCTCATCAGCAAAGTTCCAGACTTGTGGGAGTTATAAAGGGAATGGGTGGGGAGGGGGTGCGGGTGCATTGCTCTGTAATAATAATGGCATACTTATATATATATGCGTATAAGAACGTAAGCAGTTATGCGTCACATTAATGACGATCCTTCCATGTCGGCCACTTGCGCGTACTCTCCGGCTTGCGTTGCTAGCTCGCTGAGTGTTTCTTGCCGACTACTTGCCGTTAAGCTGGAACCGAAGTATTTCAATGCTTGCTGCCGCCGCCGCTCTCTCTCTCTCTCTCATACGCGCGCTCTCTTTCTTTTCCGCTCGCGCGCTCCCTTTCTCTCTTGACAAACGTAAACAACAAGAACTGTTATTAATGGCAAAGTGTGTGTGTGTTTTTGTTTTTGTGTTCGTGTTTTTGCAGAGAGCTCCTCAAATGGCGGCCAACAATAATAATAGTAATATGCACAATTTGGGAGCACTGCAGGTGCCGAGTTCGGTGATCTCCTCCACCGGCACCGTAGTGAATCCCATGATGCAGGCGACCACTAGCGCCCAAAGTGCCTGGGATCAGCTAACGGCGAGTGCATCCAACAATATGACGCCATCGCCAACAACGGCAACAGCAGCTGCAACAGCAGCAGCGGCAGCTGCAGCAACAACAGCAATGACAACAGCAACAACAACAACAGGTACAGGAACAGCAGCTGGTAGCACGATGGGACCAGATACTGGATCTGGACATATGATGAGTGCAGGTAGCTCACCGGTGTCCAGCTGCTCATCGCCATCGACGCCGACAAAATCAAATCATGCCGCGCCAACGCTGGAGGCAATGGCGCATACGCCGCAAGGTCCACCAACGCTGGGACCCGGCGGCTATGGGGAGGAGCTCACCGCCGAGCTAGTGAATCAGGGGTGGCGCAAGTTCTGGTCGAAGCGTGAGAATCGGCCGTACTACTGGAACAAGGTAACCGGCGAATCGCTGTGGGAAATGCCTGGGGCGCGTCCCTTCGATCCGCTCACGGATCCGCTGGGCATATGCCATGCTGGTGGCGGTGGCGTTGGTGGGCCAACGCCCATGACGCCGCACCAGCAACAACAGCATCATCATTTAAAGCGCCGGCCCTCGGATGACATGCACATTCATCCGCACCCGCATCATCAGCAGCTGCAACAACCTCACATGGGTCAACAGCATGGCGGTGGTCCACCAATGAAAAAATTTGTGCTTGCCGGCCCCTGGGATCTGGAGGTGTGCACTAATGCGGTGATTGTTGAGCGGCCACCAACGTTACTGCCACAGCCGCATCCGGAGATTGAAGCATTGCGCGCCGCCTCCTGCATGAAGCTGATCAAGACCTATGAGGATTTGTGCATGCGCCGGGAGAACATTAAAGCGCCGCGTGACTCCTTCAATCGCTGGCTGATGGAGCGCAAGGTCATCGACACCGGCTGCGATCCATTGCTGCCCAGCAGCTGCCTGCCCGAAATCTCCAGTTCCATGTATCGTGAGATCATGAACGATATACCCATTAAGATCATCAAACCCAAATTCACGGGCGATGCACGCAAACAGCTCTCCCGTTACGCGGAGGCGGCCAAACAGATCATTGAGTCACGTTCGGCACCGGCTGAGTCCAAGAAGGTGGTCAAATGGAATGTGGAAGATACATTTCAATGGTTGCGCCGAACGGTGGGCGCCAGCTACGAGGACTTCCAGGATCGTTTGGCGCATCTGAAGCGCCAATGCGAACCGCATTTGGTGGAGACCGTGAAGAGTTCGGTGGAAACGTTATGCGTGAAGATCTATCATCTGTCGGCGGAGCATGCGCGAAAGATACGTGATCGCCATTTGCAGCTGCTTAAGGATCATGGGATACCGGAGCCAACGCCGCCACCGCCACCGCCGCACCTGAAGAAGGTCTGGTGCTATCCAATCCAGTTTGCGGTGCCCTCACCCAGAATGCCGGCCATCGAATATCTGCAGGATCGCGATCACATGATCATCAAATACACGCCCGCGTCGATCAATCAGCCAGATGCTCAGTACATCAACCTCACCTATCTGCAGAAACTGGAGCAGCTCTATCGCCACAATTGTTTCGATGACAAGAAATTTGATCTGTTCATCGGGCGCGTCTGGTGTCTGCTCAAGCGATATCAGACATTTTTGGGCAATGCTCTCAACTCGTCGCAGGAGGCGGAGCTTACCCAGGCATCGCTGCCAGTGCCCGCTTTCGAGTGCCTTCATCGGCATTTTGGTGTCAGCTTTGAATGCTTTGCGTCGCCATTCAATTCCTATTTTCGACAATATTGCTCAGCCTTTGCGGACACGGATGCCTACTTTGGTTCCAGAGGGTGAGTTAAGATTATATGAAGTTAACACTGAAATTATCAATATATCGATTTTGTTATTAACTAGCAAATGTGACCCATAACAAATGTGTATTTGTAATTTCTGACTTCTACTTAAACGTATGCTAACAGTTATTTTCTGCTATGCAGGCCATTTCTGGACTTTAAGCCAGTTTCCGGTTCCTTTCAAGTGAATCCACCGCAATGCGAGGAGCTAATGGATGCCTGTTTAATACACATTGATAAACTGCTCACGGATTCCATGGAGCCGCTCAGGTAAATCACTAGCAGAAATGAAATGAATCGTAATATGTGCTAATTTATTGTACATTTCTTGCATAGCTTCATTGTATTTCTGCCAGAGTGGAAGAGCATATCCAAGCTGGATGAGAGCATGTACAAGCGTCGCTCCATGGTGGTACTGGGCATGGCGCACGAATACAGACATGGATATCAGCATATGCTACAGAAGTGAGTAATTCAATCAAATAATCAACTCCAAAGCAATTTAAACTTATCAATTTATATGTACTTTAACAGATCCGAGGTGCTTATCAAGTGCATGCAAGGCACTCAAGTCGTTTGGCTGCAGAATAGCGCCGGCTTTGCACGCTGGGGACCCAACGAGATTCGTGTGGAGGCACTGCGTGAGGCGTTCCGGCCGCAACGTGATCGTGAGCGTGAACGTGCCACTGTTGCTGCCGCATCTGCCGCTGGCGGCAGCAACTCCAATCAGCAGCAATCGCCGCCATCGTCAACAGTGGCATCGACGGCCTCGTCAGCTGTTGCCACATCAGCCACAACAGCCACGCCTTCCATAGCAAATAGTATCAATAGTAGCAGCAACATCGGCAGCGGCAGTAGTAGCAGCACATCAGCCGCCGTAACCGTAGCCATTACATCGAACAGCATCGGCAGTCCGGCGTCATCAACGTCTTCCGTGCTGACACCTCTGTCGCCGCACACGCCCACTGGGACACCATCGCAATTCCCGTTGACCATCAGCAATACGAGCAGCAGCAGCAATTTGGTCGCCGCCTCACCAACGATGAGCGTTCAGAGCGATTGCTCATCACCCTCTTCATCCACAATGTCCCTGTCGCCAGCACCAGCCTCCGGCGGCTATCCGGATGGTGGAACGACGGCAACAGCGGCTGCTGTTAGCATAACGGCCACAGCAGCGAGCACATCTGCTGCATCGGCGTTTGGACCAACAACTAGCATTAACAGCACAGCCGTCATCAATTCGGCTGTTTAGAATGAATTTGGGGCGGGAGTTTTGTATACCACTTGTCTTATTTCTTTAAGCTGACAGCAGTGCACCATGGGGCTAAGTACCATTATTTTGTTTCCTTCATTTAGCGTTTATATGTTAGGCATAGTTTTGAAATATCTCGAGGGTATTCGCTGATTGCTAAGAGTACAGCTGTAATTCTAAAGTAGTTTTTAAAATAGTTGTTTTCTTATTGTGCTAAACTGCCAAGTTTCTAAATTAGTTTTTAGAACACGTATTCGCTCAGTTTTCAGTCGGTCTTCAACTCAATTTCTTTTCGATACTTGAGTCAAGTCGCTCTGTCCTCTCTGTGAATTCCCTCGACAATTTGAACTAATTTTTACAAGTTTAAAATTTAAATAATTGTACATATGTTTTTTATCAATTATAAATAGCTGATACTTAACTACGGCCTGGCTGTTGTTTATCTTTGCAATTTACCCTATATATAAAGGCCAAGTTACCCACAAGAAAAATAAAAAAGAAAACACAGATTAAGGTTTAGATATGCATACAAAGTATGGGTAGAATGGGTTCCACGTATCCTTGATTAGGGTAACATATAAAAACTAACAAATTGTTTTCAAATTCTTTAAACATTATATAGCAAACCCATATATATATACAAATACAAAATGCACTGAGGATCAAACAATGTTTTTGATTTGTCATTCCGTGCTGCACCTTAACTTTATATACAATATATATGAGTAAGCCCCAAAACAATCTTTTGTGAGACTATAAACTTATAATATAGGGTTATAACTTAAAGCGAAACTAATTTATCGTATGTACAAATCGATAAAAACATTTAACTTAAGTAGTCGAAAAAAAAATTATTAACGGATCGCGCAGAGAACCAAATTTGTAATAAAAGAAAAGAAAAAAAAAACAAAAAGAAAAACATAAGCAACAACTACGCACCGCACAATGAACCTAATATACCTTTTATGGGATTTGTCACAATCGATTCTATTGGAATGCTTAAACTCAAATCGCTATCCAGTTGTGGATTGTGTTCGGTTGGGCTGCCAATGGAATTCATCGTGAAGAGACCTAATCAATTTTAATGGGAATTTAGCCAATTTAATAGAAACGTAGCAAACAAATTACTGGCAACTTTAGATAAAAAATAAATTATATATATAAGTTCAAAACAATATCATCTAAGCTGAACTGTTACAACACCCGGCCACCCCATCACCCATTTCCGATACGATTCGTTACCTTTTTTTTAAAAAGCCCATTCACATAAAACCACAAAAAAGAAAACCGGCGCTTTTGTCGCATAGATTAACAAATCGCATAATTAAAGTTTCTTTCAATTAATCAAAACTGTTTTATTTTATATATATATATATTTTTTATTTATATATATATATATTCGTAACGTAAAGTGTGTGTTATCTTTTGGTAGCAACTATGGATATGGATTAGACGTTGACTATTTAACCTAAATGCTAAACTGAAATTGCAAACCGCTCAAATGTCCATAAGTTAATTACATATACAGTTTATACATAGCCAGATTATATAAGCTATATAGAAGCCTATGCCAGTTATTACATGATCTCTAAACTAGAATCGCTATTCTTGGTCACCACTTCGGTTTCTGAGGAGCCCGATCCGGAGCCGGCATCGTCGGCCTTCTCATTATCATCCGACTGACTATTGTTGCTATGGCGATGATGATGCGGTGACCCGGCCAGCTGCCATGCAGGTATCGAGGGCACCGTAATGGGCTGGACAGGTCCGGCAAATTGCTTGCGATTTAGTAGTAAACCCTTAATGGCATCCAAATCACAACGAAAGTTATTAAATTCGCGATTCATTTGTTGGATCTGCTCCTTCTGTTGCAGAGTTATCAAGTCCTTAACCAATGTTATCTCCTTATTAAGCTCATCTGTGCGTTCCTCCACTTTCTTGTCAATGTCCTCCAAAACCTGCTCAACTGGTCTCCTCTTCGGCTTGCCAAACAAAAATGGAGCAATGTACTTCTGTGTGCATGGGAGAAAGCTAAAGTGAGCACAAAAGGAATATAATATGATTCATTATTAAGAACGAACCCGCCAAAATAGATAGATGGCATAGACGACACCGCTGATCAATGCAGATGTGTGCAGCAGTTCCCGCAGTCTGCCAAAGACCGTTTGTTGTGGCTGCACCGCCAGCTTTGAGCCAATGTTGATAACGGTATTTGGATTGTTTGGATCTTGGCTAAAGACACCGGCCCGCTCGCATGCCAGCTGTATCTCATGAGCTGTTAGACCTTTGGACCGGAGAAACTGCTGCTTCTGGATGAGTGTTGTGTGTCGAACTTTGGTATTTTGTAGAAAAGTTACAGCGGTGGTTATCTATCAAATTAAGATTATAGATTAGACGAAGTAGAACGCATTCGACTCACTCAATTAATTTACCAGTGACTCGCGCGGCTCAAGTGGCTCGCCATCGTTCGTGCTAGGATTGTAATCCTGCAGCGTTGTGCTCGTTGTGGCCAGTATGGTTGTGTCACCGGTGTCCGTGTTGCTGTCGGACATTTTAATGTTAACGCTTACTTCAATTTTGTTATTTGAGCAGAAAACCCAAGTGCAAGTGCAGCATGGGGACTATGGGGTAGGAATGACTGATTACAACAACGCAAATCTGAATATATCGAGTTGATTGACGATATGTTTATGCTTGGACTATCGATATAGTCTTTAATCAGTCAGTAAAAAATCGGTAAGTAAATGTCAATTCTTTGCGTATGCTGGAATGTTTTTGGTATGTTACCGGTTCATGTACCAGTAACAAAGTGTCGCCGCAATCGATACTTGAAGCAAATTGGGGTGAATGATGTGAATACGCAGAGTTCTTTCGTACTAGTTTATTTCATAAAAATGCATGGTTTATACAAAATTCTTACACGATAATCTTTGCTTAGGGCTAGTTATTCTATTTACTATTTCCTAATATTTTCTTATTTACGACGCTGCGTATGATAACATCTGCTTACTTCAGGCCCCCCGACAGATAGTGCGACAACCCATGGGTTGGGTGCATATTTGTTTCTTGAGTCTGTGCGCTATTTGCAGCGTAAGATATTTCTGCTCTTGAAGAAATCGTACAAAATCTTTTTGAATTATGATTTTTTTTTAAGTTATCATTTTACATTCATTAATCTATGAGTATTTTCCAATTTTTTTAAGTTAATTGCATTGTTTTATATATGTGTATTATCAAACATTTATAAAATCGATATATCGATTGTAATTCAGTGAGATGGTGTAATTCTTACTTCAGTCAGGTGGCAGCACTCTACTATTACAGGTGGCAACTGTCGGGCAGCAGCTCATTATTTTAGTTATAGTTTTTACGTGAACTTTGTTAATTTTTAATGCAATCTGCATAGCTTGCTTAAAACATACTTTGTTCTTATTAAATCCAGTGCTAAAATAAATTATTACTTGAGTTAAGTGACTTATTTTTGGTACTGTTTAGTGCATTCACTGCATTGGAATGCAGCTGTCTGTGTGCGCCTAGTTGGCCCAGCTGGCAACTCTACTTGCACTAACTGAAATCGTCTGCAAGACATTTTTTTTTGGTGTTCCACGGAAAAAGTGTTAAAAACAGCGTATTTAATTGTGGAGTAAAGTTGTGCCCAAAAGTAGTCACACGATAATGTCGTGTGCAACAAACTTAGCAACGGCAAAAGATTCGACAAATGCCGCCAGTGCCAGTGGCTCATCGTCGGCCACCTCAGTGGGTGTGGTAGTCAGCGGAGGTAACACTGTGACTGCTGGTGGTGGAAACGGGGGCAACGGCAACAGCGGGGGTGGGGCAAACGCTGCTGCTAACTCGGCTGCGGCAGTCGCCCGACGCTTCTCCATGGAAGGAGTTGGTGCGCGTGTAATTCGTGGTCCGGACTGGAAGTGGAACAAGCAGGTTGGTAACTATGCCCCATATGCGTACTCCACTCTAAAGATGTTGCCCATTAATTGGCAAATTCAATTTATTCAAATGCGGCCTTGACTTTGAATAACAAGCATGGCGAAGTCTATAAAGAATTTTTCTTCAAGTTGCAATTCATTGCTCATTTTACAGAGAATTTGAGTATCTGTATAATAGTTTCATATGTGAATGGACATTTTTGTAGAGCATAGAAAAAAATATGTATTTAACTTTTGTACAAATATACATTTGTACATGCTGTCAAATCTATGAGTCTGTTGAGATAATTGTTCTAATTTGTTGGTAAAAATACATATATATATATAGTGTAAATGCCCTTAACTCAGATGAATCATAGCAAACCGTTGAGAAGTTGGAGTTTTTTCTACAGCTAAAAAACTATTGATTGCCTCCAAGTGAAACCTATTAAAATTAGCATATAAATTTATTATATTATATATAATAAAGGTTTTTGGAAAACTCATCTTATTTTAACGATTTTCTTTCGGCGATCAAGCAGCAGACCTTAAATGAAGTAAAAGAAATCAATAAATAGATTTTTCTTTTCAATTTGATTAATTTTTCATACAATTTAAATTTTGGAATATAACTTTAAGCATATTAAAGTTGAAGGCAACTGTTTTTTAAATTATTAATTTGGCACAAGTTGAAAAGTTGATAAGGTCTAAGTTAGGGTATTCAAAGTGCGGTGCCAAGCATATAATGTATGTGGGCTTTGTTATGCGTTGTTGTTGCTGATGTTTTATTTTTTATTAACACTGACCTGAACGAGGTGGCTGCGGGGTCGATCTGGAGATCGCCGTGTAGATTGATAGATAGACAACGTACCGATTGCACCCTTAACAGTTTACAGTTAGTCGATTGCGCACAACGGAATGCAAAGGAGCCCCATTTGGAGGCAGATTCAACTGCAAATGCGCTTCAATTATAATTTTCGCGTTATGATTAGTGTGCGTTGTGATCTGTGTGTGGCGTGAACTAAACCAAACAATCACGAATTATTAATTAATCATTTCAATTCACTTTGCAGGATGGCGGTGAGGGACACGTGGGCACCGTGCGCAACTTTGAATCCGCCGAGGAGGTGGTCGTTGTCTGGGACAATGGCACCGCTGCCAATTATCGCTGTGCCGGCGCCTATGATCTGCGCATTCTGGACAGTGCACCCACTGGCGTCAAGCATGAGGGCACCATGTGCGACACATGCCGCCAGCAGCCGATCTTTGGCATACGCTGGAAGTGTGCCGAGTGCATCAATTACGACCTGTGCTCCATTTGCTATCATGGGGACAAGCATCACTTGCGTCATCGCTTCTACAGGATTAGCACGCCCGGCGGTGAACGTGCCATGGTCGAGCCGCGTCGCAAGTCCAAGAAGGTACTTGCCCGCGGCATATTTCCGGGTGCACGCGTTGTGCGCGGCGTCGACTGGCAGTGGGAGGATCAGGATGGCGGCGTCGGACGTCGCGGCAAGGTCAATGAGATTCAGGACTGGTCATCGGCATCGCCGCGCTCAGCGGCCTACGTTATCTGGGACAATGGTTCGAAGAACTTGTATCGCGTCGGCTTCGAGGGCATGGCCGATCTGAAGGTGGTGAACGATGCCAAGGGCAGCAATGTGTATCGCGACCATTTGCCGCTGCTGGGCGAGAATGGGCCGGGCAAGGGGCCGCATGGCTTTCAAATTGGCGACAAGGTCACCGTCGATCTGGATCTGGAGATTGTCCAATCGCTGCAGCATGGCCATGGTGGCTGGACAGACGGCATGTTCGAGTGTCTCAGCAATGCTGGCATGGTCGTTGGCATAGATGAGGATCATGATATTGTTGTTGCCTACAATTCGGGTAATCGCTGGACCTTTAATCCAGCCGTACTCACCAAGGTGTCGTCGCCGACGACAGCACCGCCCGATTTCCAAGTGGGCGACATTGTCAAGATCTGTTCGGATGTGGAGAGCATCAAAATGTTGCAGCGTGGTCACGGCGAATGGGCAGATGCCATGCAGCTGACACTGGGCAAAATTGGACGCGTTCAGCAGGTGTATCATGACAACGATCTGAAGGTCGAGGTGGGCAACACCTCGTGGACCTACAATCCGCTTGCCGTGTGCAAGGTGGTCTCCAATAGCGGTGCACCCGCTGGCGTTGCCGTCGCAGCCGATGGAAACTGTGCGCCCGTCATACCCAGCGGCGAGCGTCTCTCGGCCATCCTCAAGAAACTGTTCGAACCCAATGTGTCGGGTGATGCAACCGAGGAGTTTGTCAAGGCCGCTGCCAATGGATTTGCGGTGAGTTAATCGATTGCCTCATAAATAGGTATTTGGTTGGATTAGAACACTCTATTAAATCTTGAGTACCTACTTCACTTACTAATCCTACTTTGGTTTGCAGGCCCGTTGCGAGGAGTATTTGGCTGGCGCCGCACAGCCCTCGACATCAAGTGCGGCGGCTGCTGCAGCTGCAGTCAGTCCCAGCGGTGTTCCCGTGCCGGAGGTGAATGTGAATGGTGTCTTTGCTGGTCATACGGCACTGCAGGCGGCCAGCCAGAATGGTCACATTGAGGTCATTCAAGTGCTCTTGCGTCATTCCGTCGATGTGGAGATCGAGGACAAGGATGGCGATCGTGCTGTGCATCATGCAGCCTTTGGCGATGAGGCCGCTGTCATTGAGATACTGGCCAAGGCTGGTGCGGATTTGAATGCGCGCAACAAACGTCGCCAGACATCGCTGCACATTGCCGTCAACAAGGGTCATCTGAATGTGGTCAAAACGCTGCTCACCCTGGGCTGCCATCCCAGTCTGCAGGACTCCGAGGGCGACACGCCGTTACACGATGCCATATCTAAAGTATAATTAATGCTTGTATATATAAATCGAGTATGTGTAATATATAATTTACAATTGCAGGAACACGATGAGATGTTGTCGCTGCTGCTGGACTTTGGAGCCGACATAACACTGAATAACAACAATGGCTTCAATGCACTGCATCATGCCGCACTGAAGGGCAATCCGAGCGCCATGAAGATACTGTTAACGAAAACAAATCGACCCTGGATTGTCGAGGAGAAAAAGGACGATGGTTATACCGCTTTGCATTTGGCGGCACTCAACAATCATGTGGAAATTGCCGAATTGCTCGTCCACATGGGCAAGGCCAATATGGACAGACAGAATGTGAATCTGCAGACGGCGCTGCATTTGGCTGTGGAGCGTCAGCATGTGCAGATTGTTAATCTGCTTGTGCAGGACGGTGCCGATTTGAATATAGCCGATAAGGATGGCGATACGCCGCTGCATGAGGCACTGCGTCATCATACGCTGTCGCAGCTCAAGCAACTGCAGGATGTCGAGGGTTTTGGCAAACTACTGATGGGTCTGCGCAATGCCAACAACAAGAAGGCATCCGCATCGATTGCCTGCTTTCTGGCAGCAAATGGCGCCGACTTAACGCTGAAGAATCGCAAGTTGCAAACACCGTTGGATCTGTGCCCCGATCCGAATCTCTGCAAGACACTGCTCAAGTGCTACAACGAACGCAAAACAGATGATCCCGAACTGCCGGGCAATGTGGCCGGCACCAGTCTCAATGCACGTGCCCGTGCCCAGAGCGCAGCGGCAGCTGGAACTGCAGCTGGTATGCATCAGTCGGCGACGGCAAATATACCGCTGAATACTGTTGCCTCGGGCAGTGCCTTCGGGCTGAATGGAATCAATGCGGACATGGCGCAGTCTCTGCACGTGGAGAGCAGCAGTTGTGCCAAAAATAGCAGCAGCAGCAGCAACGCTGGCGGCGGTGGCGGGAACAACAACAAACCAGCCAGCTTGGAGGAGTGTCTCGTCTGCTCAGATGCCAAGCGCGACACGGTGTTCAAGCCGTGCGGCCATGTCTGCTGCTGTGAGACGTGTGCGCCGCGCGTCAAGAAGTGCCTCATCTGCCGCGAGACGGTCTCGTCGCGTGAGAAAATCGACGAGTGTCTCGTATGCTCGGATACGCGAGCCGCCGTCTTCTTCCGCCCCTGCGGCCACATGGTGGCCTGCGAGCATTGCAGTGCGCTGATGAAAAAGTGCGTTCTCTGCCGCACCCAAATCGATGAGATGTTATCCTTTAGCCTCTGCTGCGGTGGCATGGGCACTGCCGAAAAGGTCAGCGTCGCTGGCACAGTCTGTCTGACGGCGCCCGACGAGAAGTTCATGGAGCCGTCCTGTGTCAACACTTCAGGCCATAGTGTGGCGATGAACAACACGGTCGTCACTCCTGTGGCTGGTAGCAGCAATCAGTTGAACAGCCAGAATAATCTATTAGCCGCTGCGGCAGCTGCAAATGCCACAATTTTGCCAGCAACGGGCATGGTTGCACCTTCGAATGTCAACAATTTTCAAATGGACGATGTGCAGAAGCTGAAGCAACAGCTGCAGGACATCAAGGAGCAGGTGAGTGGTCAACAGGATAAATACATATAAAGTAATAAGTACTTAACGTCTTCGTCTATTTCTCTTGCAGACCATGTGTCCCGTTTGCTTTGATCGCATCAAGAATATGGTATTCCTGTGCGGACATGGCACGTGCCAGATGTGCGGCGACCAGATCGAGGGCTGTCCCATTTGCCGCAAGACGGTGGAGAAGCGCATTCTACTCTTCTAAGGCACAACAAGCATACATAAGATATATATCCATATATCCATGAATTGGCACATATTCCGCGCACAGTCTGCAAGCACATTTGCATGCGAATTGGCCTTAATTTAAGTATTATTTAGAGCGAATATTAAATACATACAAATAGCTATGTATACAACTCAGACACACATGTACACAAATATAGCTACACATATAGATACGCGCATATTTCGTCTTATAAAGCAAAAAATAAAATATATATATATATTTTTTTAACAAATATTTTACAATATCCAAAACTAAGCTGTTATGCTTTTAACATTTGCCTTGCTCTCCTTGCTCATTAGATCCTTGAGTATGTCCTTTTTGGCCTCGAAGTAATCGCGGAACCAGAGAATATGTTCCTTCTTATCCTGTGCCGTGACATAGGGATTTTTGGAGAGGCCCACGCACACCAGCTCCATGAAGTGGCGTATGGGTCCCTTGTTGGGACACCAGTCCTCCAAGTGCTGTTCGAGAAAGATGTGCTCCGAAAAGTCAACGTCCGCCTCCTCGTGCATATCCTGCTCGTTGTCAATGGGGAAACGCCAGACTTTCCCCTGCGCTGTCCACTGCACCATTTGCTCAAAATAGTTGGCCGGTGGATGGGCTGCCTGTAGCTTCAATTCGCGTGCACTTAACACAGACCAGGTGGCGAGCATATCCGGTGAATCCAGCAACTTTGGTGAGCCTTTCGTGAAGATGCCCAACGGTTCGCCGCCATACAAATTGACGCTACCCGAGAATGATTCTGCCTCGCGCTTAATGTGCCGCTGCGGACGTAGCGATGTGCGATCACCGGTCCTCGATTTGGGACGCGATGCCAATGTGCGCCGTACATACTCGCCGCGAGTCTGCTCCGGTTGCTCCGGCTTCTGCCTCCGATCGATCTTCATGCCCACAATCAGTTCACTGAAAGGCGCAAGAGAAAACAAAGTTAGTTTGTAAGCAGCAGTTGGGAGCAGTATATGCAGGGGCCTGCCTCAAATTCAGCTCCTTGTCTGCGCTGGCAGGTGCGGCTGTTGTGCTCTGGACATCGCTTTGTGGCGCATCCGGAGCACCTTCAGCGCTGTGTCCCAGCAGTTTGGCCAGCAATTCGGATTCGGTTTGCTTTCGCTCGTTGTCGTCGGTGCCGAGCATGCTGGCAATATTCTTGGCCGCTGTGATGACATTCTTCGTGGCCGCATCCTGCTTGAGCGCCTCCCTGCGCCGTCGATTCGCATCACCGGGCCGTGGAAAATCTGTGGCCGTCAACTGATCCGTAGTTTGCATTTGCATGCTGCCCAGCAAACGATTCAAGCGCTGCGCCGCTGTTTCGGTTTTTTGCTCAGCTGATTTACGCTGTTTCTTGGCTGACTTCTCATCATCGGAGGAGGAGGCGCCATCGTCGTCTTTCGACTGCGAAGAGCTGGAGTAACTAAAAAGACCCACGTTTTTGCAGGCAGCCGGCAACAATGCGCTGTAAATAACACAAGGAATAACAACATGGCAACAGGGTATTTCATTTGATGGTTAGTTTACCGTATGTTAAGCCTTTGTGGGTTGCGCAATGCCAACATTTTAGGTAACTTCTTTGACAATTTTACAAAATCTCTTAACTTTTCCAGGCACTTTGCGCTCGCGTAACAATAATTAGTTAGAGCTGAGTGAGCAATGTGGCAACGCTGCAAGGCTAACTATCGATTGCGTTTGACGCTATCGATATATAACATATTTTTATAGCTTCTATTTTTCTAGCCTTCTAAAAGTTTGACAACAATGCAAGTAAACAAACAATATCACAGATTCTTATAGTAAATCTGAAATAATTTGCAAGATGAGTGCAAACGCGTTCAGCTTTGAAATAAAACTAAAACGCGAAAACAAAGTGTATTATGAGAATGTAAGTACGCACAACAACAAAAATAATTATTTAACTAATTAAAAGTGTCTATTAAGGATATGCTTGTGGGCTGCGTGCAGTTCCATTGTCCGTCGGAAACCAAGCACGATGGAATACTGCTGACCCTCGAAGGCGTTGTCAACTTACAGCTGAGTAGCAAAACCGTTGGATTGTTCGATGCATTCTACAACTCGGTGAAGCCAATCAATTTGTTGCAGAATAGTCTGGAGCTGTCGTCACCCGGCAAACTGAGTGCCGGCAATTCCGAGTTCCATTTTGAACTGCCGCTGGTGTGCAAGAAGGAGCCGCGTAAACTCTATGAGACCTATCACGGTGTCTTCATCAGTATCAACTATCAGCTCAAATGCGATGTGAATGTGAAGCGCAACTTTCTCGGCAAATCGCTGCAGAAAGTGCAGCAGTTCTGTGTGCAATACAAACCAGCTCCTCTCAGCGAGGAGGCAACCCGTGCGGTGCCGTTCAGCCTGAGCATGATCAATGCCAAGGATCGGGTGACAATGCCACGTTTCCTTATTACCGGCTGCTTGGATCGCATCGAGTCCTGTGTCACGATGCCCATCACGGGCAGTCTGACGGTGCAGCACACCGAGGCGCCCATCAGGTCCATTGAGATGCAGCTGGTGCGCGTGGAAACTTGTGGCTGCGACGAGGGCTACTCCAAGGATGCCACTGAAGTGCAAACTATTCAAATTGTCGATGGAAATGTGATGCCCAAGCTGGAAATACCCATTTATATGGTGCTGCCGCGTCTATTTACATGCCCAACTCTTCTAACCAAAAACTTTAAAATTGGTAGGCTGCAATTTCTCATTTTAAGTCATGGTTATTATATCAATTGTTTCTGCTTCCAGAGTTTGAACTGAACTTGGTGGTGTTGTTCAAGGAGGATCACAGCGTCAATGAAAATTTTAAAATAGTTCTGAAACGAGCTACAGGTCCGCTGCCCAATAAAATAACTACAGCTGGGCGCTGAAAACCATTGAGCATATTTACCGGGGTGAAAACAAAAAGATTTTATATATTCCAATATTGTCCAATATTGACTCGAATTTTTGTGCAGCTGGATTCAAATTAAGTACGGCTTATAGAATTGATAAATATAATTCCAATATAAATACAAAACATGTTTTTCTCAATTCTTTTAATTTCCGTTTGGCATAGTAAACTCAAAATGTACATAAAAGCTAAATTTATTAATAAATTATCAGTTGGTAATAAAAATTAAAAACAACGGCTTTATTTTTTATTGTAAAAATTGACGTGCGAACATTTTTATCAGATTGTTCGAAAAATTGGCGCTCACGCAAAGCGCTGCCACCCAGTAAAAAAAGCAATATCAAAAATGAATTAAAAAATGACAAAAAATTACAGCAAAAACAAATTGAAACGGAACGTGGAAAATTTGAAAATGATGTGTGTATTTGATGATGATTTTCAATTAATTTTGGATTTTTACATGATTTTACAGGTTTGTTTTTAAAGCAGTATATTGCTTTCTGGCAATATAAGCGGGGGCAGACATTTATATATATATGAGAGCAATTCTTCACTTTGCTTTGCCGCCATCTTTTCTTTTCAAGTTGATTATTATCTTTCAATTTACAGCAGCTGCCAAAACAAACTTCACCTGAGGCATTCTACCGATATAATATTCGATGAATTCCTGTGTGTGTGTGCGTGTGTGTGTGTGTACTATATATATTTTAGAGTTTGAATATGGCACCCTCTTTATTATTCGTACACAGCTTGTATTTGCCTCTGCTATTGCTGCTGCCACCGGTAAGTGCATATCAATTTCCTGCTTTCCTTGTTGCAAAAACGAAAATCATTTTAAATCTTTAATAAACATGTGTGTGACGTGTGGTTGGGAGAATGTATTTAAGGATTGCATGTCTGTTCTCTCTCACGCCCACTCGCATAAGCACAGCTTTTTATGTCTGTGCCGGTAAGCAACACAGACTTACACACGCACACACATAAACCTACCTGTAAATATAAATTACTTCGCATACATATTTATAATGCTGTGTTCTCTTATTTTTTTGGGGGGAATCTGGGTATTAGGCGTCTGTTTAGTCCAGCTCTTTAACATTCGATATACTTACTGCATATATACAGGAAGCCTTTGCAAGTTTCAAGTTCACTAAATTATGTACACACATATACATACATATAAGCTCGTATGTAAATACATGTATGTCTACGAATGTATGCTTGTGTGTGTGTACTTATATTTATTCTACTTGGCGGCGTAACTTTCATCCATAAAGAAGCACAAACACACACACACACACATTCGTATTTATTTAAGACAAATATGTAAAAAAAAAACACGAGAAACTGTTGCTTTCTCCTTCGTTTAGACGCAGGCTTAGAGGCTGGGTCGGAACAAGGCAGGATAAGGTGAGGCAGAGGCAGAGGCAGAGGCAGGCTTCAAACTCAAATTGAGTTGAGAAACCGCTGATTCCCTTCCCCCTCCACACACACACACACACACACATAGTTCACAGCTCAGCCTGCAATTTGTGTGAATGTGTATGTATGTGTCTGTGTGTGCCTGTGTGTGTGTTGGGTATGTTTGTCACCAAAAATGTACCACTAACAAAGCGCACCTACTGACAGAAAAAAGTTTTTGCCAAGTCTTTGTGTATTTTTTTTTTTTTTAACTTCTTGCGTTTTGTGTTGAAATAAATAGAAGGACGCTGGGGTTTCAAAGTTTTAAAGTAATACCACCAGAAAGAGGAAAGTTTTCACACCAAATGTTGCCAACATGGCTGCTATTTTGTACACAGATTTCAATATTAGTTGGCATCATTGTACATGGGCAGCACTGGCAGCTGTCAATGTCGCCTGCTGGGCGTCGGCTAAGGGGCGGGGCGGGGCTTGGATTTGGGATTGGGGTTGGGATTGGGATTGGGGATTGGGCTTAAAATTAAAGTGCCGTCACGTCGTGTAATTGATTTAAAATTAGCACATCGCTTACAAATTTAAATTGTTTACATGAGCCTGGGGACACAGCTGGTGCTGTGTGTGCGGATGAGTGTGCGTGTGTGTGCAGATGTATATAACATATATATATATATTTGAGTGTGTATGTTTGTCTGTGCTTATGCATGTTTTATGAACACGGCGCTCGCGCCAGGGCTGCTGTAATCGCATTTCAATATGCTGTGTAACCCAAGCCTTATCCCGTTGCGAGCTCATCTCCTTGCCCAAACACTAGCACCACCGACTCGCCTCGCCTTGCCTCGCCTCGCTTCGCCTTCAACATCTGTTCTCTTTTTGTTTGTGTGTTGGTGCAACGGCAATTTAGTTTGCACGGCAAACTTTTCATAGGTGCTCTGACCCGTAAACGAGGTCAGCGCAAAAAAAAAGAAGAAAAAACATTTTAAAAAATTCATATGCAAACGTATTTTGCAGTTGCACTTGCCAGGTGCCAAAAAAGCAGAAAATTCCCTTTTCAAGAGTTCGGGGCCCATAGAAAAACAACTTTTTAATAGCCGCACATTTTAATAGCTGTGTGTGTGTGTGTGTGTGTGTGCAGCTCAGGGCTATATTATGCAGCATATATAGCATATATATGTGTATTATACATCTTATATAAATTGAAACTTGATGCGCTTCATTTGGTGGCTTTGTGGCTGCTTACGCTGCTTACGCTTCTTTGGCTGCTGCAACATTTCAAAATTGCTGCTAATTGACATCGCTGTCAAGACAAGCAATTATAAAGCGTTGCCATTGCCAACACCCACCGCACCGCACCGCATCCCTTCCCTACCAGTGCATCAACTTTCTGTCGATTGATTTGCATGGCTGCCGAGTCGAGTATCCGGTTTTTAAACTGTTCTGCAGGCAAAGTTAATTCCCACACTGCATTAGCTAATTGTTTCAGGCAACTCGTGCGCAAGTCTTTTATTTTGGGTACAAAGTGAAACATTTTGCGTCTCAAGATAACACCGCCGGACCGTTGCCATTGACCATTGCCCTCCACCCACAACATTCCCGTTTGGATTAAGTGTGCATCCGTAGCTAAATACAACTTTTGACTAAGCCCGGTGTGTGGCTAATTGTTACACGGGTGGGGCACGGCAGAGTGAGGCATCCAAACTACAAGCCCATGAGTAATTAGGGTCTGGCTTAGGTACCTGCCTACGCTCTAATAAATCTTCCGCCTAAAGGCTAACCCGAGTCCCGGCTAAACGTACACCGTCGTCCGGGGCATTGCCCGCTACGCAGACAGAGCATCGGATCGAAAGTGGGGTCATTGCCGCATCGGGCGTAGAATAGGAGAGGAGCAGCAGAAGGACTATATACAACGCCTCCAGGTCGCATTATGCCATCTCGCGTCCGTTGACGCTGATGTATACGTACGTGTTTCGGCGTGCTTCCGTGATAATTTCAAACTTTTGCACCAATTATGTGCACGGCACAGCCGATTTTCTTCATCTAGGTGTGCGCTGTATATACATATATATATATATATATGTGTGTGTGTGTGTAAGTGTGTGTGTGTAAGTGTGTGTGTTGCCTTCATTTTTGTGCCTGTAGTTTATGCTCATTACGTGAGTGTTGCGCGCAACAAACTCACAAATTGTTGTACAAGAAATGACGCCGTTGGCGTTACACAGAGAAAAAGCACATACACACACACACACACACACACACCTTATAAGCGCACACACATACAGCCACAATGGCTTACAGAATGCAAAAGGAATTATTTTTGCTTTTGCAGCGCATTTTCGAATTTAATTTTCAGGTTAACTGCTCGCGTTGCCAAAGTTTCTCTCTTGGCTTTTACACGTGGCGTATACGCGTTTTTTTCATTGCCCATTTCATTTCATTTTCGGACAGCGAGGGCCGCCCATTAAGTAATGCACATTGCTGGCAGTAAAAAATATTAGCGTCCATAAAACTGTCAAAACTTTAGCACTTTTTAATTAATTGTCGGAATTTTTACTTGGCCAGTTCCTGTTTCTGTTGGTAATACATACCCATTTTGTATTGCCTATAAATAGAGCAGTTGTTTGGCAGTGCGCGATTTAGCGAAAATTTCATTTCGTTTGCTTTTAGTTATAAATATTTTCACTGTTGATTTTACATTTGGAATTTATATTTTTGGCTTTGTTAATTGAGTGCACTAAATTTGATGGCATGCAGTTGCTAAATACACAAAAGGTAGCTAATGATGGATAAATAATAATAAAAGTTGCAATTTTATAGGGAATTTCTAATATTGTATGATTTTTGTTTTGTTTTGAGTATGTTTTTAAATATAAATTCTTAATAGCAGCAATAATTGAAAGGCGTTGCTTTAGAAACTAAATTTAAGTTTATTAAAGTTATGGCTAAATTGATTTTGTGTACGACTTAATTACTTTTTGAATTGCCCTCGTTTATCAGCAATTTTAGTTAGCTGTCTAGCCACGCCCATTTACTAGGACTTGACATATAATTAGAGCAGGTGACATGTCTGACTTGTTTTTCTGCTCTGCTCACGAGGCGAGATATAAAAGTTAAGTTTCGCTCGTCGTCGTGGTCCAAATGTTGACACTTGAAATTTTCGGCTTGTTTACCTTTTGGACATTTCCTGGCAAACATCCTAAGGCACTTGCAACAGCAGCAGCAACAGCAGCAGAAGTAAAAGTAGATGTGGCAGCAGCGGCTAAACATGCCCAGCTTCGCGAATAAAACGTATTATGCTCCGTCTGTTGACGATACCACCTCCAGCTCCATTTCATCCTCCTTCTTGTCCTCCTCCATGTCCTTGTCTAGTACACAACTTAAAAAGCGCTCATGGTCTAGAGAGACTGTCTGAGAGACGCGCAGAGCAAAGCGAAAACGGATATAAAAATAATAAAATAGAAAGGAAACTCGCTCATTTTGCTGTATCTCTTATGTTTTATTATTATATTATATTCTATGCTTTTTTTTTTGAGCACTTTTTTACATTTAGCCTACAATTGTTTGCCACGCCAAACTGCATAAACTATCAGGAGCAGCTGGAGCGGTGTTCAGGCATAGTGCTACAGCAAAAGTTTATGCCCCATTTTCATTGAAGCTTCAAGCTGGAGAGCTCGTCCTCGTCATCCTCCTTCCCTGCATATAGTAGTTACA